CCGCAGACCCCGCGGCGCTACCTCCTAGGGGCAACCCAGGCGAGGTGCTCCAGTCAACCGGGGACAGGGACTGGCACCTCGGGGGGCTGTGTGATACCGCTGTGGCGGAGCAGCTCCGTCGGGGGCTGTAACCACCGTCGTGACACCGCCACCGGGGAGCTGAGCGACCCTCCCCAATCAGTGGCACGCGCACGGCAAACGTCCCGCCCGCCCATCCCTTGGCCCCAACCCCCTCGCGTGCGATTGGTGTACGGGGCTGGGCAGAAGGTAGAGGCGTGTTTGTTATTACCGGAGCACGTGGAGCGTGGGTGGGAGGAAGACACGCACCGCGCCTGTTTTTTTACGGGCGGGACGGAGTTTTTACTGGCGAGCGCGCTCACCGCGGCACGCCGCCTCTGAACAGCAACGCGCGCCGCAAGCGTAAAAGCAGACCACTGCACCAATTGAAACATGCCGACGTGGGCAGCCGCAAAGTCGGGAGCGCAAGGGGGCGAATAATTGGGGGTCGGTAGCCCGGACCCCACAGAGCAGCCGGGGGGTAGTGGGACGAGTGTTACGGGGGAGTCGGAGAGTAATGGCCCCGACAATTCGGTGATGGCGGGGGACGGTAGCCCCACACTACACGGGAGGATCTTGTCAATGATCTCAAGGCAGCTGGGACCATAGTCACCAAGAAAACAATTGGTAACACACTACGCCGTGAAGGACTGAAATCCTGCAGCGCCCACAAGGTCCCCCTGCTCAAGAAAGCACATATACAGGCCCGTCTGAAGTTTGCCAATGAACATCTGAATGATCCAGAGGACAACTGGGTGAAAGTGTTGTGGTCAGATGAGACCAAAATGGAGCTCTTTGGCATCAACTCAACTCGCCATGTTTGGAGGAGGAATGCTGCCTATGACCCCAAGAACACCATCCCCACCGTCAAACATGGAGGTGGAAACATTATGCTTTGGGGGTGTTTTTTCTGCTAAGGGGACAGGACAACTTCATCGCATCAAAGGGACGATGGACGGGGCCATGTACCGTCAAATCTTGGGTGAGAACCTCCTTCCCTCAGCCAGAGCATTGAAAATGGGTCGCGGATGGGTATTCCAGCATGACAATGACCCAAACACACACGGCCAAGGCAACAAAGGAGTGGCTCAAGAAGAAGCACATTAAGGTCCTGGAGTGGCCTAGCCAGTCTCCAGACCTTAATCCCATAGAAAATCTGTGGGGGGAGCTGAAGGTTCGAGTTGCCAAACGTCAGCCTCGAAACGTTAATGACTTGGAGAAGATCTGCAAAGAGGAGTCGGACAAAATCCCTCCTGAGATGTGTGCAAACCTGGTGGCCAACTACAAGAAACGTCTGACCTCTGTGATTGCAAACAAGGGTTTTGCCACCAAGTACTAAGTCATGTTTTGCAGAGGGGTCAAATACTTATTTCCCTCATTAAAATGAAAATCAATTGATAACATTTTTGACATGCGTTTTTCTGGATTGTTTTGTTGTTATTCTGTCTCTCACTGTTCAAATAAACCTATCATTAAAATTATAGACTGATCATATCTTTGTCAGTGGGCAAACGTACAAAATCATCAGGGGATCAAATACTTTTTCCCTTACTGTCAGTGAAATGCCATAATGAATTTACAAACCGATACGAATATATTTAAACGATGAAGCATTAAACATTGTATCTTTAAAAAAAAATCCAGACCAGCTGCGTACATCTTAGGGTTTGGTGCAGATTGGGGTGTGGTACGGGGTGTGGTACAGAGCGGGGTACAGAGCGGGGTGTGGTACAGAGCGGGGTGTGGTACAGAGCCGGGTGTGGTAGAGAGTGGGGTACAGAGCGGGGTGTGGTACAGAGCGGGGTGTGGTGCAGAGTGGGGTACAGAGCGGGATGTGGTATGGGGTGTGCTAGAGAGTGTGGTACAGTGGGGTACAGAGCGGGGTGTGGTACAGAGTGGGGTGTGGTACGGGGTGTGGTACAGAGTGGGGTGTGGTGCAGGGTGGGGTACAGAGCAGGGTGTGGTACGGGGTGTGGTACAGAGCGGGGTGTGGTACGGGGTGTGGTACAGAGCGGGGTACAGAGCGGGGTGTGGTACGGGGTGTGGTACAGAGCGGGGTACAGAGCGGGGTGTGGTACGGGGTGTGGTAGAGAGTGGGGTACAGAGCGGGGCGTGGTACAGAGCAGGGTGTGGAGCAAGCCACCCACTGTCAGTGCTGTTGCTAATAGCACGACAAAGGATTGGCATCTGTGATTGGGTGGCAGGAAACTAAAACAAACCTGTTGCGACCGAGTTACAGGTGTTATAGGTGCTACACGTGGACTTCGTGGAATCACTAAGATCCACTCACCTTCATGGTGAATGATGGTCAGAGAATGTCCAAGACTGACGTGGTATGGTGAAGCCTTCATCCACCAGTGGATTAGTTCATCGAGGGCTGTTTCCCACAGGTTCAAAATGACGCAGGTAACACTGCTCCTGAAAAAAGTTGGCTTGAGCCCTATTGACCCAGAAAACTATCGCCCAATTTAAAACCTGAGGATGATTTCAAAGGTCATAGAGCGCCTTTTTCTGAAGCAGTTATTTCCCCACGTCGTTGCAACAGGCATATTCAACCCGTTTATGTCGGCATACGAGAAGTTCCACAGGACTGAGACGGCTCTACTAAAGATCACGGATGACCTCTACAAGATCATAGATGACTGGTGGCCGAAGCGGCGGTTGGCCTCAATATTTTAACCACCTTCGACATCATTGACCATGAGATACTCATCGGGCGGCTAAGGTCAAGGTTCGGTGTATCGGGTACGGAACTGGGGTGGATTGACCCATACCTTAATGGTCGATCACAGTACATCAAGCTGGGTAATGAACAGTCATCGCCTATGCCATGCCTAGTTAGCGGACCACAGGGGCCTGTCCTTGTGCCCTTCCTATTTTCAATATATATCTCTCTGATCGCTGATGTCATGTCAACGCATGACATCAAGTTCCATCAAAATGTAGATGATACAAAATTGTACACCGCGATGAAGTCAAATTTGATACGGAGAGCCTCGGTAACCTTGAAGATTGCACACGAGAATTTCGTTTCGTGAAAACCACACGAAACGAAATGCTGCTTAATGCAGCAAAATCGGAAGTCTGCTGGTTGGCATTCGGACTCAGGATTCAGTTTTCTACTCGTATCAAGAGCATACTTGACCAAAATATGTAATTTGATCGCCACGTGCAAAATAGTTACAAAATAGTCAGGTCCTGCAATTTTCATATCAGGGCTCTACGACACATTTGGTCACTATTAAGTCGTGGCATAGCCAACACGGTGGTGTTCAGCATAGTATCGATAAGGCTGTCACTCACTACTCAAAGGGGCGTCTGGAAAAAACATTTGCAAGCTGCAGCAGGTACAAAATTATTTGGCACATGTTGTGACGGGTACAGCACAATCCTACCATGTCTCTCCGGTGCTCGCCGAGATGCATTTGTTTCTAGTTGCTGAACAAAAACATGACGTCGTGCCAAGTTGGCGGACCACAGATGTCATCTCATCGCTTGACATCAAGTTCCATCAATATGCTGATGGTACACAATTGTACACTGCAGTGAAGCCAAAGTTATATATGGAGAGTCTCCAAAACCTCCAAGATTGAACGTGAGCAATGCCCGTGTTGTTTACATGACAAGAATTGCTGCTTAATCCAGCAAAATCGGAGGTTCTGCTGGTTGTCACTCAGGCTTAGGCAAAACATTTGTGGGAGGATCACGTGTGGCACCTCCGATTAGCACGGTTGGCGACATATAGTGCGAAAGAAGTTCAACATACATATACACGTGGCAGTTGCAGACTCCAGGATTCAGTTTTCTACTCATCTCAAGAGCCTCGACACCATACTTGACCAGAATGTCATTTGATCACCACGTGCAATTTTCATATAAGGGCTCTCCAACACATTTGGCCAATTGACATAGACAGTACGGTGGCATTTAGTAATAGTATTGCCAAAGGTCGATTATTGAAACTCACTACTCTACAGGACGTCTGGCAAAAATATTACCAAACTGCAGCGTGTACACAATTATTTGGCATGTGTCGTGACGGGTACTGCAAAATCCGAACATGTCCGTCTGGTGCTCGCTGAGCTGCATTGACTTTCAGTTGCTGAACGAATACAATATAAGGTCGCACTCATTATACACAAAGTGCTTGCCACAAATGAACCACATCTTGCTGATCTCATCGAGGAGCATAAACCATCACGTAAACTCCTCGCAGCAGCATTTGGCTATTCATCGAACAAAGACGGTCACCGCATCGCGTGCTTTCAGATGCGCTTCTGCGGCCGCCTGGAACATTCTTACTTCTGATATTAGGAAGTCACTGAAGGTATGCACTTTTAAATGTAGATTGGAAACTAGTTTCTTTATAACTGCTTTTTTTGTTTCGTTTGTTGTTCTTTCCCCACACCTCTGATTAGCACAGTTGGCTACGTACGGTGCAAAATAAGTTCCACATAGATATATACATGGCCCCGTTTTTATCTTTTTTCAATTGTCTCAATTTTCACTGTTATACTGATGACACTCAAAATTGTATCCACTGCAAATCGAATATTTTTAATTCCCTCTGCTCTCTGATCATCATTTTCAATTGTCAAGAGATGGGATGCAGTACAACTATCTCCAGCTGAATGGGGATGGGGCTAAAACGGAGGTTATTGTTATCGGGTCTCGCTGATTATTGATGGTCATAACGTACACCTCTGTACAGCACTTTCATTTAACTTGGATCGCTGGGCTTGTAGCGGAGCGAGCAAAAACTTCCAATAGATGGAAATTATTAATTTGGGATTACACACAGCAGCAACATTGCCCCGAACTGCAAAAACTTGGCTGGATCTTCCTGAATAAGTTTATCGAGATTCAGTGAGGTTTCCCTGGGTAACAAGCACAATAACAAAAACTGGCTGGTTCAAGCATTTATGCATCGCACGGACACCAAATCAAGCGCTTTAATCTTTATCAAGTGATTTTCGAAGAACATTTATTGCCTCCTAATCCACCACCAGCAGCACAGGCCACCAACTGACGATCGCGGTCATCAGTGCTTGTGTAGTGATACTAGGAATAGGAGGCACGCTATTTATTACAAGAGGTAACCACACTTCAGTCAGGACAGCGAACAGACTGCCTGACTGACAACGCTGAGGTGAAGACGGCGACGAAGACTCCAGCAGCCCGACGAGATTCCACACCAAGCAACAGCCCCGAACCATTGCTCGGGGTCCCCTTTTATCCTCCTGGCATAACCTTGCTCTGTCCACAGCCACGCCCCTCTTCTAGAACCTACTAGTGTATTCCCGGGCTTACCTCACGTGCCCCCTCTATCACCTTTGCCCTACATCCCTCTCTCAGCTTATCGTGTGACCTGCTGACAGACAGGGCTGCTGCAACCGCAGATCCTCTGCCAACAATCAGCGCCATGCTCCATAAGGACCCATTCCATGTCACTGCACTTGTAACAAAAAAATCCACTCTCCGAAAAAACCCCAAACTTGACAGGCATAAAATGCCTCCAAACTCCACACAAGAGCAGTTTTAGTATGACTCTAGACAAATATATTTTGAGAGAACTCCAAAGTGAGTTTGGAATAAGGCCTCAACTACAGTGTAACATTGGGTTGTCCCCACAGGTTACCTGTGGGTGAGGTCGTTTTTTATAGCTTATGGGTTTGGGTACTGGTCAGATCACGTTAATTGACCACTTTATTTGCGAGTGACCGACGTAACATGTTCTTATCTTCTAATTTTGCGTACTCCGTCTTCATAGAACTTTCTAGAAACTGGGCATCACTGTTTCGAACAACTTGAAATGTACGTTTTCACTTTAACTTTAGTCCAATAAATATTTAGACAACTTACATTACAGCGATGATATAATATAATCAGTAAAGTATACGTGTCACGTGTGGTTAAACATTTTCCAGAGTTCGTATTTCAGGCCTTTTAGATTTAATGGAAGTTAGTACATTACCACTGCGAGAATGACAGAATCGCCCAAATATGCTATTGAATTTGGTTGTCGCGGATCATATCGGTTTGCGGGTGAGATGGTGTTGAAGTGGACAGTCGTGAGCCGGGTAGTCTTGGGTCAATAGGTTAGACCTGTGGACTCCACAGTGCGTCTCAGTATGGCTCAAGTTTGAATTCCTATACCAGTTAAGAGTCTGACTTCCACACCAGTTTGACTAATTGACCTAAATTCAAACAATGATTGACCAAGTATTGAACTACCCAGATGCAGGATCCTTAATACGTACCTGGAATTGCTCTGAAATCTGCATGACATTCTTGTCCCAGGTCACCAGATTTGTCACTGGTTTGCTTTCACATTGCATCGCTGGGATTTGACAACACTGGTCCAAGTTAAGACGTCGCTATCGACAATAAATATGCACGACCCCGTGCCAGCCGGACCTGCAATTCAACTCTTGTATCAAATGTTTTTGGATCGTGGATATTTTTTACAGCACAGCGCCATGTAAATACAATATATATTGCACTAATGAAGCATGCAATGTGGTAAGACTAGACAGAGCTATTGTCCCCACCACATCTAAAGTCTCATTTTAGTTGAACTGAGATTGGACGAAATCACCGCACAAAAAGGTAAAATTAAGTGCATTATTCATTTGTGTGTCCTGCGTGACCCAAAATCACCCGCATTGTGGGCTTGGTCTGTAACCAGAACATTGTGTGCATGCGAGAGCCTACGTGCGTCTGTGTTTTTATTATTATTTTGGTTTAGAAATTATACACGAGTGATGGGCATATCTATGCTCTGAATATGTGATGTGTGGCGTGTGAGTGTGTGCGCGGTGTGATGCGGGTGCGTAAGCGCATATCGTGGTCAGCTGTACTTAGTTTTATACGCTGTTTGGTATGTTACAAACATGAAACGGTGTGGACTTGGTTCTTTAATGTGGTGTGGTGTGCACATTGTGGTACGTTGCAAACGTGAAGCATGAAGCGGTGTGATTGGTGGACCTTTCACGGGGGGCGAGATCCTGGTGCTTCGGTCTCATGCCGTGTGGTGTCGTGCCGTGTGGTGTCATGCAATGCGGTGCCGTGCGGCTCTCAGGCCACCGTTGTGACGGCGGCGTGGATGGCCTCGGCCACGTAATCGAGGTTGTGCGAGTTGAGGCCGCACATGTTGATGCGCCCCGACTTCATGAGGTACACGTGTTTCTGTTTAATGAGGAACTCCACCTGGGCAGCTGTGAGGCGAGGGAAGGGGGCAGAGGAGAGAGTGAGATTAACACGAGGAAGTGATGCACATAATTCAAACTTAATGACAAAAAGTCGACCATTAAGAGAGTAAAAAATAAATAAGACTTATTTTTTGTTTGTTTTGCAAAATGTCTATGAAGACAGTATTATTCCCTCTCAGGGCAGTGTTACTGACGAATGTGTAAAGGTTTGACAGCCGTTACATAATTGAGTAGTTTGGTAATATATTCATAATATTCAGAGCGTAGCCGATGTAAGTCGACCTGCGATGAATCGTGTGTGTAACTGCACTACGCAACGTGTTGCAGTACGCTTGCACGTACTGAATCTCAGTACGTGAAAGCGGTTAGCGTTAATTTTATTTAGAGAGGCGTATCGCGCTGCTGTTTTTAAAGATATTGTACTGTACTTACCGCAGAAAACTGGAGTGACATGACCGCACTCTATGATACCTGGCAAGAAACTGCTACACGCCCTCCCGCATGGCCTTTTGCTTCCGATTCCGCTCCGATAACATAAACGTATGTAATCGGAAGAAAAACAGTGCACGTACGTCATCGGAACGGGAAAGGGTTTTGTGCTGCATCTTGCTGCTGCATTCTTTATGTTTGGGTGAAAATACCACGTGGCACCTGATGCGCCATATAATTGCTTTAGGCAAGGTGAGGGTACATGTGATGCAAGAGCAGCTCGGGGATTGGACCCCAAGCTACACGTGCACATTAGGCCACGTCCAGACAGCAGTTGTAAAATCCATGTTCATGGGCCCCTCTTCAGGTGCGAGATTGGCTGAAGTCTGGTGGCGGATTGAAGTGTGGCGCTTGTGTGGCAATTGGGCTAATGTGGTGTCTTTTTGTCACCGTTGTAGAAATACGAAGGCTACCCAGAAGAGCACTTTCAAACAAAGTGTTGCCGTTGCATGGCCCACTCGTGGTCCCGCTTGGTGAAGCTGTCCAGTCACCTCAACCAGCCGTGTGATACGCAAGGCGACGGGAACCAAACTTCACATCCATCGTCCTCCATTAATGTATTTAGTCACCCTGTGCTCTCGTTACAATCACGGTGAGAGACACAAGACGGGATGGCTACAGGAGTAAATATATGACTAATATGTAAATTCGATTGGCTGCTGTTGATGATTAGTGATGATGATGTATATCGCCATGTAGTTTTTTGTGGTTGTGCGACGGTGTATTTTTTTGGTTTGAGCTCGTGCTTTACCAGCACAATGTCTAACGTTTCACTGTGTTAGGGAACTCTTCGGAATGTCGGAATATTTTTGCCAACATTTCAGCAAAACCCGGCAGCGTGGCAGACAGCGGTGATGTGTTATCAGTCTTAAAGGGCGTGAGACTCACGGTTGAGGCCGGTGTAGCTGAACATGCCGATCTGGCGCGTGATGTGGTCCCAGTTTCCGGGTGTTCCCAGGCTCTTGAGTTTCTCCCGCAACTTCTCACGCATCAGCAGCACGCGCTCCGCCATCATGCGGACGTTGTCCTTCCTGTTCATGCGTGCGTGCAGCATGATCAGACACAGTACCATAGTCTTCTTTGGTTCTTTCGGTAAAGTCACGTAGAATGAGAATAAAATAATAAAACAAAACAATCAAATTCTCACGACGTTTCGGCCACAACACAAGTAGCCGTCCTCAGGTGAAGAACCAGGACCGTCCTGTTTCTTCACCTGAGGACGGCTACTTGTGTTGTGGCCGAAACGTCGTGAGAATTCGATTGTTTTATTGTACTATTTTATTCTCATTCTACGTGACTTTACCGAAAGAACCAAAGAAGATGAATCCTTGCAGTCACGAAAGCTTTAAATCGAAAAGCACCATAGTCGTCGTCATCATCACCATCATCATCCATCATTTCAAGATAATCTTCCCCCCCCCCCCAAGTTTATCCTCATCAGCATCATCAGGAGACGGAGATCAATTCTGAACGTTGGCAGAGCAGTGCGACCCTTCGTGTTAGGGAACAGCCCATAGAAGCAGACATTACTGAACTACTTCCGAGGCCTTCATCCAAAAGTGGATATCATGAGTGTCCATGGAAGTGTATGTGGAGCATAGTGGGGGAGCGTCAGTGCAGTGCTACGAATCTGGCGACTCAAGTTCAACTCCCGCTCACGATCAATAAGTGGCGAATATTTGAACTGGACCTGGATCTCCGTTAGATTGACTCAGCCATAAACAAGTATCTAATGTGGTGTGTAAACATCAGCAGTGGGCAGACAATGGCAGCCGGGCATGGTAATGAACACCCAAACCCTGGTGTCTTATGCTGGCCTTCACTGGTGCTCACTAAAAGCACTTGCCACAACAGTCTGTTTTAGGCTATACAGGGAATTTTTTTCTTTCTCTGTTTGGAGCTTACCACTCGGCAAATAGCGCGGGGTTGTTGAGCGTCGTGGCTACGATGGTTCCCCCATGGTGAGGAGGGTTGGACCACATGGGCCGCACCACCATCACCATCTGGGAGATGATGGCCTGGAGGCGCATGGGGTCACGTGCAACCACCACCAGGTTTCCTACACGCTCGTCTGCACCACACACATACACATATATACGTATATTAATAAACATACAAAGATCCCTCCCCCATAGCCTTAACAGACTTTTGGGGCAACTGCTGTTAGCGAACACATTTCCCCTCGACATCAAATGAGGGGGGATGATGCTAAGCCCATTTACAATTGATGAGGAAATCCTCGCTTGCAAACTTCATCAGCAAGCCGAGATCAGGCTATTGTGGGTTTGAATGGGGTCCTAGATAGATGCTTACACCACAGTGAAATTCTGGCAGGCGCATCTTACTGATAAAACGGCAATGATCAGTGGGGCAGATGAGCTCCACGGTAGGTCCTTGTGTCAAGGATATGGGCTCACATTTGTTGTTCATCAATATGTAGTAAAACAAATGTTATTTCTTGGACCTGGCATGCACCCATAATGTGTGGATGCACCCATGCTGGAACAGTGTGTTAGCGATTACAAGCCCATGGGCTGCACATAGGTCTAGCAGCCTCCTCACGTTATTAAGTGATCTGACCATGCCTCCACTCCGGCCCAGGTGCCTGTATCATAACCTACTTGGGCATCAAAGTCACCTAAAATTAACTAAATTCCGAGTACCTAGGACAGGCAGTCACACAGAGAAGGCATTCAACTCATCAGCCTTGTCTGTATCCCTCCACTGATGTCAATTTTCTGTGGGTGCATAAGCCACCACGACCATATACATACGCACACGAATACACACACAAGCATGAACATACATAAACTTGCTGGTACACAGATGCACACACGTACACACACCCACATTAAACTAAACTGAACTTTTCATTTGACCAGATCAGGCCCACTGAGCTATATAGCTCTTTGTCAGAAGCAACCTGGCCACACATGATAGCTCAAATAAGTAGCTTATCGTGTGTAAATGTATTGCAGCAAAATACTGTAAACGCATGGTTACAAATGTGAAGGGAAAAACTGGAAGACCCAGATAAAAATCCACACGACCACAGGGAGAGAGATATGCAAACTCCAAATATACAGTAGGCATCAGGGGTTGAAATCGAACCCACAACCTCATGTATACCAGGGGAGGTAGTTCATATCTCCTAGCTACCATGGCGCCACAACAAAGACACACACCAGATCCCTCTACCACAGCACCACCCCCCTGGGGCTCACTGTAGAGGCCGAAGTTCTTGCTGAAGGACTGAGCACAGAGGAGCTCCATGCCGCGGCTCACGAAGAGACGCACAGCGGCCGCGTCACGATCCAGGTCTCCCGAAGCAAAGCCCTGGTACGCCGAGTCGAAAAATGGGAAGAGCTGCTTCTCCTGTGCACAGAAAGACAAAGATTAGCTCTCCCACCCCCGTGTGGCCTCAAGAGACTGTTGCTGCAAGCATTGTTAGAGAGCACCTATGGAGGCCCGAGGGGGCCCGCAGAGCCAGCATCACGCCCGGCCGCCTTTGTGTTTCGAGTGCTGATGTTATGATACCGCACCAGGTACACATTTTTTTATGGCCAAATTGACTTAGTCGAGGCCCCGAGACCGGTTCAGATCTTTAGCCACTATGCTGCTGTGGCCGTTACCTTGATGACGGTAAAGATGCGGTCCCACTCGGCCGGTGTGGGGTCCGTACCGGTTGGGTTGTGCGCACAGGCGTGGAGAAGCATCACGGAGTGCGGAGGAGCTGCCTACACACACACAGTACACACACACACGGGTAAACACACAAAGTTCACAGACACAGGTCAACACACACAGTGCACACACATAGCGTAAACACAAACACACACGGGTAAACACACAGTGCGCACACACATGGGTAAACACACAAACGGCTAAACACACTTTTGCACGTATGTAGCCAATCGTATACATACACGGGTGGGTACATACATAATAACGATGGTGGAAATGATGGTAGAGATGACTATGGTGGAGATGGTGGAGATGATGGTGGCGTTGATCGTAGAGATAGTGGTAGTGGTGATGGCGATGATGGGGATGGTAAAGATGAGGGTACGAATGGTGAAGATGTTGCCGATAGTGCTGATGATGAAGACAATGGTGCTGAGAGTGAATATGGTGGTGGTGTTGGTGGTGATGGTAACCGTAATGGTGCTAATGGTAAAGATAATGATGATGATCTTGCCAATGGTGATGAGAATGATGGCGGCAATGATGGTGATGCCGTGGTTGGGCAAACACACACACTGCACGTGCCCGGCCGCCTTTGTCTCCCTACCTCGAAGTCAGCGATGAGCGCGTCAATGGCAAGTCCACGCTTTTCGGCATCCCAGTAGCGATACGAGCGGATGTCGGTGAAGCCGGCATTCCGGAACACGGCGTTGTGGTTCTCTGAGCGAAGACAAAGATCTCCTGTGAAGCCTTCAGACTGTTGGGTAAAGTGCTTTTTTGAGAGCACCTATGAAGGCCAGCAATGCACACTAAAACTGCTACTTTAATTTTACCAGGTCAGACCCCACTGAGCTATATAGCTCTTTTTCAGAAGCAACCTGGCCACAAATGATAGGTCAACCAATTGAGTTATCGCGTGGAAATGTATAGCAGCCAGATACTCTAAACGCATGTTTACAAATGTGGAGGGAAGGGGGAAAAAAGAGGCCCTGTAGAAAAATCCACACGACCACGGGGAGAGAGACATGCAATCTCCAAATACACATGACCACACGTAGGATTAGTGTGGTCCCAAACATGTGTGGCGAGCCCCTGTATAATGTGGCAAGCCCCTGTGCATTGAGGTCTTGTGTGTTGTGGCGACACCCTATGTGGTGTGGTGAACCCGTTTATCGATGGTGTGGTGTGACCCCGCACCCCACGTGGGTGAGGAGACGTAGACGGGCACATTGGGTGTGTGCCATCGCTTTAGGAACTCAGCTCCCACATGGAGAGCGCCCGTGCCTCCCAGAGCCTGCACCCCACCGGCCTGCGCACGCATCCAGAGAAATAGAGAGATGCAGAAGACGCAGCGACTCCACCCTCGCCACACCCCCGACACTGTCACCACACAGACTCCACACACACCACAATGTCACCACAAACAGACCACACACACAAACCATGCTGTCACCACACACACTCCAAAGACAGAGACAAACATCCCCCGTGTCGTTTAATATGTAGGCTTTCGTGACCAATATCATCTATAATACAGGTTTTTTGGGTTAGATCACGTAAATATAAATGCATCGTTAAACCTGCCACCACCCGACACAGCCAATTAGTAAGGTTTGTCACGTAAACAGAACATGCCAATTCGTTACTAGTACAGCACACCTGTGTGTTGGAGAGAAAATCCACAACATATAGCCTTCATAGACGGTTGGGGCAAGTGCTGTTAGCAAGCACATTCAGAGCGGTACAGGGGGTGGGCGAGCAACACCATGGCCGGCAGCCTTTGTCACTCCAGCGCGGATGTTTACACATGGTGCCAGGCACTTGTGTAGTGAGCGACTTACAACACAAGTCTAGTAGAAGGCTTCTTATTTATTAAGACCACACAGGGCGATACACTTTGTAACGCGGCTACACCTAGGTTGACCAAATACGCAGCCCATCCCTGGTCCTGCGCTATGTTGGCTGGTTGACGAGTGTAGCGGCAGAGCTGGTTTTGCAAAACAGCTACGTGGTCGAAGACGAAGAGATGACGATGGCGGCGACGCAACCAGGACCCAGACCCCACACTAACAGCCCCGAAGCTCTGGTTCGGTGCTCCTTATATCTGCCTGGCATGGCCAAGCTCCACCTCTGGCCACGCCCCCTTTCTAGAACCCACTAGACGCTTAGAGATGGTTCCCGGAGCTTCTCGACTGACACGGCCCTTCACCTTTACCCCAGATACGCCCTTCATAATAAGGCATTATGTAATGCAGCTATAACCGTAATTACCCTAACAGGCTGGCAGGTGTCACCCTGTCATTACACTTGTATAAGGCCGAGTCGACCTAGGCAAGGCCCAAGACCGGTTCAAATATTCTCCACTGCTAATAGTCGCGAGTGGGAATTACACTCGGGTCGCTAGCTTTGTAGCACGTTGCACTAACCACTGTCACTGCAAACAAAAGTAAAGATCCCCCATATAGCCTCAACATACTGTTGGAGCAAGTGCCGTTGGCGAGCACCTATAAAGGCCGGCACGGCACGAGTTGGTGGGTGGCCAACACCACGTCTGGCCACCTTTGTCTCCCTAGTGGCGATATTTACACATCGCACCAGGTACTCATTTGAGGTCGAGTCGACCTAGAAAAGGCCCAGGACCCATTAAGGTAATCGTCACTGGCATTGGCCATGAGCGGGAATCAAAACCAGGTCACCAGTTTCGTAGCGCAGTGCACTAACCGCTACCACACTGCGTCACTGCACCTCACCATGCACATCCCCCCATCCTACCAACACACGCGCATGCACCAACGCACCCTGCCCTCAGCGATGGCGATGCTGTCGTGGCCGAGGGTGATGGCAGTGGCGGCGCGCGTGAACAAGGGGCTCCCCACCACAGGCAGGTACTCGTGGTCCAGGACGCCAGCCCCCATCTGCTGCTCCACGCGCGCCACCACGGGCAGCACCCAGGGCTGCCCCTCGTCCGTGCGGTACGCTGCACACACGCGGACGCACACAGGTTTAGACGACGATCCCCCCCCCTTGTGTAGCCTACCCAGGCTGTTGATGCGAGCGCTGTTCATGAGCACCTGTGAAGGCAAATATTGCACTTGAGTGGGTGGTGTAGCTAGCACCACGCCCGACCAAGTTTGTCTCCCAAGTGGGGATATTCACATACAGCACCAGGTACTCATTTAAGGCTGAATTGACCTTAGGAAGGCCCGGGACCAGTTCAAATAATCACCAAAGATGTTGGCTGTGAATTGAAATGGAACTCTGGTCAGTGAGTTCGTAGCTAGTACACTGCGCCATCACAAATATAGACAACAACAGCCACTATTCGCCACGCTAGGTGCACTTTGAGGCCATGTGAAGTATCAAAGGCTTGCTGACAGGTCATGGGACAGACCAAGGTGATACGAGTTAACTGACCGATGCACCACCTGTGCTCTCCACTGTATGAACTTGCGTTTTAGCCTCCCGGTGCTCTGCTTGTTGTTGTGCACATCAATTCTCTGCTCTCCGCTGTTGTTTGAGGCCAACTACTTCCAACTGTCCAGTAGCGTCCTTCACAACGCCTCCACTGTTAGTAGCAGTCACTAGAAAGTCTAATAAGCTTCACATCCTATTGTGCCACATCAGCCCGGACAGAGAATATGGCACCCACCCAAGTCTGAAACCATATTGGGCTCCGCATATCTCTGTTCAGCGTGCTTGGCAAGGTGATGTTGAAAAATCCTTACCAGAACGTGAGATGATCTAGCCCATGTCTTACAATCAATCTGGGCCAGTTGCTGCAGACCCACTTGGGAATTAAAATAACCCAAAAAGGTTACTATACTGAGGGGGTTTACTTTCGTCCACACCTGGGACAGGTCATAGAATGCATTTGACTCCTCAGCATCCCTCCACTGATGCTCATATTCTGTGTGTGACCAAGGCACCACTCCCACCCTTCCTTGCCTCCTGCTGATGGGGAGGCAGCTTTCCATATCTCACCAAACACTCCAACACCCCCTTCATTCTTTTGTTCATAAAAAGAGCCAAGAGAAGAAACTGTCCACCCTCATGGTGACTGGAGCCAGAACCAGTCCACCGCACCTTTTGTATTCCACAGAGGTCCGGGTGGTACCGGTCCAGCTCCCCACAGAAGAACTGCATGTGGTCAGTCACAGTGTTTTTTTATATTTCTGTAGGAACCCAGAGGGGGAGGGTGAAGTGGTTCAGTCTCTTGGTTCCAAATGAGGTTTGGCGAGTAGAGGGGTCGGAAACCTGTGGCTCTAGAGCCGTATTCGCTTCTAAGGACCATCTTCATGACGTGATTTATTAAGGACCACCGTCTCATATTCACATTGCATTGTGGCTCCTGAATTATTTTTTTATATATAGAATTCTTTAAAAAAATGGCTCTTCTTGTTATTTCAATTGCCGACCCCTGGGCTAGGAAATGTCATATAGGCACCTGTCTTCCTCTGCGCCTCTGGTACAAGCAGAGTTTGAACTTTGTGTTTTTAGTGATTTAGTTGAAGGTGGAGGGTGTTACCAGCCCCTTGCACCCATCGAGAGCCCCCGGTGGCCTATTAGATGAACTATAAAATCATGACGTTACAAGCATGCTGTCAATTACCCGCACCACCACCACTCTTCGCGCACCCACACAGCCAACATCCCCGCGTAGCGGGGTAATCCTAACATCATGTGAACAACCCGGAGATCCAAGGTCACCCCTCCGACAGAAACATCACCACCACATCTCCAGCCATCAATGTCTTCATCACCATCACTGGTACCACTGCCTCTATTATCATCAAGGTTATCATCCCTGACACCACCCTACCGTCGGTACCAGCATCTCCTTAATTATCACTGTCATCACCACCACTATTACCCCTGAAGCCATCACGCGAGCTAGGAGCAATAAACGCAATAGCTGCCGACGAGACGACGGGGCTTGGATAGCAGTTCTACTGGGGAGGTCACAGGGAACCTTTTGAATAAGACTGACTTCCCTATGGTAAGTTTCGAATAGCAACATAACGTTATACTAAACTCAACACCAAAGTTTTGTTCAAACTGGATTCTTCTTTACAGGTAATCATAACGGGACAGAGTAAACACATTTACACTTACGACCTTGGATGAAAAGTATTAAAAAGTCAAAACACACAAACACAGATGTAATCTCCCGAGTGCCCAGTAAAAACCTGCGTGACTGATCTGTCACAGCTGCACCAAGGAAACATTGAACTTTGAAGCGAGTGGGGAGGGGGGCCGAACTTGCAATCTGATCTTCTGAGCTGCCAAATCCGAATCCTTTTAAAGGCAGTGTCAACTGACCAAAGTCTTGCGTTTTTTTTGCGATGTATGCTTGTGCGCCGCTGCCATTATCATCAACTAACGTGACAATCTGATGGGAAAAGCTCCCAGACTAAATAGCCCCAAGTGACATGAACCCATGGACATAGCCCTGCAGACTGAGAACTTGGGTTGCCACCTGTCCTGGTTTTCCCCAGGACGTCCTCTTTTTTTCGTGGTAGTTCTAGTGGGAGATCTGTAAATCTTAGTATGATATAAAAAATCCCAGTTTTTGTCAGCAGCGTAATAATAGCAGAACATGCTCCATGGACAGAAGCTTCCTTCTTCACTCTGCTATCCAGATATGGAACTGCCTACCAGAACACACTGTCGGCATGATAACCAATTTTGGTCTTCAGGCCTTGAAATGCCAAGCACATGGACATCTCCTAACTTGATCTCACACCTCGTCGGGACTGAATCTTTGAGCACAATGATTTATGTATTCATGTCTGATATGGCTATTCACAATTGCACCCAATAAAAAAAATACACCACGCAATGAGATTTTTAAATTTCCATGTTGCGTTTTTCTTGTATCTCAGGAGGTGGCAACTGTTTGAGGGTCCAACCCTGTTTCACCTCCGCGGATAACCCAACAGCGTCATTACTTTACCCAGGATCAGCTGGGAATATGATAATTACTGAGTGAGCCCATCAACAATCCCCTCCTGCCCAAGAGTTGGAATGTACTAGCTGCGCCTAAGCGCAAAAAGGGACCGGAGCGTTGACTGATAGATGAACATGGTGTGCTCGTGTATTAAAAACCAATTTGGCAATGGTATACAATGTACACACATATATTTGTCATGTCTATTCGCAGACTGTTTACGCAATTGTATGCAGGTTTCCTCTCATTTGGGAGATCCGGAGTGTGACGGACACTTGTGAATTACATACATATACACTAAAGTACCCGTTGTTTGAATCAGAATCTGATGAGCTATGAAGCTCTTTATCACATATCTAGTAGGGGCGGTTCATTAAGTTATAACACCTTGGCACGCTCGCCGTGGAGGATGCTCGGCGGTCTACCATTAACATGCTAATCTCTTACATTAACATAGCCTTACACACCTCAAAACACAGTTCACACAGCGCACGCCTCGACATGCACACCCCACTCGCCTCACCGTGACACCTCCACACTCGCCCCTCTCCTCTCACCCCGCACACGAATGCACCACTCCATCCACCACACCACAACAGCTGACACACACACACTCACTCCCTACCACACATACGCACAGGCGCAGATCGCTATACGCCCCTAACCGATTAACACGATTGGCTACGTACCGTGCGAAAGAAGTTCAACGTGTACACCTCACCACGAAGTGGATAGCAAACCTGTCAACCCCTTATCAGTGCCTACCTTATTACAGACCAATTTAGACAGTCACCCCGTGCCCTTAGAAATCTTAACGTTCATCCTACAAAGTCACATCACAAGGGAGAAACCCAAAATAGACATTCTTTTGCCCGTATTGAAACGGCTATACGCAGTATGGACCTGAAAACTCAATTTCCCTGTACAATAATACGGGTAACCCGTATGGGTTGACAGGTATGGGATAGCCCCGATACACCTCACGGACCCAACCACCACCCCGCAGCACACCCGACACGCACACACAAACCACCCCAACACCCCACACAGCTCTCCCTCACACTCCACACCATATGATCCCGAAAACAATCGGCGTTCATCATTCAGTGGCGGCTACGTAACCATGGCGTCTGTGCCAGGCTAGGTGCACTTTGAGGATACGTGAAGGGTTCACGGATCGCTGACAGGTCACCGGACAGACTCGGGGTGCCACGGGTTGACCGCCTAAGACGACCACCATGACAACGCCGCAACCACACACGCCACCACGCACCTCCCACGCCGAGGTTGACTTTCTTGGGGTCGGGGTCGGCTTTGAAGTCGGCCGTGAGTTGGAACACGGCCACGGGCGGCGCCAGGGGAACCTCCGAGAACCACGACTGAGATGACATCGTAAGGCACGGGAGGGGGGGAAGCGGAGGAGCGAGTTAGGCGGCGGCGGCGGCGGCAGCGGCAGAGCGCGACTAAGAGCAGCGAGGCTGCACCAACTTCACGCCGCCCCCTATTTACCCGCTCCGACTCGATGGGCGTCATCAAGCGGCCATGCTGTGTAGGGAAGCAGAGAGTCCAAACCCAGCCACCTCCCAACGTGAATGCGAGGGAGGGGTGGGCGGTGCGCAGGGCTCGTAAGCCGCCACGCTTGTCCCCCTGAGCAAGATGGCCGCCGTGGGATTGTCGCGCGGGGAATGACGCGCGGGGCGGTTGTGACCTCCAATGGGGTTGGGATAAGGACGCGGGGATTAAATGTCACCGTTTGGTGCTTGTTTTTGTTTTTTTATCGAACACAAATGTGTTGCAGTATTATAACACCGGGGATCGCTGAGGCCATCCGATTCGATTCCCGCTCACCGTCACAGACGACACCAGCAGTGTGACGATTATTTGAAACCGATTCCGCCCCCCAGGTCGACTCGGCCTCGTGCGGTGTGTGAAAACATCGCCACTGGGGAGACAAAGGCGGCCGGGCGTGGTGTCGGCTTTCATAGGTGCTGCTCGCTAACAGAACCTGCTCCAACTGGCTGTTCAGGCTATAAGGGGGACCCTTGTCTGTGTTTGTGATTTTAATGCAATGTGTTTTAAGATCCCACTGTTAAGGGGGCACTTTAAACAAATACAAAGCCCCCTGCATCGCCGAATGTGAAATAGGGATGCAAAATTATTAAGCAAAAAATGTGCGAAAAATGTATTACGAGGCAACTACAGAACAGAGATTTAATCTTAACGAGTGCCCAGAGGTCGTAGAATGAAGGGCGAATTCCTATTTGTCGGTGCCTAAATCTCGCGAGGGCGAACTGACCAATGATGTGGCTGGACATGAAGAGCTTGACCAATCACCTGCCACGATAATCGCGTTTATGGGGGGCGCGGTGACCTAGGAGTGCTGTGATTGGCTGACGCCACGAACCAATGGACAGCACCGTTGGCGAGGATGCGCATAAATATGGCGGTTCAATGTGACCCTGGCGGTGCCGCATTCAGAAACCGTACCCCAGATAGCCGGCCCCGCCTGACGGAAAATCAATATGGTCCCATTGATAAGCATAGAGGGGCCAGTATGATATTGAATAACAAAATGAAAAAGATAAACACCGCGAATGGCCCCGCGTGTCAACAATAGCAGCGACATAAACGCGATCGTTACATTGCACACGCAGTGCACGCAATCACTCATAGCAGCCCTCGCGTTTTGGCTTTAAGTAAAAGTCTACAGATTTGTCCATAACTGCCATAAAGAGGGCCATTCCCCGAAACGTCGTATTGTTTTCCTTTTCATGGGAGTGTTCAATATTCTGTCTCCTCCCCCCACACCCATGCAGATGCTTTATTATAAAAGTGTGTTTTATTAAATCCATTCAACTATTTTGTTGCTTTCACCTTTCATACCAAAGCAGTATCGCGAATTTATGCCGAGTTTCGGCTGTAGGTGTTCTTGCCAGTTTCACCTGCGGCCGTCTGGAACACTCTCCCTTCCGATACCGTACTAGGAAGCCACTGGGAGCTACGCACCTTTAAATCTAGATTCAAAACTAATTTCTTTAGAACTGCTTTTTGTTTTTAGTTTAGTCCTTCCCCCGCACCTCCGATTAGCACGGTTAGCTGCATAAGGTGTGAAATAAGTTGAATATACATGCACCACGTTGTGCTTAAATTGTTTTGACTGCTCAAATTCCCGACAATTTCTGCCTCCCCCCTACCCTACAGTGGCAGATGTGAATTCCTATTCACTCATTTCAGGGAACTTATTCCGCCAATCACTTCCGAGAATTCAACATTTTACACAATGTTATGATCAACCATAATCACTCATCCACATTAATTAAGTCAACTCATTCCCACGTTCACAATTTCACTCATTTAGATGCGTCCGTCACGAGGCGAGGGTTGTTTGACCATACTTCATCACGCCAGTCAATTGTGTCAAAAGGATCGCAGTTCGTCTCGCCTCTCAATGGGAACCTGGCCAATGTGCCTGTCTTTTTCTAGACCTGTCCAAAGCTTTTGATACAGTAGACCACACCACCATGCTTGTTAAACTAAGTTGCCTCGGTTTTTCCGAAAACGCAGTAAAATGGTTACAAAATTACCTCTTTTCTCGCACCCAAACTGTATTCACAGATGGTTGGAGGTCAAACAGTGTTAAGATAACAAAAGGGGTTCCACAGGGTTCCATCCTCGGCCCCCTTTTGTTCTCTCTTTATGTCAATAACTTGGGCACTGACCTGGATCATTCCAGGGTAAATCTTTTTGCAGATGACACGATACTGATTACTGCTGACCGCTCTCCGGATGACGTGATTGCTAAGCTACAGGGTGATTTCAACAAACTACAACATCAGCTAGTTGCTCTTAAACTAGTCCTGAATACCTCCAAAACCAAGGTGCTATGCTTCTCACCAGGACTAAAGCAGGAAGTATTTTTTCCCCATTTTACATTCCTTAAATAATTGTCAAATAGAGCAAGTCAAGATCTATAAGTATCTTGGGGTCATCCTGGATTCAAAACTGAATTTTGAAGATCACGTTGATTATATTGGTAAAAAGACAAAAATTGGTTTTCTGTATCGACACAAGCACTGCTTCGCCCCAATGTTCCGTTTGGAATTGATAAAAGCTACTATACTGCCTCTACTTTACGACTGTGACATCGTGTATAAATCAGCCCCAAGGACTGTATTGAAGCTTGATTCCATCTATAACTCGGCCTTAAGATTTACACTGAACTGCCCATATAGGACTCACCACTGTGATCTCTACATTGGGTCAAACTTAACATCTCTTAATGTTCGACGGCTTGTGCACCAGATCTTATTTATTCACGATGTACTTACAAAAAAATCCGCAGACTACCTGCTGGATCTCCTCTGTTTCAAAGAACAAATTTGACCTCAGGTCTTCGCTCATTTACCAGCTTCACATTCCCTATTGCCGTACAAAAACTGGAGGAAGTGCCTTTGCTATTGATGCCCCCAGAGTCTGGAATGCTATTGCCAATAAACTGCAACTTGAATCGCTACCAATGAGATCTTCTCTCAAAACTGCTCTGGAGGAGTTGTACACCCCAAGCTGCCACTGCTATTCATTGGCGTAAAATAAAATAAAATGTTTCGCTCCGGATGACGTTGCAAAGTATTATCTGTATTTTGATTTAGCGTGCTGATCTTAAAGGTGCATTGAAAAATTTGATACTCCGACCGATGCTTCTGTTGTTGAGTAACTCATGCAGCCAGCTATGGCTCTAGGGTTTGGTGTTACATGTTATTTATGTAGTTTATTGTAAAAATTCGGTCACAGTCCTTGTGATCACTGTTACGTTGCAATTACGGCTTTATATTTTGGTGATTTGGAAAAAGTTTTTTTGTTTGGACATGTTTGTTTTGTTGTAGTACGGAGTTAGACTGATGGCCTTAATCTAAGTTTTCTTGTGGTTGTTGTTGTTGTTTGACTTGCATCCCACTGGGATTTTTTGCACACAGCGTTGGTGTACGGTGCTTTTTTCAGGAATATTTTTGCTGTTTTTTTCATGGATTTTCTGTTTGCACAGTCACATAGTCACTTTAAGATGTTTTTCTTGTTTATGTTTTTGTTTTTTTGTTTGTTGTGGTTGCACCTGATTCAAGAGCCGAATGGCTCACAGGGCTATACCAAAATAAACTGACCTGAACTCACATCTACATGGCTATCAAGCTGCTTTGTTACATTCAGGCAGTGCCCCGTTTAAAAAGAAACACAAAACATTGAAACAGCACACTTTCCAACAGGCCAGACATGTTCTCAATAGTTTTGTATTCTACAAACCAAAAAACTACTGGCTATAACAAAACAATATTCAAGGTAATGTGCGGAATCAACTGTGGTCATTATACATTCATACTCGTTTCCGCCATGAAAACGTGGAATGTCCACCACTTTGTCCTGGACCACCATTGGTTATTTCAGGACGTTTTTGTCTTCCCCCCGCCTCCCCCACCAAGTTGTAACTAGATATTGTGAGAGGTGCCACGAGACGAAGGATCTATTCGAACTCTCGCAAAGCGAGATGCACAAATCTCCACGCTCGAGAAGGGCCCGCAGAAGAGGAAATCAGTGCCACCTCTGAGCCACCATCTTCAACAAGTGGCCTCTTCTGGTTCACACTGTAGGCTAAGTGTTATTCACTCATTTTCATGGGGGGGGGGGGGGTGCACTTTCGCTGATAAGACATCAGTGAGGGCCGCCACACATTTGAAACCATTGGGTTTGAAAGCATGGTAGGATGTTTTCACTGTGTATTGTCTGGGGGCCGCACTAAAGGACACCAGGGGCTGTCAGTGGCCCACGGACCTTGCAATTAAGAACACTGCAGCAGGCAATGGTGGATATGGGTAGAAATGAGGCGAAACGCATCACAACGCCGTGGTGGGAGTGAAGATTTGAACCCTGTGACTGCATTCCGGAAGGAATCGAGGATTCATCTGTTTTTTTCCTACCCCCTAACCTTCCGCTAACTTGTAAGGTTTCCATACTCGTCGCATGAAATTGATTTAAGACGATGGTACTTTGCAATCCGACTGGCTATCAACAAACATTCGTTCACGAAGCCATCCATATATAGACAAAATTTCAACGGAGACATAAACTCAGAAATCATTGGAAAGATGTCATCAACCACTTTGGGTCATAACTTTATTTGTTTTCTTATCAGCCTCTACCGTCAGCAGTGTTAATGTGTGTAGCGAGGTGCAATGCTCCCCCCCTCTCTGCCCCCTTCCTCCCCCCCATTGTCTGCTCCTACATTAGCGCTGGCTAACTGGCTGCCCCGCCCATGCTGTTTGCGCTACACAAGCTATCCTCCTCCCAACTCCCCCATTGTTCTGCTCCTGCAATAGCGCTGGCTGACTGGATGCCCGCCCGTGCTGCTTGTGCAGCTTTCGTCCCCAGCCCACTCGCTTGGAAACCCTTATTAGCAGTTGCAATTGGAGGCTTGCCCCCTCTTTTCTCTCCGCCTGATGAAGATCACGTGTTGCAATCGAAACGTCGCGGGTTTTTTTGCTTTGATTATTTTTCAATTTAATTGTAATATTTTTATTGTGGGTTTTTTGCTTTTATTTTCAATTTTTATTATTTTTTATTTAATTTTATTTGTATTTTTGTTTTCTATCAAACGTGACTTTACCGAAAGAACCAAGAAAATGAACTCTAAACATATTTTAACATTTAAATGCCTCAGCCACAGAGAAATTTGTTGTAAACACTTAAGAATGGTTTGTAACGATTTACCGGTCACCCCATTTTAAACACCACGCAGGCATTGGTGCTCATTATTCACCAACCATTTCATGCGAGCCTTGAACCTGAGCCAGGGGCATAACAGACATAACTTAAAGCAGATGCCATGTCAACCCATGTCACTGTGGCTGATGCACGATTCACGAATTGATGCATTCTCATGGCAAATTTCTCGAATATTGGCTTATGGCATTTTTTATGGGTTGTCTTAATGCATAAATAAGCCATAAAATACATGATTATAAGACAATTTTTTTTATAATAAACAAAGTAAATATAAAAAATATTAAAACATATCATAGTTTATAAATGAACTTACATTAAATTACGATGCTATGCATCATCACGATCTCTCTGTCTCCCTCGATGCAGTAGTGTAGAGTTCCAGATGCGATTCGCGGATAGCCAAAATCACGGGTAACAAGTTCATGAATAACGAGGGATACTGTACGTCCTTTCGATTAAAAAAAAAAACTTGTGTTCGCATAAACGGCACTTTAATTGGACAAAAAAAGAATTGAACTAGTAAATAACTCGTCTTGCAGGCCCACATGCCACTGCTCATAAGAACGCTGCCGGAGTGCTGGATTGTAATCGTCGATGCTTCTGTCAGTGTGTTGACTTGTGTAGAACTTTCTCTGGATGTTTTGACTTCTTAATTTCTCTCACATTTCCTCCCCCCCTCTGGTGCATATCAGGTTCAATTCTCGAGGGATGATGTTATCAAAAGAAAAATTCTGTCGTGGTCATGTCGTGTGTCGATATATCAGGTGTCGTTTCTTCTGTTGCTTTATCGGGCGAGTGCAAATCAGCTGCTGTTATATCAGCTGTAATGTCAGCAGAAGTTATGTTGGGTGTTGTTATGTCATCTGTAGTTATGTCAGCTGCTGTTATATGAACTGTAACTATGTCATGAGTTATATCAGCTCTAGATATATGTCCTCTTATATCAGCTGTAGCTACGACATGAGTTGTTATATCAGCTGTAGCTACATCATGTGCTGTTATATCAACTGGAGCTATGTCATGAGGTGTTATACCAGCTGTAGGTATGCTTTGTGCTGTTATGTCAGCTGTAGCTACATCATGAGCTGTTATGTCAGCTCCAGCTATGTTGTGTGCTGTCATATCAGCTCCAGTTATGTTATGTGCCGTTTTGTCAATTGTAGCTATGTTGGCTGGTGTTTCATCAGCCTTCGCATTGCCGAGTCCGGTTTTAGCTGGAGTGGTTGTGTCATGCGTGGCTGTGTCGGGCGAGGTGGCTACAGCAGCTGCGGCTGTGCCTTCCGCGGCTGTGCTTTCCGCGGCTGCATCATGCATTGGCGCCTCTGCTGCCGTCCAATCGGCCGTGCCGACATCTTCATTATCCCTGTATTCGGTAATTTGCAGAGTGCCCTTAGCAACTCCTGTGTCAACACCACCATCGCCATTGCCGCCACCGTCGCCACCATCGCCACCACCCGCTTGTATGATCAGTATCGTCATCCGCTCTCTCGTGGGTGCTGTCACCGCATGCTCGGCAGGACCTGCGCAGGATGCGGCGAAATGCGGCGGGGACAGCGCGAGTGGAGGTGGAACCGGGTGCTCAGTGGTGCAGTGGTACTGCCGGGCCGATTGATGCCGGAAGGAGAGGGGGCAGCTGGGGCAGCAGAAGGGCAGGCCTCCTGCGTGCAACAAGAGACGCGAGACATTCCACCACTCAGTCATGCACACCGGAGGAGCAAGTTCTGTTAGCGGGCGCAGGTTAAGGCTGCCATGACGCAACAGGGGGTGGGGGTGTGGCCAGAAACAAAAAATATAGCAGCACTAGCAGTTCTAGCTGCCAGCAACGTCACTGCCATGACGGTGGTGTTGTGACTGGGTCGTGTGGTCGAGTGTTGTGGTGCGCCTTGGCGGTGTATATGGGCGATGTGGTGTACGTGATTGGGGTGATCGGCTGCATTCCCACCGGGGTGTGTGCTCTTGAGGTGGTTGTGCAACGCGCGGCTGTCGGCGAACACGGCCTGGCACAGGCCACACAGCTGTGGCTGGGACTCTGTCACGGCAAGAGGTACGACGGGAGAACACAGTGAGCCACATCAAACAATACCACTCCACTCGCAACCATAAAACACACTACACAGAACCATACACCACCACAATACACACTCTACTACCACCACACAACACAACCATACACCACCAGACTACACACTGCACCACTACCACACAACATAGAACCACACAACACCACACCACAGAACCCAACACCACCACACCGATTGTCCCCGTGCACCACCACACATCACTCACTATGACCACACGCCACCATACAACCACACCGCTCACCACACGCTATCACCATACATCACCACCACACACCACAATTACGACCACAGCCCCATGCAGCACACCACGGCTGTCCCGACCAGCCCTGCGCACCGCAGTCGCGGGCCTTGCTGTGCCGGATGTACGCCGCTTTGCCATCAAAGGTGGTGTCGCAAAGGTGGCAGACGAGAGGTCCGGCCCGCGCGGTGCTGCGGCGATTCTGAGCGGCAAACACCGCTGGGTGATGCACGCGGTTGTGGTACCACAGCCCTGACAGGTGCTATACACACACACATACACAGATACATGCATACACACATACATACAGATACAATACACGAATAACCCCCATATAGCCTTAACAGACTGTGGGGGCAAGTGCTGTTAGCGAGTACCTATGAAGGCCGGCAAGGCACACAAAGAGGTGGGTGGCCAGCTCCATGCCCTGGCGCTTTTATCTCCTGAGTAGCAATGTTTTTATACACCGCACCAGGTACACATTTGAGGCTGAGTTGCCCTAGGGGAGGCCCAGGACCTGTTCAGATAATCGTCACTGGTGTTGGCCATGAGCGTGAATCGAACTCAAGTCGCCGGGTGCATAGCGCCGCGCGCTAACTGCTGCTCCACTGCTCTCCATAAACACATATACATACAGATTACATACATACACAGATACATACACAACGACAACAACTGATGTTTGCCACTAAGTGGAGGTGATGTTACCATGGCACTAATGCCAAGCTAGGTGCATCTTAAGGCCACGTAAAGTGTCGAAGTGCTCGCTGACAGGTCATGGGACAGATCCAGGTCTTATGGGTTCACAGACTGAGATAACTGGCAGATGCACCATCTGTGCCCCCTACTGTGCCAACTTTCTGTATTTTAGCCGCCCGGCACTTTGCTCTTTGTTCTGAGCATCGCTACTCTGCTCTCCTGTGTCGCTGGAGGGCAACTGCCTCCAACTCACCAGTAGCATCCTTCACGAGCCACAGAGGCTGATCTTGACACCCCTGGTACCAGTCATGACAAGTTCACTGAACTCCACATCCTCCCGTACCGCATCAGCCCATCTCTTTTTTAGCACATGCCATGCCCATAAATCCCCCTCTATCCAGCCAAACAGAAGCTGCTTTGGAACGAATGTGCATGTTGTGACCTTTAGTCTCTCACCTGGTAGGCCTTGCAACACACGTCACAGGAGTAGGGTTTGCCTCCCAGGTGAGTCACCAGGTGTCGCTCCAAGGCGGCGGGAGTGGTGAAGGTGCGCTGGCAGTGGTCGCATGGGAAGCACTCGTTTGGGTGTGTCTCTGTGGGTACAGAGACAAGACGTCCCCCGTTTTAACAGACCATTGGGGTAAGTGCTGTTAGTGAGAATCACATGAAAGGCCAATGCGGCACACGAGGGGGTGTGTGGCCAGCACCTTGTCCGGCCACCTTTGTCCCCCCCAGTGTTCTTTCAGGATGAGTCAACCTAGGGCAGTGATTGGCAACCTACGGCTCTGGAGCCGCATGCGACTCTTTGGCTTCCCCCTTGCACCTCTTTGGCTACCCCTTTGTGGGCAGCCGTTTAAAAGAAAAAACTGTAAATCTTAAACATAATTTAACATGAAGAAAAAATTCCATAATAGAGGTTTTTGGGTTAAATCACGTAAATATATAAATGTGTCGTTAAAACCCGCCACCACCCGACACAGACAACTAGTAAGGTTTGTCACGTAAAGAGAACGTGCCAATTCGTCACAAGTACAGCACACCGGTGTGATGGAGAGCCAAGCCACAACATTTACAAACCGAGTACGACGTTTCGCCAGTAATTACAACTTGCTTCATCAGGCGACAGCCAGATTTATGGAGAAGTCTTACTGTTTCGTTCCTTATATAGAGGCGTAGATGTGTGGACCACCTTTCTGCGCTCTTGTACAACGTGGGGGAGGGGATTATTGAGGCAACGTATATTATGCATGTGCATTATGTGAGCCCTTTTAACTTGTCCTTCCTATCTATTGTTTATTAAAATAGCCCTACCAACGGAAATTCCAATTGAAGTACGCTGCCCTATGTAGGCATGCATTTAAATAATGTATTATTTGATGATTCGCTTCCACGCAGCTCTAAGACGGTAGCTATCCAAACGGTTAAAGTTATTTTTATTTCTTTAAATTTCCACAGATTCTCTAATTAGTCTTGGCGAAACGTCGTACTCAGATTGTAAATGTTGTGGCTTGGCTCTCCAACACACCGGTGTGCTGTACTTGTGACGAATTGGCATGTTCTGTTTACGTGACAACCCCAACTAGTTGGCTGTGTTGGGTGGTGGCGGGTTTTAACTACACATTTATATATTTACGCGATCTAACCCAAAAACCTATATTATGGATATTGGTCGTGAAAGCCTACGTGTTAAACTGATAAAATATGGCAGAGAATGTGTCACTATAGAATGTCTCGGTGACAACAAAATGTCCAATAGTCAAACTGTATTGTTGAAGAATAACTAAGGGGAAAAAACTAAAGTGACGCAATTTATTCCTTCACCTACCTTGTTTATTTAAGTCAGAATTTGTTCAATCTTGACTTAAAACTTTCGTGACTACAGGAATTCATATTCTTTGGGTCTTTCGGTAAATTCACGTAGATAGGTTGAAAGAAAATAAAAAAAAACTACTTATTTATGTTATTTTCTTTGAACATATCTACGTGACTTTACCGAAAGACCCAAAAAATCAGAATGTTATTTGCTGTATACCGGCTGCTGTGTTTGTATACTAGTAACTCTGTATGTGATGCAAACTATTTTGACAAAAAAACTGGCTTTTGCGACTGTTATTAGTCATAAGAGTGGGAATCTAACTTGTATCGCTGGGTTCGTAACACAGTGCGTGAGCCACTGCACTCCCCGCTCTCCACAAACTACACCCGCGCACACACGCAAAGATGGGCACACACACACACAAACACGTGAACGCAGTATATTTATGCGGCTTACCTTTGATGTGATTAAAATACTCCTCGGCTGAAGGGAAACTCAAGTGGCACTTCTGACAGTCATTGGGTTCCTCTATGACTACACGCACAAACACACGTATGAATATACGCATGTACACATATGCATGCACGGACTCACTACTGAACTATGAAGTAAAGCCCACAAATAATAGCCAAGGTGGAAATTTATAGCAGCCAAACACTCAAAGCGCATGTTTATAAATGTGGAGGGGAAAACCGGAGGGCCCGGAGAAAAATCCACATGAGCACAGGGAGAACTTGCGAACTCCAAATATACACCAGGCATCAGGGTCGGGATCGAACCCAAGACCTCCTCTATACCAGGCGAGGGAGGTAACCTCTCGCCACCGCGGCGCCCCTACACACGCTTACATGCACAGGCTAACACACACATAAATGCACACTTTCAGAGACGTACATGTATATAGAGTATGCAGTGATATGTGGTGGTGTGGTGTCATCATGTGGTGAGACCATGGTATAATACTTCGTGCTGTGACGCGGTGCGCCGCTCATGGTGGTGGGTACGGAGGTGCAGCGAGGATCCATTGGCCTGGCTGTATGTATGTGTGTAGAACTTCGTTCGCCTAGTACACAGCCAACCGTGCTAATTCGAGGTACGTGGGAAGGACAACTAAACACAAAAGGCAATTCTAAAGAAATGAGTTTTCAATGTAGATGATTTAAAAGTGCATAGCTTCAGTGGCTTCCCAATATCTGACGGAAGAGCGTTCCAGATGGCTGCAGAAGCACATCTTAAACCGCGTGATGCAGTGACCATCTTTGTTCAATGGCAAGCCAGATTCCACTGTAGTAGTTGTGGTTGTAATGTGTTTGTAGCCACGGTGGTGTGGTATTGTTTCACGGTGTGGTGTGATGCGGTCTGACGCGGTGTGGCACGGAGTTCCGCGCACGGAAAGCCACTCACGGTGGTGGGTGCGGAGGTGTGGCTAGAGTCCGTTGGGCTAGCTGAATGAAGCCCTGGTGGTTTGGTACCGTTTCAGGGTGTGGTGTGACATAGAGTGATGTGGAGTTCCGCTCACGGTGGTGGGTGCGGAGGTGCAGCGAGAGTCCGTTGGCCTGGCTGAAGCCCTTGCCGCAAGGGCGACACACGTAGGGGCGGTCCCCCGTATGCGTGCGCACGTGGCGTGTCAGCTCCACCGCCTGAGGAAACGCGGCCTCGCAGTACTGGCAGCTGTACAGCCGGCCTGCACCACAACCGCAGCAACCACAATAACCACCACAAGCACTGCATTACCACAATCACAGCCACAGCAACCTCAATACAACAATATTACAACCACAACCACTGCATGACTACAGTCCAAACCACAGAAACTCCAATATAACCATAACTATTGCATAACCAGTGACAGCACCAGCAACCTCAATACAACCGCAATACCACCACAACCAGGGCATGACCACAATCACATCTACAGCATCCTTAATGCAACCACCTAACAACCACAACCACAACTTCGGCATTCCGTGTGTGTCTAAGTCTTCCCTCGTGTCCATGTGTCTTTAGGTCCCCTTGTCTCCCATGTCTCCCCATACATTCCCGTCTGCCTATGTTTCCCCATGTGTCTCCGTGTCCCTGTGTGTCCCAGTGTCTCCCTGTGTGTCCCCATGTCTCCCCATGTGTGTCCACGTCTTCCTGTGTGTGTGTCCGCGTGTTGTCTCTTAGTGTCGTCTCCTCCGCGCGCGTGCAGTACCCATGGCGTGCTTCCGCTTGAGGTGGTATGCGAGTGCCGCGGGCTGCGGGAAGGCGAGGGGGCAGTGTGGGCACGTGTGCGGGCGCTCGCCCGTGTGGAGACGCTCGTGGTTCTTGAGCGTGGAGGCGGCGGCGAAGCGGCTGCCGCACTCGCCACACGCAAACGGCTTCTCCGCAAAGTGTTCCGAGCGCTGGTGGTACAGCATGCCTGAGACAAAGACAAAGATCCCCCGTATAGCCAAAAGAGACTGTTAAGGCAAGTGCTGTTAAAGAGTAGTACCTATGAAGGCCGACATGGCCCACTTGGCAGTGGGTGGCCAACACCACACCCAGCCACCTTTTTCTCCCCACTGGTGATGTTTACACACCACACTAAGTACTAATTTGAGGCTGAGTTGACCTAGGGGAGGCCCATGACCGGTTCAGATAATCGTCACTGGAGTTGGCCATAAGCGGGAATAGAACTCGGTCCTTGGGTTCATAGCGCAGACGCTAACCACAACAATGCCTCAAAACACACACAATCACTCACACATAAACATAAATACATACAAATACATCACACTGTCACCACAGATGACACACACCACACATACACACCACGCTGTCACCAAACAAACTCCAAAGACAAAGATCCCCCCATATAGCTTTAACAGACATTAGGGGCAAGTGCTGTTAAGCGAGCATCTATAAAGGCTGGCACGGCACATGAAGGAGTGCATGGCCAGCACCCCAGAAGCGATGTTTTACACACCATACCAGGTAAAAACTTAAGGATGAGTTTACCTAGGAGAGGCCCATAAACTGGTTCAGATAATCATCATGGATGTTGGTCGTGGGCGGGAATCGAACTCGGGTTGCCGGGTTCACAATGTAGCACGCTAACCGCTACACTACTACCATTCTCCACAAATACATACATACATTGCTGCACAGGTTACTGCGGCAAGTACTGTTAGCGAGTGGCATCTATGCAAGCCAGCGTGGCACACGAGGAGGTGGTGTAACCAGAGCCACGCCTGGCTCCCTTTGTCATATGATGACGATTATCTTGAGGCAGTGTTTATTAACACCCCTCCCTCTCTGTTCCGCTGCTTCTGCCACTCCGGAGGGATAACCATGGCACAGCCTCCGTTCGACAGATCGCGTGTGTGGTGGGAAAAAAACGTGGGTAATGCTACCTCTTCCAGCAAGTCTGGCCGGTATGGAAGAGTAGGCAAAAGTACCACACAGAGGGGCTCCCCCTCTGGTGAAGGAGGGCCCCCCCCGCGCCTTCTGCCACAGCAGTGGCGTGAGCGAGCATTGTGGGGCTTTGCCGTGGTGCCGCTGGTGCGTGCTCACCGGCCATGTACTGGAACACCTTCCCGCAGAGGTTGCACGCAATGGGAGGTCGCTTTCTGCGCTTCTTCCGGGATGTAGGGCCAGACGCCTTCTCTCTACCCCCAATCTCTCCTGCCTGCAGCAGGGATGACATTTTGAGGTGCTGTCAGCATAACAGTGAAGATTCAAACCTAATTGAAAAAGGGTAATACCTCACGGAGTTAAGTATGTATGGATGTTGAACAAAAATCAGTTCTAAAGAAATTCGTTTTCAAATTTAGATTAACTAAAAGTGCATAGCTCTAGTGGCTTCCTAATATCGGAAGAGCGTTCTAGACGGCCACAGAAGCGCATTTGAAAGTGTGCGATGCAGTGACTGTCTTTGTTCGATAGTTAGCCAAAAGCCACTGCTGTGAGGATTACCGGAATTTTTGATGGATTACGCTCCTTGGCGAGAGCAGCAAGGTCTTGTGTCTGTATGTGTGTATGTAACTTATTTTGCACCGTACGTAGCCAACCGTGCTAAACAGAGGTGCAGGGGGAAGAACAACAAACTCAACACAAAAAGCTGTTCATAATAAGAGTTTTATATTTAGATTTAAAAGTGCATTACTCCAGTGGCTTCCTAATATAGGAAGAGCATTCCAGACGGCCGCAAAAGCGCACGTGAAAGCACGCAATGAGGTGATCGTCTTTGTTCGATGATTAGCCAAAAGCCGCTGCTACGAGGATGACCGGAGTTTTCTTGATGGCTTATGCTCCTTGACGAGATTGGCAAGATATTGTAGTTCATTTGTGGCAAGCACTTTGTGTGCAATGCTCTCACAGCTGGGACACGGTGAGCTGAAGAGCTGAATAAGTGGATTAATTTAAAATTTTAATCGACTCCTGGTTTTGCAATCAATTGCTCGGAGCCCTTTTAAACATGGTGACTGCCCCTTCTGCAATCCACTCGTGGCGCGATGTGGCGGATTGTAAAAACTAAACTATTCATATTTTAGCAGGTTAAGGACCACTGAGCTGCTGTATAGCTCTTTTTCAGAAGCGCGCTCGGCCACGAATGATAGCTCAATGAAGTGGCTTATCATGTGGAATGTATTGCCCCCAGATACTCTAAAAGGCATTTTTATAAATGTGGAGAGAAAAACCGGACTTGGAGAAAAATTCACACGACCACGGGGAGAGAGACACTGCAAACTCCAAATATAGAGGCGTCAGGGTCGGAATCGAATCCACAAACTCCTGTATCACCAGGCGAGGTATTTAACATCTCACCAAGCCCTGCCCATCACCTCCTGTCCAGCGGCATACGTGGGAACAAAGGTGACACTTGCTTTGGACTCGAGTATTTTTTGTGTCAGCTGACAAGTCGAGTAACTGGGCAGCCCAGCTCTACTTGTCTGTGCTGTTCCGTGTTGTTGTCGGTTCACATTTGCGCCTTGCCCAGTTGCCGGCCAGGCTTTGTCCGCCTCCTTTTGAAGGCAGCTTTTGCAAATAACAAAGTTGGCGAACGCGCGATTGCACTCACCGTGTCAGCATGGGGGGCCACGGGGGGAGTACTGCGCGGGGACCCGCGACTCGGCACCGGCTCCTTCACCGCCGCGGCTGGCGCCACCCTCTTCCTGCGCGTGGCTCCACGTTTACACGCTTCCTCACGCTGCTGCCCCTCGTCGATTGTGGTTGCGGTGGTGGTGGCGGCGGTGGTCGTGGCGGCGGTGGTCGTGGCGGTGGTTGTAGTGGCAGTGTGTGCGGTAGTGTGGCCGGACGGCGGCAGTTGCTGTGGTGTGGTTGGTGGTGCTGTCAGTGGAGTGGCTGGGATGAAAGAGAGAGTGGGGGAGGGGATCATGGTCAGGATATGGATAGGTCGGAGAAGCCGAGCCAGTACCACTGGAGATACTTGGTTCGAATCCAGGTCTTATCCCCCACTGTTATTATTATCAGTATGTTTGTTGAATCGGCAAAGCCTCACCAAGTCTCAAGTCTATTTTTCAGGATACCGCCAAATTTATTGCAGTAGGAGGGGGTGATGTTGCTCTGCAATCCCAATTGAGTAATTTGTGGGTAAATTTTCAGCATTGGGATGTTTAGGCCCTCAGCAGTTACAATGTGTGTTATTTTTAGCTATGGGAGTAAAGCGTAGAACCCAGTGGGAACATATACAGAACAGGGGAATAACAGACAAACTCTCCGCACACTCAACACTCTGCAAAACAGGTGGAGAACAAACAGTCTCCACACTAGGCCAGGAATCGAATCGTGGCCATGGCGGATTAAATGAAGTTCTCAAGTGTGGTGAGTTGATGGTCCCAGCGTAAGTAACCGGTGATGCAGAGGTCAAAAGAGCGATTGAGTGAGGATAACGGGGGATCAAGGGGGTGAGCAGGTGACCGAGTGGGTGAATGAACTAGCGAGCGGGTGAGTGAGCTAGCAGGCGGGTGAGTGGGGTAGGCGAGCGAACGGGTGAGTGAGCTAGTGGGCGAGTGAGTTAGCTCGCGGGTGAGTGGGTAGGCGAGCTCGCGGGTGAGTGAGATAGGGAGCAGGCGAGTGAGTTAGTGAGTGGGCGAGCGTGCCGGGGAGGGGCGGGGCAAGGTGGTGAAGTGGGGGTGGTAGGGGAGTAGGGGATAGGCGATCGAGCGGGAAGCCGTGGTGACCCCTCGGGGCTGGGGCATTCTCACTCGTGGTTATTTTCATGTTCTCATTTCCCGCACGGCGCTGTGGGATTTACAGGCGAGAACAGAACGCGGCACCAATTTCCGCCGTGTCTGAAAAAAAACCCACTAAAGCCACCGACACATCCTAATTACTGCAAACTCGTCAACAATTACTGGAATTTAGCCAAATTGAGTTCTGATTTAATGCAATGGATTTTCGTGGCTCAGAGGGGTAATGTTATCTTCTTTGCCTTGTATGTAGGATCGGGGGTTCAATCCCGACCCTGACGACATCCACGTGATGATGTAGATTTTTCTCCGGGTCCTCCGGTTATTCCCATTTAGAATCGTGCGTTTATATTATTTAGCTGCCATGACGTTCCACATGATAAGGCACTTCGTTGAGCTAGTCACTTCAAAAAAGAAGCTAATAGCTCAGTGGGCTTTACCTGGTCAGATAAAAATCTTTATTTTTATTTATTTTTAAGTTGATTTGTTTACCTTTTATGTATGCACTCCTATCGTGTTTTTTATTGTTTGGTGTTATAACGTTCTGACCTGCTCCTATTGGATATCTGTGAAAAAGAAGCTTCATAGCTCAATGGATTCCTCCTGCAGTATAAATAAATATTCTGATTCTGAGAGATGCTCAGCCAGCAATGATGAGTAAATCTAGGTTGGAGTCCGGGTTTCAGCCATCCGGCTGAGATTAAACTAAGGTTCTCAAGTGCAGCAAATTGATGGTCTCATCCCTGGCACCAATGAAGTAGTCTCCCATCATCAACATCTAGGGGAACCAATGGTAACTGTAAGGGGCATGCAATCCGCGTGGGCACTTGTCCGGTTCGTCAAAGATTACCTGCCGTTCCGACCAGCCCGGCTTTGAGACGCCGGCGATGGATTAGCACCGGTGCCACCGCCTCCGGGTCCCGCACTGCACCGATTCCGGCCGGCGATGGCACAATTGACTTCACTTCCTGCACTGCAGGGGGCGGCTCGGAAAGTAAGGTCGTGGCATCGGAAGGCAGCACAGGAAGCGATGTCACGAGGACGGATGTCACAGGGAGCGGTGTGCCTGCAGGATTCTTTCTGGTCCCATCGCCCTCATTTACACTAGAGGCATTTTTCTCCGCACTTGGCATCACGGGGATTGACGTCACGGGGATTGACGTCACGGGGATTGACGTCACGGGGATTGACGTCACAGGGATTGACGTCACGGGGAGTGACGTCACGGGGAGTGAAGACGCGACGCCGCCATCAGTGAATACGAACTGCCACGTCTCGCCCTGTGGATGAAAAGCGATCGCAATTAACTATTGTTATTTTACCAGGTAAGGCCCACTGAGCTATACAGCTGTTTTTCAGAAGTGACCTGGCTACAAATGATAGCTCAACGAAGTGGCTTATCATCATGTGGAAATTTATAATACAAATACTCTAAACGCATGTAGTTTCTAAATGTGGAGGGAAAAACTGGACCTGGAGAAAAATCAATGCGACCACCGGGAGAACATATAAACTCCAAATATATACAGGCGTCATGATCGGGATCGACCCACGACCTCCTGTAGACCAGGCGAGGTCGTTAACATCTCGCCACCGTGGCGCCCCAGACGTGGCCATGAAGTAGGAAGTACAGTACGTGGGTTTGCGAACGTGTCAGTTTCGCGGAGCTTTGAGTGTCAACGCCGCGAAAGAAAAAGTGCAGCTATTCATGAAACCCGAGTGCTCGTGTCAAGATATTGTTTTCAAATTTTCACAAGAATGGTTAATCCCCATCCTGGACAATCTGCCCAAGGATAATGAAAGTTAACTGAAATGATGAAAAATAGGAATAGGCTTTACCCTTTCTGGCAATAAAACAGGTATTAAAAAGTTAAAACACCAAATAGATCCAATCTTGATTTGAAGCTTTCGTGACTGCAGGAATCCATACTCTTTGGTTCTTTCGGTAAAGTCACGTGGGTATAAAATAAAATATAAACCATGTCAAGTTTTCACTGCTGTGATTTTCACTCACCCACCGGTCACGTTTTTGTTTTCGGCTACTAATTCAAGCTCATTGACATGCTAATTTCTCCAGTCCCACTCGTCCCTGCATGCCACAAACCCTTCCCCCTCTTCCCTCCCCCCCGTGCCAGCCCCCACCCCGTCCCTGCACGCCACAAACCCCCCCCCCCCCCCCCCCCCCCCCCCCCCCCCCCCCCCCCGTGAACTCCTGCTGCCACGACTCGACAAAACTCCCCCTTCCCCCCCCCCTCCCATGCATATATAAAGCCACAACAGCAGATCATTTTCTCACCTGATGACGAACGCTTGTGTTGCGACCAAAACGTAGTGTTTCTTTTATTATTTTTTCTATCTACGTGACTTTACCGAAATAACCAGAGAGAATGCATATATTATTATCACAGCATGTTTGTTTTATTATTTTCTACAAGTATGTGTGGTTGATGCAGACTTGATCCCTTTCAAAAGGTATCTAATTGGTGTTTGAACATCGTAACACTTCCCCTTTTATTGCATGAAAGAGTAAAACCTATTCTTATTTTATATAATTTTGGATACTGGAAAAAATGTCCCATAGATAGAAAGTTAACCGCATAACAACTGCTCCACAATTTTGTATGACGGCGGCAGTGAATTGTGACTTCACTCACCTCTTCCTTAGCGGCGGGGTCTTCATCAGATAAGGGGCACACAGTGATGATTGGTGGCGGTGACGAGTGCGATTCAGCGTCCGAACGTTGGGGAGCAGTGAAACCGCCGGAAACCGCGCCCAGCGCCGCACGGCACGCGTCTGCCACATCGCTCATCTGCAGGCCCTCGGCAACCTGCGCCACAACCGCGACACCACAACCACAACACCATAATGACTTTGGCCCAACAGCAATGATCACGGGGATAACCAACATTATGTCACACCCATCACAGCAACTGCTATAATCACAAATTAAACAGCCACGGCTATAACAATCACCAATACCATCACAAACACCACAATGATCAACGTTATAACGGCTGTATATTTGGAGTTTGTATGTTCTCCCCGTGGTCGCGCGGATTTTGTTCCGGATTTTTCCTTCCATATTTAAAATCAACAGATGGCTACTATAAATGTACATATGATAAGACACTTTCTTAAGCTATCATTTGTGGCCAGGTTGCTTCTGAAAAATATCTATATAGCTCAGTAAGCCTGACCTAGTAAAATACAAAAAAAAATTAGTTTAACTTTAGTTTAAAATAGTTTAGTTTCAGTTTGAAATAAAGAGTTTAGTTTACAATTTAGCTTACCTGCACGAGTCTGGTGGCATTATGCCGGCCCGGCGGGATGGTGCCGGCGTATGCCACCTCCAGGAGCAGCGCGATCTCATCGGCAGTGGCGATGGAGGGGTCCACGGAGAGCGTGGCGGCATCAGCCTCCAGCAGCAGCGCCCCGAGCAGCGCGGGGCTGGCGGCCGCCAGGACGGCGCGGTGCGCGCGGAAAGCCACGCGGCCCGCCACCAGCGTCACGTCGCACAACCGCTGCTGGCGTCGCAGCGCAGACAGGCGGCGCAGCAGCGTGTGCGCGTAGTTCGGCAGCTCCATCGGTCGCGTGCGCGCTCGTCCGGCCGCTCGTCCAGAGCTTTATGTCCCAACTGTTTGACCAGTTCGCCTGTTCGAGTTCCCGTCAAGCTGCTCACCGAACCACCTGTAGGATTGTACAAATACTTGTTCAACTGCTTACTTGATTGCTCATCCAACTGCCTGTCCAGCCTTTCGTCTGCTCGTACAAATGCTCACCCCCCCTCTACCCATTGTCCAAGGCACTTGACCAGCTGCTCACCACACCGCTTGTCCAATCGCCCACCTGGTTGCTGGCGGAGCAGCGAGGTTTGACGGTAAAGGCCGAGTCTGCCTTGGGAAGACACAAAAGAACGAAGCAGGGGCGGTTGGTGCGAGTTACTGTTCGTTGGGGAGGGCTTAGTTCATAATGGCTGTTGGACAGGCAGGAAGCTAACAGGACGGAGTTTCTAGGTTTTAAATGTAAGGCCAAGTGTCTCTTCTTCTTTCGTACGGCTGCTGATGAAAGTGCAGAGCAACAACTACAATTTCACATTCAGGTGGTCAAGCCAGATAACTGTGTCAAGAGCAGCGGGGTGTATCACTGTGATGTCTCCTTTGTATTTGTAGATCGGATATTGGGTCGTTATGTTGTACTGTCTGTTGTGGATGACCACAGTCGCACACTAATTTTCCATTGTCTCTCATCACCATCATCAACAATCATGGTGATCGCCATTGTCCTGTGATGCTGCAAGCATTCTCACTCCTGTTTATAACCAGGGTTTATGATTGCCACCTACAATGCTGACTTGTGTAAATACGGCCGCACCTTAATATGATGCACAAAAAGAGCGGGCATATTTATTTTATTGAGAGGCAGTCAATCATAGGGAGAGCAAAAAAAAATCCGAAAGGTATTCAGCCTGGGCGTTAACAGGGGCAGTGATTCGACAGCACAGATTTCTGGTGGAATGGAGTTCCAAACTACGGGGGCAAGAGGTGCTTGGTTCAAGCCCTAGGGCTGCTCGTCTCTCAGCGGACCAAATTGCCGTGTCAAGACACACTCATCCATCATAAATGAGTTATGTTTGAAATATTTTCGATTCCTCGCGTACTTTTATTTTGAAATTGCTGTTTAGTTCATTGCTGTATTTTGATTTTTTTGCCGATTGCTTGGTAGTTGCTCAAAACACACGAATGTGAGAAGAGCGGTGCATATGACAAAGCCGCCTTTTGTTAGAGGCTTTTTACCCTTTTATCTGGCAACAAAACTGATACTTTTTTAAAAGGGATCATGTTTGCATTAACCACAATACCTGCGGTCAAAATGCAAACAAAAAACAACTCTGATAATGTATGCATTGTCCTTGAAATTATTGTGGTTAATGCAAACATGATCCCTTGTAAAAAAAAGGTATCAGTTTTGTTGCCAGATAAAAGGGTAAAAAAAAACTATTATTATATTTTGCTACTGGCAAAGGAGGTATCATGATGTAACCGCCTCTTGTTATTCGTTGCGGAGGAACGGCTTCTCTGCCCGCGCAATAACTGTCCACGCGTCTTCGTAAACCTTTAATCACGGTTGGCTAGGTAAGGTGCGAAAGAAGTTCAACATGCAGTACAGACATTTATTGAAACTGCCACTGCAAACTCTGCGTCCGGTGGCTCGTCCGCCGCCCAGGAGCGATGGAAATCAACCCGTGCTCGGAGCACGGGTTGTGTGTGGATCTCATCGTGCTCATTTTTACGCTAATTCCTTGGTCAAGCGTTTTGCTTCCTCCCACACAGCTGGGCTTGGCTGTTTTCACTCCAACGCTGTCCTCATGACAACACGGTCCCTTCACCTGATGAAGGCCACTTGTGTTGTGGCCGAAACGTCGTGATTTTTGTTATTTTACTTTTTACCTACGTGACTTTACCGAATAGAACCAAAGAGTATGGATCCTTGCAGTCACGAAAGCTTCAAATCTAGGATCTCATAGCTGTCAACCCATATGGTTTACCCGTATTCTTGTACAGGGTAATTGAGTTTTCAGGTCCATACGGCGTACAGCCGTTTCAATACTGTACGGGCAACATTTGTTTTGTCTATTTGTGCTTCCCCCCTGTTATGGGACTTTGTAGGATGAACGTTGATATGAGGGCACGGGGTGACCAATAAGGTCTGTGATAAGGTAGGCACTGATAAGGGGCCGTCCCATAAATTACGTGACGCGATTTTGGACGATTTTTGACCCCGCCGCCCTCCCATCGTCACAAATGTCTGACCCCCAGAGGTGCGTGACGTCATTTATGGACGGCCCCTAAGGGGTACGGTGCGAAAGAAGTTCAACTTCTACTGTAAAGTCACGTAGGTATAACATAAATCACGAGCGTCCACCTGATGATGGACGCTTGTGTCGCGACCGAAACGTCGTGATCTAATTTTATCACTACCTGCGCGACTTTACCGAAAGAACCGAAGAGTGTGGATCCCTGCAGTCGTGAAAGCTTCAAATCAAGATTGGACGGTAAGCTCTGCGCCCCCGTGGCTCGTCCGCCACCGAGGAGGAGCGATGGGGAATCGGCTCGTGCTCGGAGCTGTGTGGGTCGTGCTGCGGGGGTCGGGAGCACGTGGACCTGGGGGGATGGTGAGGCGCTGACATCCATCCAGCGGTGGATTGACCGCCTGATTGAAGCTGGCTCTGTTACAATCACCAGCGAGAAACGCCGCCCTCGCTCGTTGTCCAACGTTGCAGCGGGGTTTTACTCTCCCAACACAGAAACAAGTGCGGCTGAACTCGTGACGAACTGGCACGTGTTGTCTACGTGACGAACCTTACTCACACGGCTGCGTCATAGACATTTATATTTACGCGATCTAACGCACAACGAACACCTTTGTTATGAACCATGGCTGATGACGACGACGTGATCACCCCGCACCAAATACCGGAGCCGCAGTGTGACCAGGGTGGTGAAGTATGGACTTTTACGACGCTCACGACCTGCACGGCGTGGAGGGGGGCCCACATCCAGCGGTGGATTGACCATGGCCGGTTGACTCCAACCTCAATCGGCACCGAGCATGGTGTCGATAAAGTTGTACTGGAGAGGGCCTTCTCAGCTATAACTTTACTAAAGCCTCGACAAAATGCGGTCCATTGATAAAGTTTTTTCAGACAATGCTTTATAACTTTATTGCCCCCCCTGCCACATCAATAAAGTTATATGTTTTTGTTGCCGTGGGGATAAGGCAAGGCGAGAGGTGGCCACGACGGAACGGGAGACGAGGCCTTCAATCAGCGACACAAAACCACGCGGCCATTCTGAACGTTAAGCCACAGCACGCCCGCTTACCTCGGAAGGATTGTTGTTTTGGCAACGAATGTTTCTTCACCGATATTATTATTACGACCACGATGATTTTACGGTGATTGTAAGTACGAATGATTAATTGGTTTTTCTGTAAATCTAAGCAAAAACCATTGTAACGATTTTTTTTTTAAATCTGCGAGGGGTCCCCCTTGCGTAATGACGTCGTCGCGCACGCCAGTTGGTAGTGACGTAATCGCGCTGCAAGTGACGCAATGGCGCAGAACATGACGGCACGACGTTCGGCTCGGCCCCACCCAATTGAAGTTGTGCGCCAACGCGCGTAGGTGACGTCATCGCGCGGTTGGAACAGCGACGTCACGAGCGCTCGATTTTAAACGTTGCATGACGTTTCCAGTTCAATGACGTCACGCGTTTAAGACTTCCGGCAACAACATATAGAGCACATTCTTGATTTAAAACTTTCGTGACTGCAGGAATCCATACGTCATGTAGGTAGAAAACACAAGCGGTCGTCCTCGGGCGGAAAAAAATAATCCAGCAGTGGAACCAGCGAGAGAGCTGTTACAACAAGGTTATAGCTATTCTTGGTTCTTTCGGTAAAGTCACCACGTAGAAGGGAAACAATAAAATAAGAAAAATATAAAACAATAAAATTCTCACAACGTTTCGACTGCAACACAAGCAATCATCATCAGGTGTGAAAACCACAGCAAGAAAATTTTAAAAAGTGGTGGTTTTTTTAACGTTAGCACTACGGCGAGCGATTTGGCAATTATTCAGATGGACGAGTCCATCTATGTTCGGAAAAGAGGAGGGGGGAGAACATAGATGGACTCGTCCATCTGAATAACTGCCAAATCACTCTCCGTGGTGCTAACGTGAAAAAACCGCCACTTTTTTACATTTTCTTGCTGTGGTTTTCACACCTGATGATTGCTTGTGTTGCAGTCGAAACGTCGTGAGATTTTTATTGGTTTATTATTTATTATTTTATTGTTTCTCTTCTACGTGACTTTACCGAAAGAACCAAGAATACGTAGGCTTATATCTAACAACCATAAGACAATTTAGATTCAAGTTATCAGGCCAACTCCGCACTTGTGGTAAGTCTGGACATTTCGTCAGCCTTTGACACCGTCAACCACTCGCTCCTTATTTCCGTAATCTCCCTCCCTAATCCCTCTCTCCCTAATCTCCCCCATTAACACAACTGACGTGCTGGCGTCCGTGGATGGAATTCCTTTCCAGCTCAGACCCCGCTTGCTTGCCCATCGCCACATATATAACCTCTTGTTGTAACAGCTCTCTCGCTGGTTCAGCAGTTCCACAACTGGATTATTTTTTTTTCCGCCCGAGGACGACCGCTTGTGTTGCGATCGAAACGTCGTGATGTTATATTATTTTTCTTTTGTTTGATTTTTCTACCTACGTGACTTTACCGAAAGAACCAAAGAGTATATATATAGAGCACAGTACCCACTTCACGTCTCCACGTGAAACATTCTTATCCAGAATTTTAGTAATTTTACCCAAAAAATACTAGTTATTTTTAAAAATGAATCTTCGAAAAACCGTTGTAGAAAAATACTAGTTATTTTTTTTTAAATACGTCAGTCGTTTTAAAATACTTTTTCTAAGGTATATTTTCACGTATCCCATAAGCCACACGTCCTTCTGGCAATGCATTTGCTCAGCATTGGTTCGTATGTACTGTACGTTGAACTTCTTTCGAACCGTACGTAGCCAACCGTGCTAATCGGAGGTGTGGGACAACCAACTAAACACAAAAGGCAGTTCTAAAGAAATGAGTTTTCAATTGAAACGATTTAAAAGTGCATAGCTCTAGTGGCTTCCTAATATCGGAAGAGCGTTCCAGGCGCATCTGAAACCGCGCGATGTGGTGGCTGTCTTTATTCGATAGCCAAAAGCCGCTGCGATGTTGACCGGAGTTCACGTGGTGGTTTATGCTCCTTGACGAGATCAGCGATATATTGTGGTTCATTTGTGGCAAGCACTTTGTGTGTTATGAGTGCGACCTTCAACGCCAACAAAACCCTGCACTTGTTTCGACATTCGGTGTCTAATCATCCTTCAGGGCACTGCTTGAGTGAACTTGTCAGATGTCTGTAGGCAAAGACCCTCCTCCCTCTCCCTGTTATATATGGGCACTGAAGACACATAGCAAAGAAGATGTTTTACCGGTTTTAACATCAATGAGTACACTTTCTTTTGCGGATACATTCACCGTAGTCAACAACACGATGTTGAACAAAGCCAACGAGTTGATCACTAAACGAGCCATGGGGACGATTCCGACAAAGTGGGACGCCCACAGCGTGGATGGAGGAATCCGCTCATGTGCAGGGATCGTTCGTGGGAGGAGGGTGAAGCCTTCAGCCATCCAGCAGTGGATTGATCGTGGCTCATGATGGCGACGACGATGCCACGTCAACCGCATAGACGCGCTGCAGTGACAGATAACACGCGGTTATTGAAGGAAACATCGCAACTTAGTGAAAATTTGAATAGGTCATTTTCAAACATCTCGAACGGCTGAACCATTTGTCGCTGTGCGCGAGCATTCCCGTAAAAAAAACATTACACAACCCTTGCCGCTGCTGCTGCACGCAAACTTTGCATAAAGACTTCCAGCAAATAGAGTGGTGACCCCTCCCTGCCCTGCCTCGAGTGCACAGAAAGACTGAGTGGCTGGTCAACAACTGCTGCAGATGTCTAAGCTGGGAGCAGGCAGCTAGAAACTAAACTAAAACATTTTTTTTTATTTTACCAAGGCCAACTGGGCTGCTATATAGCTCTTCTTCAGAAGCGACCTATCTATCAAAAATGATAGCTCAACGACATTGATAGCAAATACTCTAAACGCGTGTTTCTAAATGTGGAGGAAAAAACCGGAGGACCCGGAGAAAAATCCACGTGACCACGGGGAGAGAAACACGCAAACTCCAAATATACAGCAGCAGGCGTCAGAGTCAGGATCGAAACCACGACCTCCTGTAGACCAGGCAAGGTAGTTAACATCTCGCCACCGTGCCGCCAAAGCTCAATGTGAGCCTGCGCATAATTCTAGATTTGAAGCTTTCGTGACTGCAAGGATGAATACTTTTTGGTTTTTTCGGTAAAGTCACGTAGGTAAAAAAATAAATATTTTTTCGGTAAAGTCACGTAGGTAAAAATATTTAATTACAATTTTTACCTACGTGACTTTACCGAAAAAACCAAAGAGTATGAGCCTGCGCAGGTGGTGGTGGAGGCTACCTCTTGGTGACCCTGATGCAAAGTGATGTTCTAGTTAAATGTTTACGTGCAATTCTATTGAGGGACCAGTGTGTTGTCTTGGTGTGGTCTGGGATAGTTTTGTTGTTTTGTTTGTCTTGAAAAATGTGCAGGAATTGATGTAGTTATGCCATTTGAACTTATACATATTTTTAGTGACTTGCTTACATTTATATTCTTAGCTCTTTCGGTAAAGTCACGTTGAAGGGAAACAATAAAATAATACAATATATATTAAACAATAAAAATTCTCACGACGTTTCGACCATAAAACGTCGTGAGAATTTTTATTGTTTTATATATATTTTATTATTTTATTGTTTCCCTTCAACGTGACTTTACCGAAAGAGCTAAGAATATGAATTACTGCAGTCACGAAAGCTTTAAATCAAAATTTGCTTACATTTCTTTTACTTTGCACTTTTGTCGTTTTTGTTGTATTTTAACTTTCTGACCCACCCCTCTGGACATCTGTGAATAAAGATTTTGATTCTGACCCGAGGTGAAACACGGACTACGGGGATCTCCCCAGGACGATAGACTGTGGTGGTCGCAGCAGCAGACAGGACTCAACCTCGCATTGGTCCTTCCACCCAACCACTCACAGCTTCCATTCACCCACTCGTTCAACAAACGCCGTTCACCACTATGGTGGTGACGTCACGGCGTTTGTAAGCCAGGCTAGGTGCACGTTGAAGCCACGTGAAGTGTCGAAGGCTCTCTGGCAGGTCACGGGACAGACCCAGGTGTTATTGGTTAACTGAGACGACTGGCATCTGCCACCCACTGTGCCAACTCGCTGCGTTTTATCCGCCCGTCGTTCCGCTCATTGTGAGCGTCGCTCCTCTGGTTTTTGTTGAAGAGGCGACTCCCTCTGAACTGCTCAGCAGCTTCCTTCACGAGCCTCCTCAATAGGGGCCGATCTTGACACCGCTGTCATCGGCAAATTCACTCAGCTCCACGTGCTCCTGTGCCACATCAGTCCATCTCTTTCTCGCCCATCCCGTGCCCGTTTAGTCCGCTCTATCCGGCCGAACAGAAGGTGCTTGGGCATGCGGTGGCTGGGCATGCGGGCTACGTGACCCAGCCAACGCAGCCTCCCCTGCCGGAGGAGCTCAACGATTAAGGGGACTGTGTCCCAAATCTTTCAGGATCCTTGAATTCTTCACCCACCCGATCTATAGCCAACGAACGTCATTCGCCACTCCGTGACGGCGACGTCACCGCGACGCCCGTGCCAAGTCAGGTGCACTTTGAGCCACTCTTTGACCCACCAACCTAGCATGACATAATGACGCACTGAAACACGTCGGCTTAGGCTGTTGATAAAGCACAATGTCGTAATAGGACGCTCTGGGGCGCGGATCATTCGCGTGGAAACTACGTCATCACGCACCGCTTTAATCTCCGCCCCCCCTCCCCGCAGAAAGACATTCAAGACGTCGGCCCGCACGCCAGACCGCACGGTGCACGCCGTGACGTCACCCTCAACATGAGGCTCTGTGGCGTCACCACTAACGCCACGTGCGCCACGACGCCCTCGCGCGTTCCTTACCAACTCGAGGTGACATGACGTCATCTCTCAGCCCCGCCTCCCGACAGGAAGCCGCCGCCTTTGCACCCCCCCACCCCTCTCCCCATAACCACCGGACCAAGTTGTCGTGTCACAGTTCGAATCCCCCCCCCTCCCCTCAAGCCATGATGATGAAGGCTCTGAGAGACCACGAAGACGACGGCGATGAGGAGGATGAGGCGGATGAGGTGTTCGCCGCCGCAGTCGCCGCGTCCACCACCGCCGCCGCCTCCGGCCCGGCCGCGGTCCCCGGGCGCTCTACCCCGCGGCCCGCCAGCCTGGCCTTCTCCCGGGTCGGGTTCGAGCCCCAGGGCGGGCCCGGCGCCGCCGTGAGGGTGCCGGAGTCTCCCCCGGGGTACCCCGGCCGCGACGGCGAGAAGGAGCCGCTCCTGGCCGCCTCGCCCGCGGGGGACCTCAGGGGACGGTGGGTGCACCTAGTCTGGCACAAGCGTGGCGGTGACGTCATTGTGTGTGTCTGTGTGTGGCTTCGCCTTTAGAGGGTGTGGCGTGTGTGTGAGCATACATGTGTGTGAGTGTCTATGGGTGCACCAAGCCTGGCACGAGTGTGGTGGTGACATGAATGTGTGTGTGCTGTCGGCCTTTACAGGTGCTGGCGAGAGCACTTGCTCCAACAGTCTTAAGGCTGTACGGGATACCTTTGTCTTTGTGTATGAGTGTCAAAAGGTGCACCTAGCCTGGTATGAGTGTGGCGGTGACGTCACTGTGTGTGTGTATATCACTCACAGACACTCATACACAATCACGTGTCCGTGATTGTGAATGCGTGTCTGTGAGTGAACCTAGCCTGGCACAAGCGCGGTAGTGGTGCCTGAGCATGTGTACACGTGGTCATTTTTTTGTTAACACAGTCGCTGAGCAAAGGCCCAGAGTCCCAAAGCGTCAAATGGCCAGTAAACAGGCAGCACTATCAAAGATGTAACAGATAAAGAAGAATCGGTGAGGTTCAGGGGAACAGTAGTAACCATGGCAGTAGTAGTGATACAAAAGTTAAGTGTAGGAATAGGTTTTACCCTTTTAACTGGCACAAAAACTGACACCTTTATTCAAGGCATCATGTTTTTGTGCCAGTTAAAAGGGTAAAACCTATTCCTATATCTTGTTTCTGGCAAAGGAGGTCTCATAATGTAAAAGTTAAGTGGTTGAGTGGATGGGTGCGTGAATGGGTGGGCAAGTGAGTGGATAAGAGTGTGTATTAGTCGGCGAGTGAGTGAATGGGTGAGTGTGCGACTGAGTGAGTGGTTAAATGAATGAGTGGGCGAGTGAAGTGAATGGGTGATTGGGCGAGTGACTGAGTGAGTGTGTGCATGAATGAGTGGGTGAGTGAGAGTGTTGTTGTGGCCTGCAGTGCGGTGTTGCTGATGGTTGAGAATACGTTGTGGTGGATGAAGTCCAGTGTGAGAACAGAATCAGAATATTTATACTGGAGGAATCCGATGAGCTGTACAGCTCTTTTTCACAGATGTCCTTTAGGGGCGGGTCACAACTCACAACGTTACAAAAATAAACAATACAGAAACACGATAGGAGTGCAAAGTATAGGAAAGGTAAACAAATCACTAAAAGAATATCCAAATGAAACTTAACTTTTATTTTACCAGTTCAAGCCCACTGAGCTTTTAGCTTCTTTTTCTGAAGCGACCTGGCCACAAATGATAGCTCAATAAAGTGGCTTATCATGTGGAAATGTATAGCAGCCAAATAATCTTAATAATCTAAAGGCATGTTTCTAAATGTGGAAGGAAAAACTGGAGGACCCAGTGGAAAAATCCACATGACCACGAGGAGAGAGAACACACAAACTCCAAATATACAACAGGCATGGGGGTTGGGATTGAACCCGTGACCTCCTGGTCTTGCGGGGTCCTGTGGAGGTGCTCCCAGAGCGCGCCTGCTCACTTCGATGCCTCCATCCGGCAGGGACGGCCAGCTGTGCCCTACAAGTCCCTACCACCACCACTACCTTCACCACCACCACCACCGGCGCGACTCCCCCTCGTCTCCGCACACTTCCGCCGCCCCCGACCCTTTCAACGCGTTCCCGCGCGACCAGCAGTTCTCGGAAGTGGTGTGCAGCGTGGAGCGCGCCATGGAGGCCGGCGTGGAGCCGCAGAGGATCTCGCAGGGCTCCAGCGGCAGCTACTTTGTGCGAGATCTGTCAGGGGTGAGAGGTCGCGGGGCAGCGGTTGGGGACACTACTAAAGATCCCGCGTATAGCCTCCACAGACTATTGGGGGCAAGTGCTGTTAACGACCCTCTTATGAAGACCGCCCACTGCCAGCACCACACCTGGCCACCTTTCTCTCTGTAGTGATGATGTTTACACATTGCACCAGTTAATCATTTGAGGCTGGGTTGACCTAGGGGAGGCCCAGGACCAGTTAAAATATTTGCCACTGTTATTGGTCATAAGTGGGAATCGAACTCGCATCGCCAGGTTTGCAGTGCAGCGCACTAACTTCTACACTACCGCCCACCACATATACATATCATACGCACACCTATACAAGACAAAGTTCCCCCGTATAGCCTTTATAGACTGTTGTGGGCAAGTGCTGTTAATGAGCCTCATATAAAGGCTGTTCACTGCACACGATGGGGTGGGTGATCAGCGCCATGCCCGGCCGCCTTTCTCTCTCCAGTGCCGATGTTTATACAACGCATCAGGTAATCATTTGAGATGGAGTTGGCCTAAGGGAGGCCCAGGACCGGTTCATATATTCGTCACTGGTGTGGCTGCACCACCGTTCCCTACATATACATACACACACTACACACATCTACACCACACAAACACGAATATACATACACATGTATGGCACACAGAGACACACACATGTACACATGGACCCACATAAAGACACACACACACTACCACATCCCTCCACCAGTGCCCCGCTCCCCCCAGGAATCGAATTTGGGTTGCCTGGTTTTCAACGCAGTTCGTTAACCACTGTGCTACCATTCCCCTCAGCCTCCTCTGAGGGGTTGCAGAACAGATGTCAACAAAAACACACAGATCATTCCCTTGATTTTACTCTACTTGCTTACTCAGGAAAGTCTCAAAAAATTTCAGGGGGGTCCTGCCAAGTGTTTTTTTACAGTCGCGAGGCGAGGTTGCTTCTTTGTATAACCTGATTTGAGTATCTTGTGGGTAGCTTTTGATCATTGGGGATGTTTTGGTCCAATACCAACGACATTGTACATCTTTTTTTTGCTATGGGAGGAACCTGGAGAAACTGGGGAATCCCATGCAGAACAGAGGGGGAGAGAGGAGAGAGAACATACACAAACTCCATGTAGATAGACGCCCGAGCCAGGAAACAATCCCTGGGTCCTTGTTGCTGCAGGGCGCGAATGTCACCACCTGGCCCCCATTGAGGATTGTTGTCTCTGCATGCGCAACACCGTGCGCAGAAGTCCGTGGGGGTGTTCAAGCCCAAGTCTGAGGAGCCGTATGGGCAGCTCAACCCCAAGTGGACCAAATGGCTGCAGAAGCTGTGCTGCCCCTGCTGCTTCGGCCGGGACTGCCTGGTGCTCAACCAGGGCTACCTATCCGAGGCAGGCGCCAGCCTCGTCGACTCCACGCTCGGCCTCAACATTGTGCCCAAGACCAAGGTGCGGAGATACACGGCGGGTAGTGGCGAGGGGGGAGCCGGGGGGTGGACACGGTGGTGGGGTGAGGGGGGGGAGACGTTGACTGGGACACACACACATGGACACACAAAGATCCCCCGTATAGCCTCAACAGGCTGTCGAGGCAAGTGCTGATAGCGAGCAGCACCTAATGAAGGCTGTAATGGCACACGAGGGGGTGGGCGGCCAACGCCACGGCCGGTCGCCCATGTCTTTCCAGTGGTGATGTTTACACATTGCACCAGGTACTAATTTTAGGCTGAGTCGACCTAGGAGAGGCCCAGGACCGGTTCAGATAATAGTCACCGGTGTTGGCCATGAGCGGGAATCGAACTCGGGTCACCGGGTTCATAGTGCAGCACGTTCACTGCTACACTACTGCTCTCCACACGAATAAAGATAAAGATCCCCCATATAGCCTTAACAGACTGTAGGGGCAAGTGCTGTTAGCGAGCACCTATGAAGGCCGGTAACGGTACACGAGGGGGTGGGTGGCCAGCACCACGCCCGACCGCCTTTGTCTCCCTAGTGGGAATGTTTACACACTGTACCAGGTACTCATTTGAGGCTGAGTCGACCTAGGGGAGGCCCGGGACCGGTTAATATAATCGTCACTGGTGTTGGCCGTGAGCGGGAATCGAACCCGTGTCGCCAGGTTCGTAGCGCAGCACGCTAACCGCTACACTACCGCTCCCCACAAACACACGGATACACACACAGGGACAGACATGGGGACAAACAGGGGGACAAACAGGGGGACATGGAGATGGGGGAAGTGGTAGAGAAGGAGGTCGCGTGTCCCCTGTGCAGCAGCTGCAGGATCTGGCGGAGTGCAGAGGAGTTGGTAGCGCTGAGGTATGGTGGTGGTGGGGGGGGGGGGTGGTGGTGGTGGTGGCGGTAGTATCAACGACTTGGGCTACGATGTCATCTTTATCTTGGTGGAAAACACGGAGGTGAGCAAGTAGGGATAATAAAGGGACTAATGGGAACATGGGGAGACACCGGGTGATGGAGGAGGGATGGGGGATAGAGAGGAGATGGATCGAGGACTTGGTTGTGGTGGTGGGATATGTCGGTGGTATGGCTGGAGAGTGAGGCATTTCACTACAGTTGTGATTGTGGTGGTGGCGTGTGCAGGTGGTTTGGCTAGCGAACGAGGCGTTTCACTACGGTTGTGGTGGTTATGGTGGTGGTAGTTGCGGTGATTGGTGGTGGTAGTTGCGGTGATTGGTGGTGGTGGCGTGTGCAGGTATTGTGACTAGCGAGTGAGTTTCATTACGGTTGTTGTGGTGGTAGGTGCAGATGGTGTGGCCACCATGCGAGGCGTTTCACTACGGTTTGTGGTATTTGTTGTGTTGGTGGCGTGTGCAGGTGGTGTGGCTAGCGAGTGAGGCGTTTCACTACGGAGCCATCGACCGCGCCAAGTCACGTGGCAAGAAGCTGGCGCTGGAACGAGTGCCGGAGATCGGACGCAGATTCCACAGAATCGGCCTTCCGCCTAAGGTATGTGCGTGTCACCACCCTGTAGTGGTGAATTATGTCATTGTTGTTATGTGTGTGTATAGGGAGTGGTAGAGTAGCGGTTACCGCGCTGCGCTACGAACCCGGCCTCCCCTGGGTAAACTCTGCCTCAAATGAATACCTGGTGTGTTTGTGTAAAACATTGCCACTCGGGAGACTAAGGCGGCCGGGCTTTTTTACTGGCCACCCACCCCCTCATGTGCCTTCCCGGCCTGTATAGGTGCTCGATAATAGTACTTGCCCCAACTGTCTTTTAAGGCTATAGGGGGGATCCTTGTCTTTGTTTCATGATTTTGTGGGCAGCAGTGGCTTCGTGGTTAGTGCGCTGTGCTACAAACCAAGTGACGTGAGTTCGATGCTCACGATCAGTGTAAAATATTTGAACCGATCCTGCGCCTCCCCTCGGTCAACTCAATCTTAAATAACTACCTGGTGCGCTGCATAAAATCAGCAGAGGGGATACAAAGGCGGCCGGGTGTAGTGTTGGCTACCCACCTCGTGTGCCATGTTGGCTTTCATATGTGCTCGCTGAATAGTACTTGTGGCAACAGTCTTTTAAAGGCTACACGGGGGATCTTTAACTTTGTGATTTTATATTCGTGTGTGAAATTTGCATGTGAGTGTGAAAGTGTATGTGTATGTGTGTACAGTGGGGAGCAGTAGTGTAGCGGTTAACACACTGTGCTACGAACCTGGTGACCCGAGTTTCCCGCCGATGGCCAACACCAGTGACGATTATCTGAACCAGTTCTGGGGCTCCCCTAGGTCGACTCGGCCTCATTTGAGCACCTGGTGTGGTGTTTAAACAGCTGCTGGGGAGACAAAGGTGTTTCGGCCTTCATAGGGGCTACTCGCTAACAGCACTTGCCCCAACAGTCTGTTAAGGCTATATGGGGGGGGGGGGGGGGGTCTTTGTCTATGTGAGTAGGTAGGCTCTCTGCAGCTGTTCGTGGAGGGCTATAAGGATGCCGAGGATTGGCTGCGACGCTTCGAGGTGGAGCCCTTGCCAGAGAACACCAACAAGCAGCTGCAGCTGGAGTTCGAGAAGCTTGTGTGCCTCGACTATATCATCCGCAACACCGGTGCGGTCGCCACCATCGCACTTATAACGACACGCAGCGGTGGCACACAGCGGTGACACACAGCGGTGAAACACAGTGGGGACACATAGCGGTGGCACACAGCGGTGATACACAGCGGTGACACACTCACACCGACAAGCAGTCGTGGCACACAGCGGTGACACATTAGTGGTGACACACAGCGGTGACACACAGTGAGGACACAGCGGTAACACACAGAGGTCACACACAGCACTCGCACCAACACGCAGTTGTGGCACACAGTTTGGACACACAGCAGTGACACACAGCAGTGACACACAGCACTCGCACCGACACGCAGTCGTGGCACACATTGGGGACACATAGCGGTGACACATAGCGGTGACACATAGCGGTGACACATAGCGGTAACACAGCGGTCACACAGCACTCGCATAATATGCAGCGGTGGCACACAGCAGTGACGCACAACACTCATGTGGACACAACAGTGACACAGTATTGACAGACATTACTCATAGGGACACACGAAAATGACATAGTAGTGACACAACTCTTGCATAGACACACAGCAGTGACACATAGCGGTGGCACACGTGTAACAGACAACACTCATATGGACACATCAGTGACACACAGGAGTGGCACACAATCCTCACACGGACACAGCAGTGACACGTTATTATTTATTGTTATTGTGCTTGTTTATCCAGCAAAGCATCACGGAGTCTCATCACTCTTTTTCTGAGGGGTCCTGCCAGGTTTTTTCAGTAGACCGTGATGATGCTGCGGTGTTGTACTTTAATCCCAATTGAGTAATTTAACACTGACATAGCAGCAAGACATGACACCGACATAACACTGACATACAGTACTGACACGAACCCATAGCCGCTAACACTGACCCGTTTAAATTCTCGTTGTGATGGTGTGAATGGTGGCTGCCGCTGCCGGTGTCAGACCGTGGCAATGACAACTGGCTCATTAAGTATGAACCTCGCAAGGAGACGGACAAGGACACGGAGCAGGTGAGCGAGTCATGCGCACGAGGGGAGTCTCCCTGTCTGTGTGTGTCTCCGCGCCCGTGTGTGTACTCGTGTGGGGAGCGGTAGTCAAGCGGTAAGCACATTGCGCTTCCAACCTGGGGCGCGCAAGTTCAATTCCTGCTTACAGTCAACATTGGTGTAGATTATCTGAACCGGTTCTGGGCCTCCCTTAGGTAGACCACCTACCCCTCATATCGTGCTGGCCTTCATAAATCCTCACTAACAGCACTTGCCCGAACAGTCTGTTGAGGCTATACGGGCGTTTTGCCTTGTGTGTTTATTGTAGCGTAGCGGCTAGCGCGCTGTGCTTCAAACCTGGCGACCCAAGTTCGATTCCTGCTCACGGCAGAACATCAGTGACGATTTTCTGAACCAGTCCCGAGCCTCTCCTAGGTCGACTCAGCCTGAAATTAATACTTGGGTGCAGTGTGTAAACATCACCACTGGGGAGACAAAGGCGACCGGGAGTGGTGCTGGCCACCCACCCACCCCCTCATGTGCTGTGCCAACCTTCATAGGTGCTGCTCGCTAACAGCACTTGCCCCAACGGTCTGTTAAGGCTATACGGGGGATCTTTGTCTTGTACCCGTGCGTGCGGCCACACAGGAGGCTGTGGAGCGGGAGCCGGCCGTGAGAATCGCGGCGATTGACAACGGCCTTGCGTTTCCCTTCAAGCATCCGGACTCGTGGCGAGCGTGTGAGTGGCTCACTTGGCTCTCCCGTCTACCTCACCTAGCTCTCTCTCTCTCTCTCTGCTCCCATCTCCTCTCCCAGCTCACCCGGTCCACGCAGTAGGGGAGCAACACTTTCCCACCCACCCAGCCTGCCACACAAGAGTAATGTTCGTCACATGAGCTGGAATTCAGCCAAATGAAGTGTATAATGTGATGGGTGTGTTTTTTTTCTTGTGTGATCATTGGTGACCGGGCTGATGCCATCAACTCATTCCACTTCAGTACTCAGTTTAATCACGTCGGTCTATGCGAGTCTGTGGGTCTCTATTAAACTGAACGATTAAACTATTTATTTTTATTAAGTAAGGCCCACAGAGCTGCTATATCGCTATTTTTCAGAAGTGACCTGGCCACAAATGATAACTCAAGGAAGTGGCTTATCGTGTGGAAATTTATGGCAGCCAAATACCCTAAACGCACGTTTCTAAATGTGGAGGGAAAAATCCGATTTGGGGAAAATATCTAATTGCGATTTTGCTGACCGATATTGCGATTTGATTTGCGATTAAATTTTTTAAAGTCAAGCTTCAGTTCAATATTCACTGTGTAATAGATTTAAAACGTGATGGAGCGTTACCACATGATACCATCAAAATATGAACTGCTGTATATATTCTAATGCAAGTGGAGTGGCTTCAACTGAGTCGCAGATGTACTTCTTGGAGGCAACACATTTATTTACACCAACACATTAACACAAAGGGGTTACTGCCCAATCTTGATTTGAAGCTTTTGTGACTGCAGGAATCCATACTCTTTGGTTCTTTCGGTAAAGTCATGTAGGTAGAAAAATAAAATAAAAAATAATATATTATGACGTTTCAATCACAACACAAGCGGTCGTCCTCAGGCGGAAAAAAAAAATCCAGCAGTGGAACTGCTGAACCAGCGAGAGAGCTGTTACAACAAGAGGTTAAATATGTGGCGATGGGCAAGCAAGCGGGGTCTGAGCTGGAAAGGAATTCCATCCCCCGACGCAAGCACGTCAGTTGTGTTAATGGGGGAGCTTAGAAAGAGAGATATTAGGGAGAGAGATTAGCATGAAATGAGCTTCCGTCGCAGCATAAGAGTATCGTCTCCGCATATGCGCACAAGAGCAGTGTTAATGGGAGATTAGCACTATGTTGATGGGAGAGATTAGGGGGATTAGCAAGTTAATTTCACGTCTGTGTGTAACACAAGCTGCGGTGCTGCCAACTGCGCTGTGAGAGGCAAGCGTGTCCACGCAAGAGAACCACCGTAACGGTAGTCGCGCCAGTGAGACACACAGCCCATCACACAGCCGGAACCATCGATACATCGAGGCGAAAGGAGCAGAGGTGGCCATTTTAGTGAGACCCCAGCCCGTTAATGCAGAGGCACCTACCAGGGCAATGCAACTCAGAGAGTCGGAGATAACAGCCAACGGCAAGGAAGAATGGAAGCACCACAGCAAGTTACGACTTTGCTTGGTTAATAACGTCCTTCCAATGATTGCTCAGCTTATACCTATCTTCTCGGTTGAAATTGTCTCCGTTTTTTTATATCTGGATGGCTTCATGGATAAATCTTTGCTGGTAGCCCGAAGATTTGCAGAGTACCTTGGTCTCGGAAAAAAACAATATTGTGCGAGCCCACTGCGTTATCACAATGATCAGCCATGGCAGAGGTATTGGTTCTGCCGTGTTTCAAATCTGCCTTGTGTTCATGAACACGGTCCGAGACATGTCGTTTCGTTTCCCCAATGTAACTGCTGCCGCAGACACAACTTAGTATGTCGACACCAGGGTATTGCATGTTAGGAATGACATCCTTCACGGATGGGATCAAATCACGGATTTTGTGTACTGTATTGAATCGGACCTGGATCTTGTGTTTGTTTAAGATTTTGGAAATATTTTTGGTAACACCTGCTATGTATGGCAAGGTGATGGTTTTGATTGGGCCCTCAGATGGTTGTCTCTCCATAGCTGGAGATACAGCTTTGCGGATTGTGCGGTCTGAGTATCCATTAATCTTGAGGGCTTGGTGTACGTGCTCCAGTTCACTGGCAAGGTGGCGTTGGTCAGAGATGCAGCGGGCCCTAAGGTGTAGTGTTTTGATGAGGGAGCTCTTCTGGGCCTAATGGTGGTGGGAGTTGGGCTTTAGATAGGAATCCGTGTGGGTGGCTTTCCTGTAGATGGAATGTCCCAATGAGCCATCAGGCCTCTTCTTGATCAAAACATCCAGGAATGGTAGTTTGCCATCATTTTCCACTTCCATGGTGAATTTGATGGATGGGTGTATGGAAATGATGTGGTTGAAAAATTGGTTCAGTGCTGGCTGGCCATGTGGTTAGATGACGAAAGTGTCATCCACGTATCTCTTCCACAGGGAAGGACGTAGAGTGGATGTTAGGATGGCATCTGTTTCAAATTTCTCCATGAAAACATTCGCTACCACTGGTGATAAGGGAGAACCCATAGGGGTCCCTTCATTTTGTTTGTAGAATGTACCATTTCAGATGAAGTAAGTGTTGGTAAGGCAGTGCCTCACCAAAGTTGGTACATCTTGATTCAGTCCCTGTTGGACCAGGTCTTCAATGATTGCTATGGTGTCAGGTACAGGTACCTTGGTTAACAGAGAGACTACATCGAAGCTGACAAGCAAATCATCTGGAGACAGTGAAATGTCCTTGATTAGAGAAACCAAGTGAGCTGAATTAAGTACTGCTGAGGTGGTCATGCCCGTGAATGGAAGCAGGGCCTCAGACAGAAATCAGGCCAGTTTGTAGGTAGGTGAGTTGATGGTAGAAACGATAGGATGGAGTGGAGGTACCTTCTTTATGGATTTTTGGAAGGCCATACAATCTGGGTGGTCTAGCCGCCGAAGGTTTTAGAGAGAGCTGTTCGGTCGGTTCGATTAGAGATGTTGGGTTTTGTAGCCAGGCAGTTGGTGGGATCTTTGTTTATTTTGGTATAACTGCCATCATTATGAAGTATTATATATATATTCTTAGCTCTTTCGGTAAAGTCACGTTGAAGGGAAACAATAAAATATATATAAAACAATACAAATTCTCACGACGTTTCGACCATAACGCAAACGGTCGTGAGAATTTGTATTGTTTATATATATTTTATTATTTTATTGTTTCCCTTCAATGTGACTTTACCGAAAGAGCTAAGAATATGAATTACTGCAGTCACGAAAGTTTTAAATCAAAATCATTATGAAGGTCCTGGATTTTGTTGTATGTGGTTTTATCCATGATGACCGTGGCATTGCCCTTGTCAGCTGAAATGATGACAATGTCATCTATCTTTTTCAATTGAGCGAGTTCAGAGCGGCCGTCCCTGCTGGGTTAGTGCCCCTTTACCAGATAACCTATGGTGGTGGACCACCAGGCTAACTACGCTAGTTACTGGGAGTAGCTACAATGGACAGGACCCTGGCTTGGGTCCTCGTCCACGTGTTGGTGACTTCTTCTCTTGGACGTAGAACGTAGATCGTAGATCTTCAGATGACAACAGCAACACTGAGCCCCGGTCCCTGTGGGGACCCGGTTTATATGCTCCCGGGTCGTGGCTGGCCCCGCCCTTGGCCACGACCACCTTCGAGAAACCTCTTGTCGTTTCTCGACCCTTCCGGTAGGATCTCACCCTGACACGTAACTACCCTCTAGCCCCTGCCCGGGCCCCTGTGCAGATCTTACTTGTCACGTGCCTTCCAGGGTCAACCAGAGTGCCATGGCCTAGGGGAACCTCATCCCATGGTTGACACTCTTACACTCCCTCCTGTAGGAGTCAGGGTTGCACGCCACGCGTGGTGCCACTTCGCTATCCCAGCGCTCACCGAGCCCCCTCTAGGGCTGGTACTACATCCACCTACGTGGTGCCCGCAATGACTGCATCGCACGGCGTGCCTCGCTCGAGCCGGCATTTATTCAGCAACATTCACAATGTCGCTACATACATGATGTCCGCGATGTGAGTACATCGCACGCCGTGCCTCTCTCGGGCCGGCACCACACAGTGACATCTGAGATGTCACTACACAAAGATGATCACTTAAAATATATTAATTGCTTCCAACATGTATTTATTAAAAAGTTTTAATTAAAATAGAACAATCTAACATAGAACAATTGTTAAGTTAAATCAATAAAGTTGTAATAAAAAAGTAAACAATTCCAATAAGAAAGTAATAGGACTTTTCAAATCGCGATTTCGATTTATCATTCAGCCCTACACTGCGCTACGATCCCACCGACCAGAGTTCGATTCCCGTTCATGGCCAACACCAGTGATAATTATCTGAACCGGTCCTGGGCCTCCCCTAGGACGACTAGGCCTCAAATCAGTACCTGGAGTAGTGTGTAAACATCATGACAGGGGAGACAAAGGTGGTCGGGCGTGGTGTTGGCCACCCACCCCCATCGTGTGCCGTTTCGGCCTTCATAAGTGCTACTCAGCAACAGCACTTGCCCCAATTTTCTGTTCAAGTCTATACAGGGGATCATTGTTTTGGAGGTCGTGGAAGGCGGAGCAGTTAGTGAGTGTTCAGCGTTTTTAGTTGTTGTAGCGTCTTTTCTTAGCATTTTGTCCGCGTGTGTTGTTTTTTTTGTTAGCGTGCTTTTGTTAGTGTGTGTTGTCCACTAACACACGTGTCTTTGTTTTTAAATTATGTTTGTGTGTGCGTACATGTGGGTTTAATGTGGAGTATTTTACACTGCAATACAGTAGTGTACAGTACACTGTGGTACAGTAGTGTACAGTTCACCGTGGCACAGTAGTGTACAGTACATTGTGGTACAGTGGTGTACAGTACACTGTGGTGCAGTAGTGTACAGTACACTGCGGTACAGTAGTGTGCAGTGCACTGGTGCAGCGGTGTACAGTACACTGTGGTACAGTAGTGTACAGTACTGCTGTGTGTTGGAAGATATTGTGGTATAATGTAGTATGTATCGTGTAGTGTGTGTCTAGTGTAGCATGTGTAGGTTGTAGTGTAGTGCGAGGCTGAAATAATGTTGAGGTGAATTTTAGTAGGAGTGAATAGGGGGTGAGGTGAGGCTGAATTTAGTGTGAGTAGGGGTGTGTAGATAAACATGAGTGGACGGATACAGGCAAGGGTGATAAATCGGATGTCATCTATGACATCCACTTACAAGTTCTGGCTAAGGTCGCCCCTCGGTATAGAGTTATCCTGTTGTGTAACTTTAATGCCAAAGTCACAATGCAGGCACTTTGGCCGGAGTGAAAGGAAGGCACAGGCCAGATCAACTCAGTAATGGCACATCTACACAACATAGATGCACGCCGCTTCCTGTGAGTGGCTGGCTGATGTGCCATCCGTTGTAGAAGTGCCAAGGGTCATCCAGAGAGGCTGAGGCCAGGAAAAGTGCCCAGCAGAGATGACCTCTCAAGTGAATTGCTGAGGGTGGCGTTTGTTTGCACGATACACCGACTCTGGCACAAGCACAGTGGTGATGTCACCACCACTTCGTGGAGGACGGCAGTTGTTGTAAACGTGTATTTTTGTGTGCATGTGTATATGCTCTTGTATTTGTGTACACGTGTGTATATACACGTGTTTTTGTGTATATATAAATAAATATGTGTATTTGTGTACGTGTTTGTACACGTGTGTAATACAGATATATTTACGTACACGCGTGTATTTGTGTGTTCACGTGTATTATACAGATTTCTGTGCACCTAGCCTGGCACCGGTGGTAAATGGCGGGTATTGGTATTATACAGATGTATAAGTACACGTGTGTATGTGTACACGTGTATGTGTAGATCCGTTCTACTGGGCGTGGCTGCCCCAGGCCAAGGTTCCCTTCTCTCAGGACACGTGTGACCTCGTGCTGCCAAAGATCTCTGACATGAACTTTGTGCAGGACCTGGTGGAGGATCTCTACGAGCTGTTCAAGGCACGCACATCCCAGCGGTGGCACAATGACACTGACGCAGTGACACAGTGACATTGACACGATAACACTGACACAGTGACACCGACACAGTGACACCGACACAGTGACACCGACACAGTGACACTGACACAATGAGATTGACACAATGAGATTGACACAATGACACTGACACAATGACACTGACACAGTGACACAGTGACACTGACACCGTGACACTGACACAGTGACACTGACACGATGACACTGACACAGTGCGACTGGCACAGTGACACAGTGAGACTGACACGATAACAATAACACAGTAACACTGACACAGTGACATTGACACGATAACACTACAAGGGGCTGTAATTCATAATAATTACGACGATGCTGTGATAATTAATCATGTTTGTGTGTGCGTGCTGCTCGATGCTGTAGGAAGACAAAGGATTCGACCGAACAACTTTTGAGAAGCAGATGTCGGTCATGAGAGGACAGGTGAGGGCAGACTGCCAAACTTACGCGCACATCAGCTGCCGCTCGCCACTTGGTGGTGGTGATGTCATCACAGACGGCGATTTGTGCCAGGCTAGGTGCACGTTGAGGCTATCGCGTGAAGTGTGGAAGGTTCACTGGCTGGCGGTCACAGGGCAGACTCGGGTGTGTTATGGGTTGGATGACTGCGCTTCCCACTGTGCCAACTTGTGGCATTTTAGCTGCCCGGCGCTCTGCTTAGTGTGGATGCTCTACACCCTCCCGTGTTGCTGGAGGGTGACTGCTTACAGTTTTACAGCAGCATCCTTCATGAGCCTCCACAGAGGCTGATTTAATCACCGCTGGTGTACTGGTTATTGCCAAGTCTCAATCGGCTCGAACATCTTTCTGTACCGCATCAGTCCATCTCTTCTCTAATCCGTTCTGCATCCGTTTAGCCCCCTCTATCCAGCCAAACAGAAGCTGCTTCTTACCTCTACAAAGATCCCCTGTGTAGCCTGAACAGACTGTAGGGGCAAGTGCTGGTAACGAGCACGTATGAAGGCCAGATTGGCACACAAAGGGGTGGTGGTAGGTCCAGAACTACTCTTGGCTGCCGCTATCTCTTCAGTGCTCATGTTTTACACTGCACACGGGTACTCATTTAAGACTAAATAGACCTAGGGGGTGCCCAGGACCAGTTCAGATATTTGCCGGGTTCATAGTGCAGCGTGCCAACCGCTACGCCACACGCACACACACACACTCATACGCGCACACCATCTCTCTTCAACCGTCACTCCCCTCCTCCTCTTCCGCGTTGTCACCGCGTTCCCCGTGCTGTCGGCAGATCCTGAACCTGACGCAGGCTCTGCGCGACGGACGCTCCCCGCTGCAGCTGGTGGGGATGCCATGCGTGCTCATCGAGCGCAGTGCCGGTAGCGCCGGGAGTGGCACGGGGGGCTCGCGCATCCGCACACTCAGCGACGCCTTCACACAGACCTTCAACAGCCGCAAGCCGTTCTTCTCGTCGTGGTGATGTGCCGCACGACCGTCAACGGCGTGACGCCACGGGAGCCGTGCGGGATGGGTGTGACGCCACGGGGAGTGGTGACCTTACGGGGAGTGATGCCGTGGGAGTGTGTGATTCTACGGGGAATGTGTGATGCCATGGGACGGTGTGGAGCCGCGCGGGAGTGTGTGATGCCATGGAATGTGTGATGCCATGGAAGGATGTGACGCCATGGGGAGTGATTCCATGGGAGGGTGTGATGCCATAGGGAGTGTTATTTCACGGGGGATGTATTTGGGAGAGGGTGACTGGTGGTGGCATCTGTCCTCCAGCGGTGAGATGGCTTCGTCTGGGATCGTTCGGCCATCACTAGTGGAATGATTACATTAATTGGCTTCACCTGAAATGAGTTCAGCGATCTCAGACCGCAACCATGAAGCGAAACGGCTTTAATCTGAGAACGGGGTCGTTCAGCGATTGACAGGCAAGATCGTGAAAGTGATATCGAATAATCCAAAGTAATCACCGGAGAGAGGTCGTTTGGCAAAGTCACTTTATCAGAAACCAGTTAGTTCCTGCGATCACGAGGCAGGTAGCTTTGGCGATGTATTTACCTTAAACGCATCTGCCGAGCCATTACTGGAACGGTCGCAAGGACGGTCATTCGCTCGTCACTGGAGCACGGTTAATGTGCAACATCACGGTCATCCCACACCAGGTCGCCATGCGCCGCGGGAAGGGATGTCGTTGGCGGAGGGAGCTCCTCGTTAAGGGTGCCCGCCCAGCCGGCATGCACTGGGGGGCGGCCGGTAGCAACCCGGCACTCGGCCGGCACCACGCGCGCGCGCTCTGCACGAGCCCTGCAGTTCACCATTCGGCGCGCGCGCTTAAAAACGCCAACTCATTTATCTTCTCGTTTTTTATTTGTACAAATGTTTGATCAAAAGTGTGTTATTTTTCGTTATTATTGCGGTATGTTGCCGTATTATATTAGATGTAGCAGGTGGCCAGATGTTTTGCTTTTTTTTGGTTTAGCCATCGGTAATGTCACTGTGGAGTAGTTAAGTTGAGGTTGGCGTTAAGTCTAGGGACATGTGCTAAAGGTAGACCAATGTTAAGCCGAATTAGGACCAATTATACCTACAACATGGATAATGCACCACGTACGCAGTAGATTAGGCTACAAACCCCTAATTGACGTTTGCCTTTGTGTAGCGAGGGTGAAGACGCAGAGTGTGTTGTCTGTCATTGCTTCTCAAAGGAACCTGTTTACTTCCAGACGTGCTCGTGGTCACGCAGGCACCGAGTCGCTGGCCCTTCGACGAGTAAGGAGAGGATAACTGAAAGAACGGGCTTGCACAAAGACATTCATTTTGAAGCACGGATAATCCGTCCAAAGGATAATTAAGAGCTGACCGCACGTGGTTCACAACGGACCTGATGCGTGACGCAAGGACCAATCGTTATCGTCGTATGCGGATCAGGCCAGCAGCAATTTCCTCCCAGCTACTGGATGAATTGTCGCAGTATTTAGGATCTTCGATTCGGGGAATCGATTATTTTATTTTTCCTCTGTCCGTAACTTCTCGTTTGTTCTGTCCGGGAACGATTGCCCCCCTCCGTCGCATTGGTTCAGTTCCATTTCTTTCCATCGGTCGAAAACGCGGCGTAAACCATTGGGGCAAAATAACTTTTCAGAGCCCGATGGGTGTGTCGCGTGTGGTGGGGTTAATGTGGGAACTCTCGCCTCTTCAAACATTGTCGGGCCAACGTCACGGAGGAGGCCGCATACCAGGGGCTCTCTAGAGCTTCTTCGAGTGGAGGCGCTTTCGCCAGCAGTGGTGTGGGCAGGCAATTGCAGGCTGCGTTTTGACATCTTTTACATTTATTTAGCCTGGGTGAGGGCCTGTTGGGAGTCGTCACCATCCCGATCATTAGCCACGATAAATAATCAACTGCTTGGTTGCAGGTGCCCCCCCCCATTCCTTTGCCATTTTTCAGTTTTGCAATGCAACAATCCGTCTTGCTGCCTCGCCGCAAGTATGTTTCTTCTGTCTGTCTCCACGGTGGTGGACGTTAACGCTTGGGCCTGTTCCCTCCTTTGGCTGCTACTCGGTCATTAAGACTCGACCCCCGGCCTTCATTCCTGCCCAATTCCACTTTACTTTTCTGTCACCATGGCGTCATTAACTTGCGGTGGGGTGGGCCTTGCCTGGCGTAATAAACCGCAGCAGGTTGTGACGGCAACCCAGTGGCATCGGTGAGCGGAGCTGCGCCGTGCTGATGAATATGCGACGGCGAAACCATGGCGAAGCCACGTCGTTTTCTGAAGAAAATATTCTTAAAGCCAGTATACAAGAGCACTGTACCTGAGGTGCGGTTTAGATTTACACAGACGCCTCTGTAATTATTGTTTTTTTTATATTTTAACCGGCGTAAGTCCTGTGAAAGCAGCCCAGCTGCAACCAACGATCCTGTGCGATGCGCGTGATGTGTGTAAGCGCGCGCACTCACTGGTGGCTTAGCTGTTGAGTGCGTAGGCAGTGCAACTGCACCGGGGCCCAGGTGCCGGAATCCGAAGAGGATGGGGGGTGGAGGGGGGATTGGACAAAAGTGTGCCAGCGTCATGGTTCAAAATTAATCCAGATTTTTTTAAGTGATTACAAAATTGCTTAATAGGGTAAAACCACATAGCTGCATCGCCCCCCCCCCTACTCTGGCAGTATAATGCTGACTTAGTAGGTCGGTGCTGTGCACACTACCACGTCGGGACAGCTGCCACTAGGGGCGGGGGGAGGGGGTCCCCTTGGCTATATTGCAGCAAGGCGTTGGAATGTTTGAGATGAGCTGTGATGCAAGACACTGAGTTGCTGTGAAGCGGTGTGCCACTAAACACACAAAACACGTGCCCTTGCACCAGGGTCCATGCCCTTGCACCAAGGTCCTTGCCAACAACATGGCACCACTGATGTTATTACTCTGGTGGTGGAAGTACTTGTTGGGGTGGGGTGACTTGAATATCGACGGGAAGAGGAGAGGGTGACTCAGGTCTCTTTGGGGTTGCCGTATACGTTTACGTGGGTGGGGAGCGGTTGTATTGCGGTGAGCATACTGCGCTACAAATCCAGCGACCCAGGTTCGATTCTTGCTCACGGCTGGTCATGGGCCTCCCCTAGATCGACTCAGCCTCAAATGAGTACCTCCTGCGGTGTGTAAAAACATCGCCACTGGGAAGACAAAGGATCTTTATCTTTGGGGGGGGGGGGGGGGGGGAAGTCGCCGTTCACATAACGATGCCAAAGTGTTCAGTTTGTCACGACTAGTGCCTGCCGTTTCCAGCCGAGAGTCTGGGTCGAAAAACTGGGACGAGAATTGTTGGGTTTCAAGTCCCACCCCGTGGTGAAACTTCACTGACGGCTGTGGGTTGGGTGGATGGGAACAATTGGTGGCCTTGGAACCCGTCAGTCACTCATTGCTGTGTTTCCTTTGAAGTTAGGGCTCATTTTCTCTCTGGATTGGTCGCCGGTCGCTGGTAGACTGGAGCATTGTGCACGCGACTAGTAGTAGTAGCCATAGCGAGAGGCTTTGATCGATGTGGTGTTCCATGTGCAGATATATAATTTAGGGCAGACCCAGCTGAAATTAAACCCTGCATTGTCGTAAGCAGACTGACGTGCACATGTTACTTTTTTTAGGAACGTTAACCCAGTTACGTATTCATCGGCAGGAACCCGTTTCCACACAAATGAGAGCCAACCAACGTTTCTCAATCAGCCGGGACGTCTTGAAGAGATTCGCACGGCTGCAAATTGTATGCAGATAACGCATGGATTCCAATTGTGCTTGTGACAGTCTATTTCGTTCACCATTGGTCGAGCCCAATCCACTGCTGGATGAACACCTTCTAAAGCTTTCACCATTTCTCATGCTCCGCGATGGAATGATTTATCGAGATCCGAGCGAGTCGGTTTCATCCGCGGCGAACGAACTCGAGAGGACTGGCCCACTTTTAATCTTTTAGCTGCCACTCCGTCCTTAGTCTCGACCGCCGGCCATCACCCCTTGCGGTGACATGCCCTGCACAGAGGCCATGGATTTAATTGCAAGGTTACATCTATCGGCTAAACTACTTGCGATGGGAACAAAGCCAGTGACTGCACAAAGCAAAGAGCATCATTGTAGAGCAAAGTTAAGTTCTTAAGTTAATTCGGCCCGACCGAACCGTGGGCGTTATTAATTCACATTCGAGGACTGGCACGCGGCAAGTCCACTATTATTCAGTGGTGAGAAGTGCCACTCGGAAGGCGAGGCTCTCCGCTATGAATCTTAAGACCCCCCCCCCCCCCGGGTCCTATGTTCCATGTGTGTCAGTGTGCGGGCACAGGCGTGTGTATCTGCACAGGTGCATATTGGGGCGTGCACGAATGTTTACACGAGAGTGTGGTGGAGTAATTGTTAAGATGTCAAAAATATCAATATTTGCCATGAGATGACTTTTGTGGGTTCCTATTTGCCAATGAAATAAAGGCGTATTGAAAGAAACCTGCTGGTCCCTCGCAGAATGACCGGATTGTAAGACGCAACCCAATAAAGTTCTACAAATGTGTCTCGTATAACTACCGGATTATAAGGGGAAAGAGCGGGGACATTGAGAACACAGCCCTGAATTTCAATTTAAAGCTTACGTGACTACAAGGATTCATCTTCTTTGGTTCTTTCGGTAAAGTCACGTAGAATGAGAATAAAATAATAAAATAACAAAAATTCTCACGACGTTTCGGCCACAACGCAAGCGGCCGTCTTCAGGTGAAAGGTACAGAACTGTCGGGACGACAGAGCTTCAATGAACGATGTTAAGATTCGTAGCGACTTTTAAGCTGGTTGGGAGAAGTGAGGCACCTTGACAAAGGGGTTTACATATCAAATAGCTGAGGTATTAGCTTGTGACTGGTCACAGAAATGGCTATGTTAAAGTCAAAACCACAGAGGCAACTAGTAATTTAGCATTGAAATAGCTAAGGGATTAGCTTGTGCCAATAGCTGAGTGATTAGCTTGTGACTGGTCACAGAAATGGCTATGTTAATCCCTTAGCTATTTCAATGCTAAATTACTAGTTGCCTCTGTGGATGTGTAGGTTTTGACTTTAACATAGCCATTTCCGTGACCAGTCACAAGCTAATCCCTCAGCTATTGATATGTAAACCCCCTTTGTCAAGGTGCCTCACTTCTCCCAACCAGCTTAAAAGTCGCTACGAATCTTAACATCGTTCATTGAAGCTCTGTCGTCCCGACAGGTCTGTTCCTTTCACCTGAAGACGGCCGCTTGCATTGTGGTCGAAACGTCGTGAGAATGTTATTGTGTTATTTTATTATTTTATTCTCATTCTACGTGACTTTACCGAAAGAACCAAAGAGGATGAACACAGCCCAACACAAAAGTAGCCGCGTGTGGGGTTGCCTCTTCCGGAAGATTCTACTCTCCGTTCCAAGACCAATATACCACTTCCAGAAGATTTAAATAAAAACGAGCCCGTTCTGCGCTACTTTCGGAAGACCCCTCCCAACTCAACCCAATTTGCAGCTACAACACAAGTCAACACCCAACTTAACACCCAACCCCCGAACATCTAACACAACCCTCCAACATTCAACACAACATCTAGTAATCACCACACCACAACCCCAACACAACACCCTACATCCAACAAAACGCATAGCACATCCAACACAACATCCAGCACAACACCCAACCCCCAACCCAACAAACCAACTTTCAACAACCACCCCCAATCACGCCAACACGCCCGCTTCTACCGGAAGATGCGACTCGCCGTTCGTAACAAATCGGCAGCAATTGATGTCCTCTGTACTTATACAATTGTTACTACAGTGACCGTCAAACTTTATTTTTGTATTATTTAGTGATTTGCTTTAGCGTTCCTATACACTCATTTGTTGTTTTGTATTGTTTCTTGTAACTTTCTGACCCCCTGCCCCCCCTCCCCCCCCCCTTACTGGACAATTTGTAAAAAAAAGAGCTTAGTAGCTCATCGGATTTCTCCAGAACAAATCGAGACAACCTCAAACAAGCCACGCATCTTCCGGAAGAATCTTCTGGAAAACCTGTGGAACGGTAATTGAACCGGGAGTAGGCATCTTCCGGAAGATTCCCTTTCAAGCAAACCCGTCAATTGAACGGGGGCAGTACAATCTTCCGAAACGCGAGGGCTCTCCTTCTTCCGGAAGATCGATCAATATTCCGGAAGATCGATGAATATTCCGGAAGATGTCTTCCGGAAGATCGGCAGAAGGAAAGATGGGCAGAGGCGCCCGGTGATGGCGGAGCCCTGAAGCGGCGCTGTGAAGGAATGCGGTCGAGTTGAGCGAGCGCGGACAACCGCGCAGATCTCCTCCATTAAAGCCCCGGCTTCTTCCAGGGCCCACGGCGGTGAGGGTCGCAGTCACTCGCGGTTGTTGTTGTAGTTGTTGCCCGTGTAGTTTGTTGTAGTTTGGCGGTCGCCGTACCGTCAACAACGCGCCTCTTTCCCCTCCCCTCCCCTCCCTCCCTCCACCATCCCGCCGCGGCAGAGTGAAATCGATCACGGATAAAAGTGTTCAAACTTCGCCCAAAGTTGCTCGAAACTCGTCTGAGCGCCTTTGGCAAGTCGTCGCTTCGCGGTCGCCCGTGGTCGTTGCTGCGGTGGAAGTGGTTGCGCTCATGGCTTTTGTCGAGACGAGAGATGTGTTGGTGGTGGTGGGGGAAGAAGGCTGCTGTGGCTGCTGTGGCTCGGGTTGTCGTTCTCTCGGCCCCCAACGCTGGACAGCGCCCCACGCCATTCATTATTTATCAGCCTCCGCGGCGCGCGCCCGCTCGTTTGTTTGCGCGAGGTAAAGCGATACATGAATAGAATGAGAAAGAAACTTCATCGACTTGCAAATCGCCCGCTTTAAGTATAGTTTTGCGCGTAGGTAACTTTTATTTAAAGTCAGGATTTTAAAATCTCTTCTTTACCCCCCCCCCCCGCCCACAACGTTTTTTTGTTGTTACCGAGGTGAAATTCGAGACGGCATCCCGAATTCCTCTCTCGCTTCTTCGGTCTTACACAGATTGTTTTGTCTTGTTGTTGTTGCGCTCTGGAAAGGGGAAAAACAAACTAATTGGCAGACAAAACGAGATCTTGTGAAAAGTTGACGCAGTTTTGTTTGCCACGGCGAGACCGCGACGACATCATCGTGGGCCCTGCGTCCTGAGTTTAAAAGTCAAGCCTTGTTGATTAATTATCTTGTCGATGTTTATTGTTGTTGTTTCGGTGTTGTTTAGTTGTTTTGGGAAATGTTGAAAGCGAAGTATGGGTGAGTTTAGGCTCCAGGCTTGGCTGTGGTGTTGGCGGAATGGAGGAGGAGGTTTGTACTTGTGGGGGTTTTGGATTCATGGGCTCTGCTCAGGGGCCGCTTGGCCATAAAGGGCTGCGTGGTGGTGCCGCGTTCAACCCATGCCCTCGAGCCGTGCCCTTCACATAGGTCGTGCCCCCTATGTTGTGGGCAATGCCGTGTGTAAGTTAAAGCTCCCCTCAAAGGGGGATGCAGACAGTTCAACAGGTATATGGGCGAGGCAGGCCCACGTGTGCAAGCTTATTAAATAGAGCTCCGACCTCGAGTATTTTAAGAAGTGTATTCTTAAACGTCGTGAGAATTTTTATTGTTTTATATATAATTTATTATTTTATTGTTTCCCTTCAACGTGACTTTACCGAAAGAGCTAAGAATATGAATAAGTGTATTCCCCTTTTTTATTTAAAGCTTTCGTGTCTACAGGGATTCATATTCTTGGTTCTTTCAGTAAAGTCACGTAGAAGGGAAACAATAAAATAATAAATATATAAAACAATAAAATTCTCACGACGTTTCGGCTGCAACACAAGCAATCATTATCAGGTGTGAAAACCACAGCAAGAAATTTTGAAAAAAAGTGGCGGTTATTTTTGAACGTTAGCACCACGGAGAGCGATTTGACAGTTTGTTCAGATGGACGAGTCCATCTATGTTCGGAAAAGAGGGGGGAGACGAAAAATAATGGATACGGTCTGAAAGCCACCGTAAGCGTGAACAATCAATTAAGACCCGAAATGGTTTATCAAATCCTTCCAATGATTGCTAAGCCAGAATCCATCTTCTCGGTTGAAATTGTCTCTTGTGTTTGTATATGTGGATAGCCTCATGAACGAATCTTTCATGGTAGCCAGATGGCTTGCGATGAACCTCTGTCTTGGAGAAGTCAATATCATGTGAGCTTACTGAATTATAACAGTGATCTGCCACGGTCGAGGTGTTGGTCCTACCGTGTTTTAGGTCTGCTTTGTGTTCACGGATGCGGTCCGAGACATGTCGTTTGGTTTCTCCAATGTAACTACTACCACAGAGGAAACTTAGTTTGTAGACACCAGGGTACTGTATGCCCGGAATCACATCTTTTACAGACGGAACCAGATCACGGATTTTATGTAATGTGTTGAATCGAACCTGGATCTTGTGTTTATTCAAGATTTTGGAGATATTTTTTGTGATCCCCGCAATGTAGGGTAAAGTAATGGTTTTGAAAGGCTCCTCAAGAGGGTCCTTCTTCATGGTTGGAGTGATAGCTTTGCGGATTGTGTAGTCGGAGTAACCATTAGCCTTAAGAGCTTGGTGTACGTGCTAGAGTTCACTGGCTATGTGTTCCTGGTCAGATATGCATTGGGCTCTATGGTGCAGAGTCTTTATGAGGGAATTTTTCTGGGATGGATGGTGGTGGGAATCCGGTTTCAGGTAAGCATCCATATGGGTAGCTTTCCTGTAGACAGAGTGGCTCATTGAACCATCAGGTCTCTTTTTTATTAGGACATCCAAAAAAGGTAGCTTGCCATCTTTTTGGACTTTCATGGTAAATCTGATGGCTGGGTGTATGGAATTGATGTGGTCGAGGAATTGGTCTAGAGCAGGCCGGCCATGTGTCCAGATGACAAAAGTGGCGCAGAGTGGCAGTCTGGATGGCATCAGTCTCAAATTTCTCCATGAAAATGTTGGCTACAACCAGAGATAGGGGGAGCCCATTGGGGTGCCCTCAGTTTGTTTGTAGAAAGTTCCATTCCAAGTGAAGTATGTATTGGTTAAGCAGTGTCTCACCAGGGGGGGGGGGGTGCCTCAGTGTTTTTAGTCCTTGATGAACCAAGTCTTCAATGATTGCGATGGTGTCAGGTACGGGAACTTTGGTGAATAAGGAAACTACATCAAAACTGACAAGCAGGTCGTCTGGGGACAGGGAAATACCCGTGATTGTCGATACCTGGTGAGTAGAATTTTGTACCGCTGAGGTGGTTTTTCCAGTGAAAGGCCGCAGGATTTCAGACAGAAAACGAGCCAGTTTGTAGGTGGGGGAGTTGATAGTAGAGACGATGGGACGAAGGGGTGTATCTACTTTATGTATTTTTGGTAAGCCGTATAATCTTGGTGGCCTGGCAGCAGAAGGTTTCAACGAGAACTGTTTGGTTTGATCAATTAATGCGGTTGAATCAGAAATTATTTTGTTGGTTTGTATGACGAGACTGTTGGTGGGATCTCTTTATTTTTGTATAGCTGCCATCGTTGAGTAATTCTTGAATTTTGTTGTTATATTCTATTTTATCCATGATGACAGTGGCATTGCCCTTGTCGGCTGAGAGGCTGACAATGTCATCCCTCTTTTTTAATTTATATAATTCAAAACGCTCATCTTTGCTGAGGTTGCTAGCTGGCATCTTATTCCCTGTTTAAATTAAAAAAAATGTTAGAAATGCCCTCCCACCAACACCCCAGATTGACCACTGCATTCCCTGAGTCCTGCCTTCGCTTTCCAGAGTCACATTTTAGCCATAACCACCTGAGCTGTATCGATGGGGGGACCCTTTGTAGCAATTGATGTCTATTTGCTGTTTGAATATCTTAACTCCTGCATTATTGCCGGAAAGGGTAAAGCCTATTATTAATTTCTCTCATCACCCTAAGGTGTTGGGCATATACCCTCTGTTGTACAGGCCAGGCCCTGAATAGGCCATGTCCTTGAGAAGTTATGCCCATTTTACGGCAAGCCTTAACATTAGCGGGCTGTACCTCTGGCCATCATGCCCTGAGTTTTCACAGCAATGTTTACCAACAACGTAAAAACCTCTCCCATGTACAGCATAGGTCATGCCGTTCATAAGTTAAACCGTCTCGCGGCCTTGCCCTCCGCAGGCCGTGTTCTTCCTGCATTCTATTTCGGTTGTCATAAGTCCTGGGACAAAACCAGGCCTCGAGTGAATTACAATAGTGATTGCCTTTTTCGTAGTGAATCTCAATCGCAGTGTAATTGTAATTTCGGTGAACAATGCTGGAGTTATTCAAATTGTAATTGACCTCAGGTCTGGACAATGCCGTTGATAGGTCATGTGATGAGTTGGCTGTGACCTCACATTTCAACGTTTATTCTTTTAATCTTCTTTGGTTCTTTCGGTAAAGTCACGTAGAATGAGAATAAAATAATAAATTGATAAAATAAAATAACACAATAATAATATAATATTGTTGTGTTATTTTATTTGATCAATTTATTCTTTTTTATTATTTTATTCTCATTCTACGTGACTTTACCGAAAGAACCAAAGAAGATGAATCATTGCAGTCACGAAAGCTTTAAATCGAAATGTATTCTTTTAATGTTTTGTTTTCTCTGTATGTAACGTTACTGTACCCACTTACATTTAAAAGTTGTCCCCTTTGATTCTTAATTTGAACTGAAACTATTAATCTTTAGGAAACCGAGGTGTAAAATGCTCTTCGTTTTACTTTTATTTTGTTTTGGATTGTTTATCATGTGTAATATGTGGCTGTGCAATTTTCTCCTTTTCGCTTATATGTTCTCATTTAAAACCGTTGTGCTTTTTCAGTTGATTGTATTTGCTACCAGTCCAGTTTAACTGAACCAATGTCGTAATGCTTTGATATTTCATGTAACCCAGATCACCGAGTTAATAACTCCAATCAGTACATGCTTGTCTTTTTGATATCTAATATCTGATACGTTCTGTGGTAAAGATCTTTCTCTAACCGGTAAGTGAGCTGGAACATTAATCTTGGTGCATCTATAAACACTTTTCGGTGTGACAATTTAATTTGTTTGGCTGTCTCGGGTGGTTGAGGGTCTTACGACAGAAATTTGACAAGATAATTTCCAAAAAATATATTATTCATTATGTTGGCTATGAAAATCAACGCATTACCTTAATGGGTTGTTTCCATCGCCTGGTGATTTATTGCATCTTAGTCATGTCCTCGACGGCACATGACCTCTTTTGCTAGAGTCCTACCTCTTAGCCACAATTCCAAAGCCATGCCCTTACTGTGGCTGGGCCATGGGTGCACCATCCACAGCAGTAGTAACAGATGGGAACACGTGTTACCCAGACAATGGGGCCTTGACTGGGCTCACAGTTAACAAGGCACAGCTGTATCAAATCCCCACCCAAGTCTATAGCCCCTGGAGACAACATATCTTACAGAGACAGACTGTGGCCTAAAGAGATAGGCTACAGTGTCAGGCTGTCGGATATTACCTCTCTTTGTCGTTGTACACGATACTGAGTGTTGGTGACCTGTGATGAAGCCACTCTGTGATATTGTGCTTTGCTATAACATTGGTATAATGCTGTGGTTATTATGTTTATAATACTACCTTGTCCATCTTGGACTGTGTATACCTCTGTTCCATTTTCCTTTCACTTTATTCAATCAACAGTGTCTCAATTCCTCAGTTAGGATTACCCATAGCAACAGCGCCGTCGGACTGTGACACGACTGCAAACTTAACGATCCCTGAAACACAGTGCATTTTTGATAGCCTTGCACGATAATAGTGGCGCATTTATAAAATGTCACTAATTTATCAATATAAAATATTCTACATGTTTTCCCCATGATGCCTATATAGCTGTGTCCAAAGTACTTTAGTTTTTCTCTTACTGCTGCACTGCAGCTGAAGTTTGCACCTGCTCTCTCACACACAGAGTCCCAAACTTCTTCCATCGAGAGCCGGCTCCAAGATGGCTTCGGGGGCGGTGAGCATGGGCTGTTATGCCGGCGAGGCCCCAGCGGTGCCGTCCACCGAGTGCGGCACCAGTGAGGGGCCCCTGATGGCCGAGCTGAAGACGGTGGCGGAACTGGCGCTGATGTCGGATGTCGACATGAGTTACGACGATGACGATGATGACAATGATGATGGTGGCAGTGGCGGCGAAAGGGGAGGAGGTGAGTGGCGTTGGCAGATGAGTGGGTGGCACCATGATTAGCACCAGATGGGCAGAGAGCACCAGCACGTCAAGAGAAGGACAGATTCGCCGCTGAACAAGCATCGATTGCCAGTCACCAGTTAACTCAGAATGTGCCTGATCTCGGAAGATAAGCAGGCCTGAGTTGGTTAGTCTTCTTTCTTATGGCATTTAGAAAAAAGTAACAGGCTACAATTGTATTTTGAATTTTGTAAGACATTCCGCTGCATCCAGCGTAGCCGAGTGGAGTCCACTTGTTCCACCAGACTAAGCCTGTTGTATAGGGCAGTCAATACAGTGGAGATATGCCTGATGGTTGGCACCTCACCTCGTTCGCAATTTGGTGAGTAGTTAACGTTCCATTTATAGGGAAATATCCATACCTTCCATGTGTCGTTCGGACATGATTGAGATGGTCCACTGTCATCAGGGAAGAGAGAAAACCAGGTTGTTAGCCTGGTTAGTGCTTAGATGGAAAACTGCCCGTTGTTGTAGGCTTAGGCTGCGAGGTAACCACAAGATGGCAGCATGGCAATGGATTCTTAAATCTACCCATGTGGCGTTGTGAGTATTATCCCCTTGTCTGCGTGGTGGGTTTTCGTTAGGTCCTCTGGTTTCCTCCCACATGTAAGTCAAACACTTTACTCAAGGAATTTACCAAATATTCCAAGATACAGCAGGACTCTAAAAAAGAGTCTTGGGACCCCGTCAGGTTTCCTGGATCAACAACTTGTAACTTGCTGATCCGCCCCTACTGGACATCTGTGAAAAAGAGCTTCATAGTTCATCGGATTTCTCCAGTCTGAATAGATTCTGAACAAAGATCATTATTATAATTTGGTATACAAAGTAGGGAACACTAGAATTATACGGTGTCTTCCTTCCTTTGGCTGCCACTGTTGTGGATCTTGACCACCGGTGATGTTACAAATGGCGGACAAAACGTTGATGGTAAACACGCATGTTGCCGTGGCGACGAGATTAACAATTGTTGCTGTGCCGCTGTCTCCCTCAGGTCTAATAAAGCCGCTTTTGGATGATGATGACGACGACAACGGCATAAGCCTGCGGCTGCCCGACCGCTTCGCCCAAGAGCTCTCAAAACTCGAAGCTGCTGCAGTGGCGGCAGCAGCCGCGTCAGCCGCGTCAGCGGAGGCGGCCGTGGCTGCGGCAGCAGCAGCGGTAGCAGCGGCAGCCGGGCCGGCGCCGGCCGCGATGAAACTGGAAGAGGGCGCGCGCGGTGCTGTTGGTTACTTCCGCAAAATCACGGCCACCCCTGTTCCTTCCCGGCCGCCAATGTTGGTGCAGGAACCCCTGACGGCCGTGGGGCCTTGCGTGCCGCAGGCAGGTGAGGAGCAGGCTTTGACTGGAGAGTCTGGGCTGCCCGTGGGTGGTGCGGCAGTGGCGGCAGCGGTGGTGGTGACGGCGGTGGAGAAGGACGAGGCGGTGGTGGGGAGTGGTGGTGAGGCGAGGTCCAGGGGTTCCCGGCGCCCGAAGAGCTTCTTCTGCCGGCCCTGTCAGTTCACGGTAAGTGGCGGCACTGGTTCTCTACGTGCCCATTCCCTGCTGCCGTGTGATTGTGCAATGGATGGATGCCCCTCACGTGTTGTGACGCGTTCTGCCACCCCTGGATGTGCCGCGTAGGCGACCTCCGAGGCGGAATTCCGACATCACATCAGCTCCCACGGAGTCAAAAAATACCTGCTGGAGCAGCAGGGTGAGATGAACGTGCGCACGCAAGTGCACACGGTGAGATGCGCACACACACTCGCATGCAGTACTCAAACACACATTAACACACATACACGAAAAGAGACAAAAGCAAAGATCCCAAGTATAGCCTATAACTGATTGTTGGGGCAAGTGCTGTTAGCGAGCACCTATTAAGGCTGATACAGCAAACGAGGGCATGTGGTGGCCTGCACCACGCCAGACCGCATTTGTCTCAAAGTGCTGAAGTCTACACATCGCATCAAGTACTTATTTGAAGCTGAGTTAACCTCGAAGAGGCCCAGTACCAGTTAAGTGATTCGTCATTGAGCGGGAATCGAACTTTGGTCTACACTACAGCTGCACTACAGCTCCCCGTAAAAAGAGTTGCACACACACATACCCATACCCTCGCACACACGCACCGATACGAGTGTTGCTGGTTGTTGTTGGGTGTTCTGTGCCACGTTGTTACAGGCCGCGGGTGGTCCCATTCGCTGCGAGAAGTGCGGCTACAACACGAATCGCTACGACCATTACCTAGCGCACCTCAAGGTACTGCTGCACCGCCCTCCTCGCTCTTTCGGTCTCACCGCCTTGCTCTCTCTAACTTTCACCGCGACTCCCTGTTTAACCGTCACACCTAACGAGCTAGTGTAGCGCCTTCAGCTACCATTGTTGTGTGTAGTTACAGTTATGACAATGGTGAATTTGGTGGGTGTACGCACGTGCAGCCGTTGCGTCGTTGTCACAGTGTTGCGTTCTCTGTGTTGTGTCTTCGTGCGTGCCTGGTCGTTTGTGTGTTAACGTATTATTGTGTCGTTGCATCTGTGTGTGTGTGTGCCTGTAGCGCAATGGTTAGCACGCTCCGCTACAAACCCAGCGATCCGAGTTCGATTCCCACTTATGCCAACATCAGTGCTGATTATCTGAACTGGTCCTGGGCCTCCTCTATTGTCGACTGAGCCTCAAATGAGTACCTGGTACAGTGTGTACACATCGCCACTAGGGAGACAAAGGCAGCTGGGCGTGGTGTCGGCCACCCACCCCCCGTGTGCCGTTCCGTCCTCCATAGGTGCTCGCTAACAACACTTGCCCCAACAGTCTGATGAGGCTATGCGGGGGAACTTTGTCTTTACTCTTTGGTTCTTTCGGTCAAGTCACGTAGAAATAAATTAAATTAAATAATAGAATACGACGTTTCGATTGCAACACAAGCAACCATCATCAGGTACAAATGAATGAGAAAACAAACATAGTTAACTTGGAAATATAATGCAATACAACACAGAGTCGGCCAACACAAGAGTCAACACCCCACCTGGTTGATTACGTTCTTCCAAAGATTGCTAAATTTGAGAAACAAAACACACAGACACACAAGCAGAGACTCACACAGAGACAAAGAGGGAGACACACACATAGGCACACAGAAAGACAATGTCTCTGTGTCGAGGCCTTAAATAGAGAGGGGGGGGGGCAGAGGGGGAGTTGTGTGGAATTCCTGCCCATAGCGGCCAGAGGAGAGAATGGACTTATTAACAAGCACGGTAGAAAGCAAATCTTTGGAAAAACGTAATCAACCAGGTGGGGTGTTGACTGTTTTGTTGGCCGATTCTCTCTGTGTTGTATTGCATTATATTTCCAAGTTTACTAGGTTTGTTTTCTCATTCATTTGTACCTGATGATGGTTGCTTGTGTTGCAATCGAAACGTCATATTCTATTATTATTTTATTGAATTCCTTTCTACGTGACTTTACCGAAAGTACCAAAGAGTAATTCCTGCAGTCACGAAAGCTTCAAATCTAGTTTGAACTTTGTCTTTGTGTGTTTCTGTATATGGTTGTAGAGCTTCGTGTTGCTGCTGTGTTGCCACTTGTATTGTGTCACTGTGTATGGTTTCATCCTCACCCACGGGTCACCTCACCTGTGGTCATGTCGCATTGTATTCTCGTGACTCGCTGTGCGGTTATTCCGCAGTGTGTTGTGGTTGCGTGTGGTTGTGTTTTTTTATTTGATTGTCAGTATGCCTGGTTGTGTCACACCTGTGATTGGGCCATTGTGTCTTGTCCTGCTAGATTGTATGGTTCTGTTTATGGGAGTGCTTGCGTCTTGGTTGTGCTACGGTATCTGGTCATATTACCATGCATGTTGGTGCCACCTTTCGTGGCACGTCACTACGTTTACTTATAAACATAGTGGTGCCACGGTGGCGAGATGTTAACCATCTTGCCTGGTATGCAGCAGGTCGTGGGTTCGCTCCTGACTGACACCTGTATATTTGGAGTTTGCATGTCTCTCTCCCCGTGGTCATGTGGATTTTTTTTTCACCGGGTCCCCCTCTAGTTTTTCCCTCCATATTTAGAAACGTGTTTAGAGTATTTGGCTGCTAGAAATTTCCACATGATAAGCCACTTAGTTGGGTTATCATTTATGGCCAAGTCATTTCTGAAAAAGAGCCACATAGCTCAGCGGGTCTTACCTGGCAAAATAAAAATATAGTTTTTAGTTTTGTAAAAGGACGATGAGATGTTCCTTTTGTCGCCAAAATCATGGATAAGCGCAGGATCACGTAAAGCAATCAGGACAAGGTCAAATCAGCGGTGCGTTCTGTCTCTCTGCACTTCTCCCTCCCAAGCACCACGAGCGCGTGGCCGGCGCAGCGCTGCCTCCGAGCCCGATGGTGCCACCCCTTCGCCAACCCAACGAACCGCGCCCCAGTGAGAACCGGGAGAAACACTCGGCGGTGGTGGCGCCGGTTCTCGCACCAGCTTCGGCACCGGTAGTTGAAGGAGGAGCGATGGTGCAGAGTGGCGAGCGAGTGTTCCGCTGCGTCCTGTGCTTGTACAGCACGGTGAGCGAGTACCACTGGAAGAAACACCTGCGCAACCACTTTCCGCGCAAAGTGTACACCTGCGGGTCCTGCTGCTACTACTCGGACCGCAAGAACAACTACCTCCAGCATGTGCGCACACACACAGGTGTGTGTTGGAATCTTTTGTCTTTGGTGCGGTAGTGGGAGTGGTTAGCGCACTAATCTACGAACCCACCCACCTGAGTGTGTTTCGTTCACGGCCATTATCAGTGGGCACCACGGTGGCGAGATGTTAACTCACGGCTCACATCAGTGTCGAGTTCCTGGGCCTCCACGAGGACGTTAGCGCTGTTGAAGTCGGAGTACCCAGTGCGGTGTGTAACGTGTCAGCACTGGAGAGACAAATGTGGCTGGGACTGCCGTTGGCCATATTGTCCCCTCATGCACCACGCTGCCCTTAACAGCACGCAAACTCTCTCCAGTCTGTGAATATAATTATGTATGTTAAAATTCTTTCGAACCGTACTTAGTCAACCGTGCTAATTGCAGGTGCGGGGGAAGGACATAAAACTAAACACAAAAATCAGTTCCTCGAGAAATTGTTTGCAATCTATATTTAAAAGTGGATAGCTCCAGTGGCTCCCTAATATCGAAAGGAAGAGCATTCCAGAAGGACACAAGTGCATCTGAAATCGTGAGATGTGGTGACCGTCTTTGTTCCATTGCCAGCCAAAAGCCACCGCTGCTGCCAGGATGACTGGGTTTTGCGTAATGATGGTTTATTCTCTGGCGAGATCAGCGAGGTATTGTGGCGAGCACTTTTGCGTGTGTAACGAGTGCGCAGAATGCCACATGGGGATGTTTGTATTTTTTTGCAGGTGAAAGGCCCTACCAGTGTCCACACTGCAGCTACTCGAGCTCACAGAAGACTCATCTCACCCGCCATATGCGCATACACTCGGGTGAGTGGCTCTCGTGTAAAGCTGTAGCTGTGAGAGCTATGTTTGGTAAAAAAAAAGATTTCTTTTAGTTTTTATAGTTTAAAATACTGTTTCGATTTTAAAAATTTTGTTTAACTTAACGTAGGTACGTGTAAGTGGCTGAAGAATGTGTTGGTGTTGTAGAGTTAAGTTAAATGTGATTTAATGTGAGGTTTGTGTAACGTGGCTTTGTGTAAATGTGTTTTTGTACACCTATCCTGGCACAGGTGATGTGGTGAAATAATTGGTGCTATTTTTGAAAGAGAGATTGAATTTGTATGTGTGTCTGTGTTTTTATGTCTGTGACAGTGTTTATACATTTGTGTGTGACTGCTTTATTAGTGGCTTTTTTACGTGTTGTGTTTTTTTTTGTGTGTATGCGCATGTATTAGTGTGTGCGAGGGGCTGGTAACCATAACCTTGGTGGAAATACCAAACTAAGTTTGTGCCAGTAACACCCGGGGGGCGGGGGGGACAGGCGCCTGTGACGTATTCAGGCCAAAGCCCATTTGGCATAGCCAGCTTTGGCAAGAGCATCTACTGGACTCTGTAGTGTGATGGAAAAGTGAATTCCAGCCCATATCCTTGACACCAGGACTGACCGTAGAGCTGGTCTGCCCACTTGCAATAAATTTGTCATCTGTAAGATGTGCCTGCCATTCTTCCACTGCGGTAGTGCGTGTCCACCTAAGGACCCCATTGAAACCCACAATCACCTGGTGTTGGCTTGTTAATGAAGGTTGCAAGCGAGAATATTTATGTTAGGTATTGGGGAAGGTGAAAAACCCCCTTAGCTCGGATAACATCACGGAGCAAGATTGGGTTGACCCTGCTGAGGCTGCATTGTCTCCAATATGGGAGGGAGTAGCCGCATCCTGCGAGTGGCTGGCTGATGTACCATTTATTCAGCAAGTATGAAGGGTGATGTAGAGCCCAAGGCCAGGTAAAACACAAGGCAGAGATGCCCTCTCAAGTGAATTGCTGTGTTAGGATTGCGATTGTGTGCACGCTGAGGGGCGAGAGGCTTGCGGAGCCCCAATGTGGTTTCAGACCGCGGTGGGCCTGCACAGACACAATATTCTCTTGTCTGTCTGCTACAGCAGAGCTATAGAAAATTTCAACATGACCTACAACTCTGCTGTCTTGATCTGCTCTCAAGGTCCATGATACCATGCATAGGCCAGTGTTCTGGGTTATTCTTTATGATGGTGGCCATGTCCAGGTAAAGTTGCGTAGCAAGGAGATTGAACCAGTTCTTGTTTGCTTTAGGGTGTGACAAGAATATTCTTTGGCCCATGCACTATTTAACGTCTTCTCTGCCAATGTATTTTGAGATGCTCTCCTTGGCTGGCACCAGAGTAATTTTCATCTGTTACAGATATAATGGGAGGTTGATGGATGTTTGTGTATGGTCAGAGGATGTGGCCCCCTATTGTCCAACCATGTTATTTATGCTGATGATCTGGTAATTGCTGGTCACACTGAGATGGAGTTGGAGCCTCCACTGCTGAGCTTGGAGCGTGCTTCTAAGAGAAGTGTCCTTACCATCAGCCCTACAAGAGCAAAGTACCTGCGTGGGTATTTTATGGCACAAAACACTCCAGCCCCTCCATTCCCTATGGGTGTTAGGGCAGTTGTGGAGAGAGTGGAGGTGTTTCCATACCTGGACAGTGTGCTTTATGACCAGCTCCGGTATGGCAACGAAGGTCTCACTCCCAATCAGTCAAGCGACATTACCTTTTCACCTGTTGCTTAACACTGTGCAAGCTAATGAGCCTCTTGCTCCGTACAAAGCTCCAAGCCTTTTCAGCCATGGTTATATCTGCTGGTCAGTGCCGGATTAACCACCCAGTCATTCATATACGTTGAAGCCAGTATAGTACTATAGTAATAGAGCAAGTGCAGAATCACTGAACCGGAATTGATAGCTTTAAACCATTTAGTGCGGGGCCTGTAGCATATGCTACTTTTGCTACTAGGATAATCCGGTACTGTGCTTGCAAAATATTAACCCCTTTGTAGGAACATCATTGCTGTTTATCATCTATCCTCGGTTTAACCATACTGGATTTTGCGAGTAGTTGAGAGATCCTTGAATGATCTGAACACAGTCCCATCAGTGAGATTCTCCGGCAGGTGAGGCTTTGTTGGCTGGGTCATTTATTCCACATGCCCAACCACCACATATCCAAGCAACTTCTGGCTGGATACAGGTGGCTAAACAGGCATGGCACGGGCTGGAGAGGAAATCGGCTGATGTAGTACAGAAGAACATGGAGCTGATTCAACTTTCTGATGACTGGTACGAGCGGTATCAAGATTGGCGTCTGTGGATGAGGCGACCCGATTTGGATTCTGGCTCACGGCCACCAACACCAGAGACGATTATATTATCTTAACCGGCCCGGCAGCTTCTCTAGGTCGACTCAGCCTCAAATGAGTACCTGGCGTGTTGTGTAAACAATGCCACTGGGGAGACAAAGGCGGTCGGGCTTGGTGCTAGCCATCCACCCCCTTGTATACCATTCTGGCCTTCATAGCTGCTCATTTAAAAGCACTTGCCCCAAAAGTCTGCTAAGACTATACTGGGGGTTCTTTGTCTTCTACGTGTGTATTTGTGTCTAAATGTACGTGTGTGTGTGAGAAGTGGTGGTAGTGTAGTGGTTAGCACACTGCGTTACAAACCTGGGGTTTCTAAGTTTGGTTCCTAGGCATGGTGAACATCAGTGGCAATTCTCTGAAATGGTCCTGTGTCACCATGTGTGCCACCATGGACGGTGGGTTCTCTCTGAAACTCTCCTTCTGCCTCTGCAGGCGAGAAGCCCTTCCACTGCGACCAGTGCACCTACGTCGCGTCCAATCAGCACGAAGTGACGCGTCACCTGAGACAGGTGAAGCCGTAGGGGGGTGGAACCTACGGGAGAGGGGGCACCTAGATGATGCTAAGTACAGTACAACATTGTCGGTTATATCTCTGTTGATTGTTCATTATATATGAGTAATAATAATAATACAAGAACACTCTTTTTAACATATAGGTCCAAGTCTGCAAACCTCTTTTATACGCAACACAAAATTGTAATTTGTGTAATTATGGAGAATATAAGTAACCAAATAAATGAAGCAGATGGTTATTATTTAGTTAATTGTATTTCCACAACTACACAAATAACTATTTTGCATTATAACTATTCGGTGGCCGCCGATTAGCACGGTTGGCTCCATATGGCGTGCTAGCAGTTCAACATTTGTATGTGCGTATGTGCATCTCAATGCCAGCCTCGCCTCATTATGGAAGCTGTGCACCGGTCCTCGCGCGCAGGTCCACTCAGACGGGCCCAAACCGCTGGTGTGCGGTGAGTGCGGCTACCGCACGGCCGACCGCAGCAACTACAAGAAGCACGTGTTGCTGCACACGTCTCCGCGGCGCTTCCCCTGTCCCGCGTGCTCCTACGCCGCCTCCAAGAAATGCAACCTCACCTACCACCTGGGCTCCAAGCACCCCACCTACACTGGCACCGCTACTGCTACCACCGCTGCCACCATGGCAGCCGCCACCACCACCACCACAATCGTAACCGCGGCTCGGCAGCAGCAGCCGCCACCGCCGACAGTTTCACCGGCACCGCCGGCATTGTCGTCGTCGTCGGCGACAAGCGTGAAGGTGGAGGGAGCGCCGAGCAAGCGGTCCGTTGTGTGCGGTAAATCGGACGCCGGCAGCGGTGGCGGCTGTTGCGCCGCAAAAGTAAATGGCGTTAAGAGGGAGGCTAGGGGCGGAAAACGGCAGGGAGGGGCGGTGGCGGCAGCAGTAGCGGCTCGTGGTAGGGCTGGTGGGCCGCCGGAGGTGATGGGGCCGGCTAAGGAGACCCCGGAGAAGAAAGTGAAGTGCGAGGAGAAAGTGCCAGCGGTGGGGAGGGAGGCATCGCAGCCGGCGCTGCCCTCTCCGTCATCACCGCGGCCTCCTCCAGCTATGATGGAGGAAGCGGGTGCAGAGCTGGAGTGCGAGGAGGTGATGTCGTCCATTGTGAAGGCCGCGAAGAGGAAGGGCAGGCGGCCCAGCCTCAAGATGGCCGCCCTAGCAATGGAGGCTGAGGCGCCTGTCGGGCGGAGTCGGCGCCGGGGCAGGAAGAGGAAGAGGAGCAAGGAATTGGAGCAGAAGGGCGATGATGAGGGTGTCAAAAAGCCCTGCAATGAGAGTGAGCATGTCAAAGGGGTTGGTCGGAAAAATGCAAAAAAGCTCAAAGCGACCGTCAGGAAGAAGGCGGAATCAGTGGTGATGGAGAACGGTGGGGGAGGTTACTGCCGGAAGAAGCGGCAGAGGAATAGCGAGAAGAACGAGGCGGTGCCTCCCACACGCAAGCGCAAGACGTCTTCTGGTGGTGACGATACAAATGAGGTGAACGGCGGGGAGGGTGCCACCACAGCGTGCCCTCCGAGTCAAAGGAGAGGCCGCAGAAGCAAGGCCAATGTTGTGATGCTGGCAGCAGATGAGGAAGGGGAAGCAGCATCGTGTGAGAGAGCGGGTGAGCCACCGTTGCCACCATCATCAACATCATCGCCGCTCACGCAGGAAGCAATACGAGCAGCAGGAGTTATTAAACAGGAATTGACGCCACCAGTTTTACCGACACCTTTGAAAAACCAGGAAGTGAATGACAGCACGGGAGCGGTGACGTTGCTGATGAAACAGGCGGAGGAAGTAACAATGCTCACAAACACCACGCAGGAAGTGATATCCGTAGTGCAGTGCACGCAGGAAGCGACGTCACCCGTGAAGCAAGCGCCGGAAGTGGAGCCGCCGGTTGCAAAATCACAGCCGGATGTGCCCCACCCGCCTGCGCTTTCACCGCTGCGACATCAGCCGCCGTACTTCTCGCTGAAACCGGAGGCGACGACTTCGGTCGCAAGTGGGAAGCAAACGAGGGCAGCACAGAGACGCCGCCTCTCAGATAAGCCACAGGCATTTTCCGGCAATCGCAGCCAATCGCCGCTGGCGCTTTGCACGCACGACGAGGAGGAGTCGCTGCAGTCGACTTTGAAACCAGCAGATGCCATCGCCTCCAGCCGCCCCCGCAGGGTCCCAGTGAAGCGTGCGCCCAGACGAAAAATCAACAGTGGCCGCAAATCCGTTGCCAAGTCTTGGGCTGGAAATTGCAGCCCTGGCTGGGTGGAGTCCCCGGATTCGAAGCCACAGCCAGCTAGTTGTGAGGGAGCTGTGGCAGCGACGGCGGCAGTGGTTGCAGTCACGGCGAGAGCCGAGGAGATGCCGGCAGCGGGCTCCTCACCCACGCCATCGCCTCCAATTTCCGGTGCGCACTCACACTTAGCGGCCTGCGCCATCCCGAGCGGTGCTGCCGGAGTCGACTTCCTGTGCCGATTTGCACCGGAGCCTAACAGCGGCAGAACCAGCTGGAATCAACCGGGCAGCGACGAGGACCGGGGGGGGCCTCGCATGAGTGACGCCTTCGCTCGCGCCCTGCAGCTGCAGAGGGTCGACCACCGCCAACAGCTACAGCAGCAGCAACAGCACCTGCACCGCATGTACCACCTACGCAGCTACTTGGTCCGGCGGGAGCGCAGCTATGTCCACGGCAGCGGTGCCTTCGACGGCACAAGCTGGTTGAAGGTCAGCACGGAGTTGTGCGGCGCCCGACAGTGCCGGGAGGCCGTCGCGGCAGTGACAACGGCGCCTCCCTCTACACCGAGCGATGACGGCATGGAGTCGCCGCTCTCCCTGGACTCGGACGGCCCATTTACACGACACGATTACAGCACCGCCCACCAGCAGCAAGAGGGCCGGCTGCGCGCCAGCGGAGACGAGGGGCGTGGGGAGATGGACGAGGACGAAGGGATCCACAGCCACGATGGAAGGTCATCGCCCGAACGCTGCTTTGACGATGACGAGATGGAGAGGACGGGAGAGGAAGAAGTAGCGCGAGCGAGGAGGAAGAGCGAGCGGCGGCGCTGCCGGCGCCGGCGCCAGGCGTTTGAGCAGAAGCCGGATCTGGGAGGAGTCTGCAATGTGACGCCGATCATGTCTCAGCTGACGACGGAGGTTGTGCCGATACCACCACCACCAGCGGCACTGCCACTGCCGCCGGAGCCGCTGGAGAAGGGGCCGATGTTGACGCCACCTTGGTTGAGGCCGTCGCCTGAGCGGGCTCCTGTGACCTCCAGGGGGCCCGTACCACCGCCGCTGCCGCCGCCGCTACCAACACGGGGAGTGTGCGTGTTCTGCGACCGGCATTGTCACGGTGACGCCGACTACACGTTCCGCCTGCGGCGAAACCTGGTGAACGTCTACTACCTGGAGCGCGACACGGCTGGGCAGAATGCCAGCAATGGAGACGTAGAGGGAGACGGCGGACACTGCGCAGGGCACCATGTGGGGCAGGGAATGAAACGTGCCGGAGAGGGAGACGGGGAGAGAGAAGGGGAGAAAATTGCGAAGAATGACGGAGAGACAGGTGGGAAGGAAGATGGGGAGGGAGCTGGGGAGAGAGATGAGGGGAATAATGGAGGGAGAGATAGGAAGAAATTAAGGGAGAAAGACGGGGAGAAGATCACAGATGACGCTGGAGGGAAAGACACAGAATTTGAGAGGGTGACGGATGTAAATGGGAAAGAGGACGTGGTCAGCCAACAGTGTGGGCATCATAAGAGAACGAAGGAGCAGTACACACAGACCGTGTTGTCTCGAGAAGACGACACACAGACCGATGTACCTCGGGAACAGGATGCGAAGGCCGACGCACCCAGAGAGTGGTGCGCACAACAGAATGACGCATCACCTAAAGACCGAGACGTGCGGAGTGACGCGTCCAGGGAGCCCGACGCACACACCGACACGTACAGAGATCAGGACACGCAGACCTACATATTGCGAGAGCAATACACACAGACCGACGCTTGCAGAGCGCCGAGCGCACAGGTCCGTGGAGCGAGAGAGCAGGAGACACAGACTGACCTGGCTGTGGAGACGAGTTGAGACACGCCGAGGCCCATAGGGCGGGGGGGGTGAGGGGGAAAGGGGGGGGGGCATCGTGATGTTGGGGGCCCCATCCCCACCCCCTGTGATGTTGGCAACCAAGGTGCTTTGACAGTGGTGTGCACCGGACCTGCTCCTGCCGATGTTGCCACAGTCTTTTAGTCCCATACCTGAACTAGTGCCTACCAGTGGCTACCAGTTGGTGCTTGCCAGGTTGTGCCTTCCTTGGTCTACCAGCCGGTGCCTACCAGCCGGTGTCTACCAGCCGGTGTCTACCAGTGCCTATCAGCCAAAGCCTACCAGTGTCTACAAGTTTCTGCCAGCAAGGGGTGACGAATTAACACCAGTGCCAACCAACTAGTGCCTTCAAGAGTTCTACCAGCCAGTGCCTACTAGCCATTGTCTACAAGCTGTTGGCCACCAATCAATGCTTACCAGTATTTACCAATGCCGACGAGCCAGTGGCCTCCTGTTCTTTCGCCTTAACCCAGAAGCAGTGTTGCCAGATGAGAGATGAGTTCCTCTGAATCGGAGAGCTTCAGTGAACCCACGGCACGTGGGTCTGTCCCGTGGACCTCCTGCTAGCGAGCCTTCGACGCTTCACATGGCCGTAAAGTGCACGTAGCCAGGCACAAGCGCCGGTAATGTCACCGCCACTTAGTGGCAAATGGCTGCAGCTGTTACCCACAATAGGGTGTTGATACGAGTTAATTATAATGGTGATGACGACGCTTTAGTCTGGGTTCTTTACACGCTCGCCTCACTTGACAATCGTAGATTCTTAGTTGCGGGATGTTTACTGGACAGATGTCGACATCTGTGAAAAAGAGCTTTATAGCTCTGCAGATTCCTCCAGTATGAATATTCTGATTCTGTTTTGTATTTAAAGGACAAACGCTGGTGTGTTGGGGGGGTTTATCTGAAGTCTTCCCAAGTGCCTTACCCCCGGTGTTATGTTACCTGTACAAGTGTTTTTATCCGTGTTACCCATGCACACGTAGTTACCAGTGGTGTAACAGGTGGCGCGTAACGTGTGGACATGCGCGGTGTTACCCACCTTACACGATCATTGTTATTCGTCAGGTTGTTTTCCTTTTTTTATATGTGTACACACGTAACACGTATTGTCTTTGTATGTCTACCAGCACATTTCCCCAGTGGTTTCATATAAACCTTTAGCCTTCAGTCACCATCTCCCCTTGAAGTGGTGTGAATTTGTTGTGAGAGAAAGAGGCTGTGCAATTGTATAATTTTAAAAGCCCCATGTGTTTTTTTCCCATGTTAATAGCAAGTACCAAAGAGGGGTAGTGAGTGTGGGTTGGCATCGGTGTAGAGCTGTGCTTTCTAGTGAAGCAATAGTTTGGAGGTCACTAAATTTTAAGACTCGGGAGAATTTTGGTCTTGAGACTCGAGGTGTCCCTGTCTGCGGGGTGTTGAGACTTGGGAACCCAGGGTTTTAAGAATCGACATTCAGCTCAAGGAAATCATAGTTTGCAAACACGATCTTGAGTCGAGTATCTCAATTCAGAAAAAATTGTCACGGTCAGTCTTCAATAGAATATCGTGTTCCACTTTGCCAGATTTTGGTGACATTGAGCAATACACTCACCAGCCAATGACCCTTCGGCGTTAATCCCATGATCCTGTTTGCGGACTAAAGAAAATGTCGCTTGGAGGAATGTGTAGTTCCATTATGGGATTCCGGAGGTCAGTTATATGAAACGTATCCAGTGATATTTACCCTCAGTTTGCAATGTATATCGATGTGAAGCAAGTGGGGATTTTCCCTTCAGGAATTCTATGCAACTCGTCACAGGATTCAGCGAGTGCCAATTATCTCCCCCATTACATTTACCCTGGGTTTTCACAGAGGAGGACACACGCCGTTTTGAATTCGTGAGGAAAAACTCTCCATGGGCAATTCCGGTTTAGAGCCTGTAATGATTCAGTCTTGTGATTTTTAACGAGTTGTCAGTGTGGTCATGAATTTGGCTCAAAGATATATTACATTGTAGTCTATCCAGAGTCGATAATGGAATCGAGAGGTTCTTTATTGGTGTATCCATGTTAATCCATGGGGGGAGCTGTGAATCTGTAGAATCTAAAATTGCACGACTGTTGAATCTGCAGTGGGATGTGTGGAGAAATACAAATCTCATTCTTACAGAATGCATTGTGGGTGCATAAGAATTGATTTGAATCTGTGAATTGTTACATCTCAAGTTGGAGCCACGCGATCATGGGGTGCAGTTATAAATGTATGGCGAGTGTTAGACGCTTCAGAATGCTGTGAGCCTGGATACCTACCGCCCCTGAGCTGTTTATTTTATGGTTTGCTTATTTCTCTAATGCACCCCCATATATAGTATTCAAACACATACACCACTATGCGTATTCTCACAAATGTTTCTTTACATTGGTGTAGGAATTGTCGGTGTAAGCGTGTCATGTACATCAAGACCCTACTATCCTTTAATAAATTAGCTGAAAGGGCCCCCCACTTAATTTTGAATTAAATGACTCGTGTGTGTGTGTGTGTGTGGCTGCCCAAGCTAGCAGCTCAATCTGACAGGTCTTCCTCTGGCACGGTTGGATGGAGATGACAAACTGGCAGACTCCAACACAGCAACCTGTGATTTTACTTGACATTTTATTAATCTTTGACATGTACACTTTATATATAATAAAAAAAACTCCCAAAACTTCTACTGTGCACATCCCATCCCCTACCAGAACTCATCCTTCCCCTAACCCTGGCTCCAACCCACCCCAGCTTCATGGGAGATACATTATTCTTCACCTGGGTGGTTGATTTAGGGTCAGTGGCATGGAGCCCACATCCCAATTCCTGGTTCACAGCAAGATGCAATAATAAGCAAAAACCAAACTGCTCTTCTCGCCTCTTTCAACTTGTGTTGGAGTACGATGTCGTCCACGTGCTGGGCATTTCTACAGAAACCTTGGACAACGTGGAGTGACTCTTAAAACACAGCTGTAAGCCGCAGTTTTATTTTGGGTTGCGTTTTTTCACCACACCTGATCAATTGGCAATGTCAGCAGCCGTGAATTCGGTTGATAATTGTCAGACTACACACATGCATCTTGTTTGGTGTGCGTCTGGATACACCGCCTACGCAGCTTCATATCTCGACTAGGTACAATGGTCACACTCCTCCTCACTTGGCTTCAAATCACTTAACGTTGTATTCGCGATATAAAATACACGTCCCGAGCAGTGGGCAATGCCACCTGACTCTGCAGCAAGGCAACCAGGAGGTGAGAGCAACGGTGGCATCAACAGGGGCGTGACCTCCGCGTTTGTCATGTCTGTGTGGGGGAGGGGATTCAGCGTGTGTTGCACTGGGTGTGGAGGTAGGACGGCATTTTAACCATGGAGTTCTAAGTGTGTGTGGGATAACTTTGTGGATTTAATGTTATGTGAGGTGCAGTGTGTGTGTGGTAGGCTTTGCCGGTTACAGCATGCAGTACAATTTGTATGTTGATCGGTGCTTGTAGTACATGCGTATGTGGTAAATGTGTAATGGGCACAATGGGGGGCACGATATGTAGCAATAGCCAATAGCGTGCACGAGGGGTTGTTCCCTCATGTGTGCTCACTCCGAGTCCCTTTCACCAGCACCTCATCAGCGACATTCTCACTAACGAGGTCACACCTCCCACCCTAGTGGCAGGGGAGAGGAAGTATAGCCGAATGAGTCCGAGTGTGGGGAGAATACCCCCCCCCCCACCACGCGGCTCCCCCACTGCACTCGCCCCTGCTGCAATCCACACTTGTGGTGGTTTTTCATTTTCAGTTTTCACTCTTGGTGTCGTGGGACTGCAGTGTGGCAATGGCATCCTTCACGGCGTGGTAGATGATGTTCTTTACCTGAGGCGAGAAGGTGGGGAGGGGGGGGAAGAGGGGAAGGGAGGATCAGTGCTATTAGCTGTACAGCGTTCCCTCTTTATTCGGAAGGGATATGTTCTAGATATGCTCGTGAATAGAAAATTTCGTGGATAATTATATTGGTCCTACAAAATATATAAATAAGTTATCACAAATAGTTTATGAATGAACTTACCTGAAATTGATGCGTGGCATCAACACCATCTCTCATCACTTTCGCACATCACTTTCTCTCGATGCAGCCATGTACAGTTTCAGATGCGATTAGCGGATAGGCAAAATCGTGCATAGGACGTTCGTGAATTACAAGGGAATACCGTACCTCAGCTGCTGCTGTGGTGTGAGACAAGGTAAGGCTGTGTGGCTCTGGACAGATTCCGGGTGCATGGGTGTGCGAGTAGTTGTAGCCATGTTGATGTTGGAAGGCGTGCAAATTGTATACAGCAGTGTGCAGGTGTAAAGTTGCATGGGTGTATGAGGCTGCATATGTATGTGGGTGCAAATGGGTGTGTGGCTGACTCACAGCACTTGTTAAGGCTACGAGGGGGATGTTTTGTCTTTGTGGTTACATCCGTCAACCCATACCACCTGGGTGCTGGCCAGTGACCTGCCAGCAAGCCTCGACACTACATGTGCTGTATGTATGTAGAACTTATTTCGCACCGTATGCAGCCAACTGCGCTAATCAAGAAGTGTGGGGAGGGACAACAAACTTAACACAAAACGCAGTTCTAAAGAAATTAGTTTTCAATAAAGATTATTTCAAAGTGCATATCTACAGTGGCTTCCTAATATCGGAAGGAAAGGAGTTCCAGACGGCCACAGAAGTGCATCTAAAAGCGTGCAATGCCGTGACAATCTTTGAATTAACCGTGTTAGCATCAAAAGTGCACTTGGCCGACATGACATCACCGCCATTTAGTGGCGAATGGCAGCGACTGCTGCTACTGCGTCTATTGTCGATTCTCCACCGACCTGCAGCTTGTCCTCGTGGTTGGAGTGCGTGGTAGACAGCCTCCGGAACTCCTGTGTGAGCCGGAAGCAGTGATGCACGTGTTCCGGTGACACGAAGTCCTCCGCCACCTTGATGCAGCTGTGCAGATTGTGAACCTGGGTACATGGGTGGGGAAGGGTACACACGTGAACGCACACGTACAGCCCTTTGGTCAGCCCACTGCTGGACGAGGGGCCTTCCGCACATCTGTGTGTCATGGAGGTTAAATGACCGTACTTCACCATGCTGCTCAGTGTGAAATGGTGAAGACAGGGAGCATAACACACGGAGTTGACGTTATGTTTCTGTGCGGGCGGCATGATGAGCTGTGGGGTTATCATGTGATTGTAGTATTGCGCTTTGTGTGCTTGCATCTTGTCATTGAGGTTCACGTGAACTTGGAACGGTTTCTGTGCGCTTTGCCGTGTTTCGTGCGGTTGCTCGCGTGGTTGTTGCTGTTGCGTGGTTGTTGCTGTTGCCGTGCGGTTGCTGTGCGGGCCTCAGGTGTTTCCCTTCACATTTAGAAACGTGCGTTTAAGTGGCTCCACATGAGCCACTTCTCGTTGGGCAATCATGTGCGGCCAGGTCGCTTCTGGAAACGAGCTATATAGCAGCTCAGTGGGCCTTACTTGGTAACGTAAAAAATTGCTTATAGTTTAGTTTATGGTCGTGGGTACCTGGTGCGGGGCGCCGGCGGGAATGAAGACGGCGTCGCCCAGGCACTGCGTGATGGCCCAGCCCTGCACTCCGTGCTCCTCCATCAGCCGCTGCCTGAGCGTGCGGTCCAGGTACCAGCTCTGGTCGTGGATGGGGTCGTGGTCGGCGGGGTTCTCCTGGCCCTCCTCCTCACCCACCTGTAGCACACATGGGTGCATGCAAGTGCTGTTAGTGAGCACCTATGAAGGCCGGCACAGCACACGAGGGGGTGGGTGGCCAGCACCACGCACGACCGCCTTTGTTTCCCCAGTGACGATGCATATGCATGCATGCAAACACGTGCGCACACAAGCAGGGTTACGCACTGATGAAGATACCCCCATAGCCTTTAAGAGGCTGTTGAGTAACGTGTGGTTAGCAAACTCCGATGAAGGCCGACATGGAGTGGGGACTTAACGGAAGTACTAAAATCTGGTTTACATTCGTATACACACAAGTACACAAAACATCACGCAGCATGTGCACACACGCAATGCATGACATAACCAGACGCGCACGCGCACACGACTCAATATGCACGCGGCACACCTTGCGTAGAAGTGCTCGGATCTTGTCGGCGTCGCGCGCCGCGTAAATGTGCCAGAGCGCTCCGGGCTTCTCCTGGCCCTCCACCACGCGCCGTCGCGTCGCCTCGTCCACGTCGCCGTCATCCATCGCGCGCAGGGCCTCTACGAGGGCCGGGCCACGACACACGAAGGGTGTAAGCACAACGCATCTTCATACATCACACACCGTACCGGCATACCCACCACACAGTACAAATACCGCAATGCAGCACCACACAACATGCACACTGCCGCTGCCGTGTAGCCTCGTCCATATTGCCAATGTCCATTACTCGCAGAGCCTCTGCAGGGCAGGCCACAACGCACGGGCATGTGCACGCCACACCAACAGCACACAACACTGCTCGGCAACATTCCGGTTACACCAACATACCACTCAACACCAACGTACCTCCTATAGCGCTCAGGATGGGTTATTGGTAAACGGAGCGCGGTACGAAAGAGCGCTATAGGAGGTCATTATAACATGGTTCCAATGGAGATGCGTTCCCGACTGCAATTTTTTTTTACCAATGAGCGATATACGAGGGCTTCATTGGTGTATCGTTAATAACCTTAATAATGATACTGTACACATGATACATGTATTCAAGCATTTTATGAATAAAAATTACTCATAAATAATGACATAAAAAGTACGTGTCATGTACTCAGCAGCGCATTCGGTCGGAGCTTGCGTAACATTAAACACCGTCTGCCGCAAACACATTCTGCGGGAAGCCATACAGTACTAAATGGTAGTCAATCCATGAATCCCACCAAATCGATGCAGTGATTAACCCTAAATTAATCGGTACTCTAATGTCAGATCGACTATGAGCGGAATCGATACAAAAGACATCGATTCAGGTTCCACAAGACCATATATGAGTAAAGACACACCCCTAACAAGCAACACCATGCATACTTCCAAATATGGGCTGATCCGTGCAGGAATTTTCCACCAGGACAAAGAGTGTTATAAGAGGTATTCTTGTAGCCTCAATAGACTGTTGGGGCAAGTGCTGTGACCAACACCTATGAAGGCCGACACGGTACACAAGGGAGTGGGTGGCCTTTGTCTCCCCAGTGGCGATGTTTTTACAGTGCACCAAGACCTAGGGGAGGCCCAGAACCGGTTCAGATAACCATCACTGGTGTTAACCATGAGTGGGAATCGAACCGGGGTTACTGGGTTTGGAGCGCAACGCGCTATCCGCTACACACATAATACCATTCGCCAAACAATACACCAAATATCACAAACCGCATACACCACACTCCGTCCCACGTGGGCCATGTGGTGTACGCACCCTGGTGGAAGTCGATATTCTGCTTCTCGGGGATGCCCACGTAGACCATCACGTTCACAGCGTCCGACACGTCCAGGTGGAGGTTGGTTGTGCCCACCTTGCGATCGCCCTCCAAGGCCAGACCTAAACACCGCGGCACACACCACAACATTGACCAGCATGATAAACACACTGCCACGGCATACACACATTTCCACGACACCTCCGATTAGCACGGTTGGCTACGTACGGTGTGAACAAAGACGGTCGCCGCATCGCACGCTTTCGCATGCGCTTCTGTGGTCATCTGGAATGCTCCTTCCAAAGTCAGAAAGCCACTGGAGCTATGCACTTTTAAATAATTTAGATTGAAAACTTATTTCTTTAAAACTGCTTTTTGTCTTTAGTTTGTTGTCCCTCCCCACACCTCCGATTAGCATGGTTGGCTACATACGGTGCAAAAGAAGTTCAACATACATTATTCCCCATTGCACTATTTCATAGAGTATCCGGGTTTCACACTGTGATGTCTGGGCTCTCAAGGGGAGGGGGGGTGTGTGGGTAGTTATTACATGCGCGCTGCCATTACCGTAGGCATTGTACATCTTGGGGCCCAGGTCGGGTCTCACGAAGTAATCGGGCAGTCGGGCGGCCAGGTTGAGACGCCCGTCCCGCTTTGTGTACTCAGGGAGTGGCAGATTGTCCATGAGGTCCTCAAACCTGCAGGGCAGCAGCGGTGGCACACGGTCACATCGCAGTCACGGCAGCACCGACAAGTACTAAACTAAAAACTATTTATTTTACCTGGTAAGGCCTCAAAGAGCTTTTTATCACCGTTTCAGAAACGACCTGGCCATAAATGATAGTGCAACGAAGTGGCTTATCCTGTGGAAATTTACAGCTGCCAAATACTCTAAATGCCCGATGTTTCTAAATATAGAGGGAAAAACTGGAGGACCCGGAGAAAAAGCCACGCGACCACAGGGAGAACATGCAAACTCCAAATATACAGCAGGCGTCAGGTATGGGATCGAACCCATGACATCCTGTATACCGGGGGAGGTAGTTAACATCTTTCCACCATGGTGCCCCACACGACCGGTGATAATTTGGCAAGAGTTTCAGATGTGTTATTAGGCTATTGTTGTAGGCAGCAGAAGGCAGTTCCACAGACTCTATTTCTCTGCTCCCCACTTTCACAAAGCCCTTACTCTGATCAGCATAGTTAAGTATGATGGAATAATGACTGCGACCCACAGTGATGGGGAGGGCCCTCCATTCAGTAGTCGATTGACCAAAGGGGCTGTACATTCACATTTATTCATATTTGTAATAAAAAATGTACCACTGCTTTGCGCCTGCTTCCCCTGTCCATTCACAAAGCAGGCTGAAAATGTTGCTTCGCTCCTAACAGCCAAAGAGATTGGGGGTGTGCATCTCAGGAATATTTGGTGGCGGGTGCATTGCCAATTAAGAGAGGTTCTGCAAGACGCTGCTAAGACTGAGCACACGCCTCCGAGGTACAAACCTGCTGGGCATCATGTCCCTGAAGTCCTCTCCGGGCGGCCAATCCTTGAGCTTCAGCACCATGGGCTCCTTGTCTCGAGACACCAGCCGCTCTGCAACAACCACAACAACTTCGACTGACGGTGTCTTAAGACTCTTACAAATAAGTCAAAACACAGGGCTTTAGTTATTTATGTTAAACCCTGTTTCCATAGGTGGTCGTGCTGACACTATCATATATGAACTTCATTCATCCTGTGGCCAGGCACCCAGAAAACTGTATTTTAACAGTAATCAACTTTTTCCAGCAAGGGAACAGCACGACCGCACGTGGAATAACCAGCACACACGATGATACCACCATGCATGGAATCACCACCAGGAATTAAGGTTCTGTGGGGCCACTCACTGTTGAGGTCCTCGAATCCATCCCAGAAGTCTCGGATCTTCATGCCGGAGATGATTGTGCAGCTGCGGCAATTCACCAGGTCGGCTTCTTGCGTGCCAAACTCCCGGCTGAAGCCCTCGGGACGCCACAGCGCGGGATCGAGATTGGCATGGACGCCCGACACCAGCACGGGCTGTGTGGGGTAGAGCACCGCACGACACATTAACACACATACTCGCACAGAGCACACCACGATCACACCCAATAACAGCCGCAATTTTCCACCAACTGGCGATGACATTACCACAGCACTTGTGCCAGGCTTAGAGGCACTTTGAGGCTATCGCATTAAAATGAGGAAGGCTCACGGGCAGGTCACGGGCACAGACCTTGGTGTTACGGGTTGACTAAATGAGATGACTAGCAGACTACCTGTGCTCCCCACTGTGCCAACTTGCTGTGTGTTAGCCCCTCCTCCATTGTTGCTGGAGGACAACTGCCTAAAATTGCTCAATGGCATCCTTCACGAGCCCCCTCCACAGATGCCCATCTTGACACCGTTAGTACATGTCAACTGCAGGTTAAATTAGCTTTACATCCTCCTGTACCCATATACACCCCCCCTTCACACACTGCACACACACACCTGTCCCTGCTTCCAACACTCTCGGAAGAGCTTCCAGTTGTGTGGGTGCTGGGGGTCGTGGATTCTCAGGAGCCGCCCATCGCACAGCCACGAGTGTGGGCTGTCGGCAATACCACTCTCCAGCGGCCTTCGCGCCACACTGCACACACACAGTCAAGTCATGGGAGTCAAGTCACACGCACAGCCATGCAGTCACACATATGCGCACTATTACACAGCGTCACAATCACACAGTCACCAACACATAGGTCTCGCACACAGACGCACGTGCGCACGTACGCACACATGCAGCGTCTCGCACATTCATGCACACAGTAACACGCAGACGTGCACACAATTACACGCGTATTGTTCCACACCAGCACACATACAGACATGCAGGCATCACACACAGACTTCACACACAGTCTTCTGTAAGCAGTGCAGCTCTAGAGTATGTCAGCTCTTGAGCGGGTGGAGGGCTGAAATCACCTCTTGGCTGGCTGCTCGGAGGGTTTCATTAGCTTCTGAGTGGAGAATTTGTTTTCGACGACTGAGGCGATGATGTCGTCGAGTAGACTGGGCATGCTGCGAGACCCCTTGGCCCCCTGTGTACACCCACACACACAAAGATCCCCCGTATCGCCTTAACAGACAGTTGGTGCAAGTGCTGTAAGCGAGCACCTATGACACACACGACAAAGACATAGATCCCCCGTATAGCCCGATTAGACTGTTGGGGCAAGTGCTGTAAGCGGGCACCTATGAAGGCTGGCACGGCACACAAGGGGGTGGGTGGCCAGCACTGTGCCCTTTGTCACCTGAGTAGCGCCGGGTTCGTAGCGCAGGGCGCCACCGCTCCCCACACACACAATAGACACCCCAGTGGCTTATGTCATTGTGAGAGGCCAGATATCGAAAACATCCTCCCCTCGAGTACCTGATGACTGCGGCTAAGACGCTACTTGGAGTGACGGATAAATATACGCAAGACCGCTTGGTTGAAGCCTTCATCCAGCAGCAGACAGTTTATGGCTGCTGATGGCATCACGAGAATGCTATAATTCACAGCCTAAGTGACAATGTAAAGTATCCTCCCCAACCTCATTAAGCCTAAGCGTGTAGCTCCAATTAACATTTGACCACTGCATCACCGCTCCCCATAACACAAAGTGCACACACACGCACACACACTCGGTCGCACACTCACGGGGGAAGGCTGGGCAGCCATGATGGGAGCGAAGGGCAGCATGGCCTCCCCAGGCTGTAGTTTGAGCTTCCCGGCCGTGCAGCTGAGCAAATCTCGGAGCCTCACGCCCGCGGAGCCACTAGGCCCCCCACCACCACGAGGGCTCCCCACCACGCCAGCAAACGACGTCAGCCCCACCGATGCCACTGCCACCGATGCCGCTGGCACCGTTGCCACCGCGGGTTTTGCAAGATTGGCCGTGGTGCTCACGTTCGGCTCTGTGGTTGATACGGCAGAGGTGACAGCGTAGGTATTTATTGAGGGTGCACAGCATCATGGAAAAGACAATTGGAACGCCCGACATGAGCATATGTAAATGTAACTATAAAAATAACAACCCACTGCTGCACACAAAGACAAGTATCCCCACAACACACACACCCCTGTGCCACTCACCGGCTCCGGCTTGTGCCTTGGGTCGGCTGGCAGCAAGGTCTGCGAACCAGTGCATTGCCGAGGTCAGCTCCGGGTAGCCGGCGCGGTGGAATGGTGACAGCGGTGCCACTGATCCACCAGACCCAGCCGGGCAGCAGCTGGCAGCGCCAGTGGGGCAGCAGAGTCCACGGTGCCAGCAGGGGCTGGCGGGTTCGGTGATGCAGCGGAGGCGGCAGATTCGGAACTCGCCGTCACCGGGAGTTCGGCTGCTGCAACCGGTGGCACAGCAGCGACTGCACCTGTACCGACGGCACCAGCACCGACAGCAGCAGCAGATGCAGTTGAAGCCGAAGATGCTTCTGAAGCAGAAGCAGCTTTGTCTGGCTGTGTGTTGAGGGCAGTAGAGGCACTGCTGGCTTTGTGGGCGCCGCCTGTGCTGGAGGAGATAGAGGTGGCACTGCTTGGCTCGGGGGCCACGTCGGTAGCAACCGATGGGACGGCGTCTCCTGCCCGCGAGTTCGCTGGCGCTTCAGGCTGCAGGGTTTCTGAGGTCCGCTCCTGTGATTCTGGCTTCTCCTGCGGCTGCTGCTGGTTCTCTGGAGCCGGCGTTTCAGCGCGCAGTTTTGCCGAGCTTGCCACGGGCTCAAGCAACGGTTGCCCTGAGCCACCGCCGGCGTCTGCTGCCACCTGCATGAGGGAACGGTGCCCGTCATGAGCGAGGGTACATGGTTGCCCCCCCCCCCCCACCCCCCCCACCAAGTGTAGGAGAGATGTCGACACCAGTGACAATGAAAAGACGAATCCAGCCAGGTGCGAGTAACAGTAGCTTATATTCTTAGTTTTTTCGGTAAAGTCACGTTGAAGAGAAACAACAAAATAACAAAATATATATAAAACAATTAAAAAAAAAATTCTCACGACGTTTCGACCATAACTCAAACGGTCATCATCAGGTGTGTCGGTTTGCATACATTTATTTTTAAAACGGCACATTTATTTATAAAAAACGTTGGCGTCACGCGCAGCCATTGGCAGTTTGCCCAAGACTAGTCCATCTATTTTTTTTTGTTATTTTGTTGTTTCTCTTCAACGTGACTTTACCGAAAAAACTAAGAATATGAATTACTGCAGTCACGAAAGCTTTAAATCAAAATTTAAGAGTAGCTTGTTGAGGTGGCAATAGTTATGACATGTGGCGGGTGGTTGTGGTGTCCAGTTATGTGGCTGTCGCAGTAGTAGTAGTGTTGTTGCAGTGATATTTGTAGTTTTTTCCGAGTACCTTGTCGTGGTGGAGGTGTGTAGTTGTGGTGCGTGACTACAGTAGTGAATGTGGTTTACCTGTACTTGTGTTGACGATGGAGTGGTGTGTAAATGTTGTTGTCTAAAAGTGCACGATAGCAATGGGTAATTGCGGTGTTGCTTGCGGTTGTCTTCTAGTACCTTGGTGTGGTGGTGGTGGTGATGATGATGGTGGTGGTGCCCCGAGCAGGGACAGTTTGCCTTGATTCCCCACTTTCCTCGCATGATATGAACCTGGTCGCTGATGTCGTACAGGGCTGCACACACACACACAGTACCCAGACTTCACCACTCACAACTAGAACCGACACACCGAGGCTGCTTATTTATTAACACAGGCATCAGCGCCTTGCTCATTTATGGGAATGTATCGACTCGTTGATTTATCACAGCAGATCATATTTTTATCATGTTTGATTGATTTATAAAAGCTGATCATATCCTTATTACTTTTGGAATTCGTATCAATCTTATAGCAACAAGGCTATCACAAAAAGGCACTATTTCACAGAGTATTTTAATATCAGGAGGCAATGTTGCTTTGTGATATCACCCAATAAAATCATTATAATTTGCCAGTATTTTTTCAAACTCCAAACATGGACCATGATGCAGGCACACATGGCCTACCAGTGTTTTTTTTGTAATCGCGTCCACTGTGAACTGTGAAGTGAGCGATATGTTAAGCATTTTATGGGGCAGGTCCTGGGCTTGAACCGCGAGCCTCTGCAAAGCGGCAAATGCGCGGCTGGTTGGTTCTAATGGTGGGTTCACAGTGGATTATTTTTTTACTTGCGAGCAGTTTTCCTACAACTACAAACATGATAAAAAAATGCATTCTTGGACTGAAACGTAACCTACAATCATGACCATGCACAGGGTGGTGTAATGGGAACACTTGTGCCTTAGAGCAAAGGTGGAGGGGGCAGCGGGGCTGGGTTAAATTCCCAAGTACTCAATTGAGATAACGTGGCAGGACCCGACCGAAAACAGAATGTCTTCAGAGTGAGTGAGGCTACGCTGGGTAATAAATGTAATAATTATATAAGTGTAATAATGAAATAAGTGAAACTTGATTGATGCTGAAGGAGGACGTGTGGATTACCGTTTCCGGGTATAATCTGTGTGGCCATCAGTGTGGCGGGTTCGTGCGTCTGGCCCTTGACGCAACGCAGCCAAGAAAACACCTCCTCGTCCTCGCTGATTTCTAAACCACGACACGCACACATATGCCGGCACAGCAGCGATTTTAAAAATAAACACAGATATATGTGTTGCACGTAACAAGTGCATTTTTGTCGATTTTTGCTGTGTCTCTGAATCGGTCTCCATGTCTTGATTGATGCCGCATGTTTTTCTGTGTCTCGGTTCATGTCCATCTCCCTGAGTTATCTCACTCGGTGCCTCACTTATCTGTCATTCAGCATGTCTGTATTACTCTATATATTTATCTGTACCAGCCTGTATCCATTTCACTTGTGTTAAACTTAGCCTCCGTCGTTTTATCTGCATCTCGAACTTGTTCTAGGTTTGTCTCTCTCTGGCTGCATTTTTATTTTCATCTTTTTCTCTCCATGTGCATCTTTGTCTCTCTCTCTCCCTCCCTCCTTGTCTATGTGAGTAAGTCTTTCTCTATGCATACCATCTGTTATTGTTTGCATTTATGTCTTCCATCTGTGATTATGGATAACCATAGTCATTTATGCAGATGTAGTGACATCGCTGGATGTCACCATGTTGTGGGTGTAGTACCGGCCCTAGAGAGGCACGGTGTGTGGGTGCCGACCGAAGGGGAAGGTCGTGTGAGGCCATGGCACTCTGGCTGACCCGGGTGGACATGTGACCGGTTAAGATGACAGAGGGGTCCCAAAGAGGGGGGTAGGGGGTCACGTGATTGGGACCCAGGTCCTTCCCGATGGTTCAGGAAGGTGGACGTGGCAAAGAGCGGAGCCGGCTATGCCACAGAGAATATAAGCCGAGTCCCGAGAGGGACCGTGGTTGTTCATCCCAGGAAAGAAATTCTTCGTCTACAATCTTCGTTCTACGAGTCTTCCAGCACGTGGACCCGGGCAGATGCTGTTGGTCCCGGGTCCGTAGTAACAGTTACGTGGTAACTCGTGTAGTTAGCTGGGTGGTCACCACCCAAGGTTGTTATTCTGTTAAGGAGAAGTTACCCCGTGTATTGGAAGTAAATAAATGTGCTGCCTCCAAAGTCTATGTCTGCGACTCAGTTGAACCCACTACACAGATAAATGACTATGGGTATCCATTGCCGTTTGTGTTATTGATATGGTAATCAATGTACATTATGCAGGCACATTATGCAAGCCCATTTTTCTTGTACCTCATGTCGATTGTGTGCATTAAAATAGCCGGACTCAGTTATTGTTCAATGGTACTCCCTATTGAAGTATGGTGACCTGTATAAGCATGCATTTTCTCAGCTTGATTATGTGTTTGCTCCAGCCCAATATGCCCGAGTCCATGACATTAATGGCCGGGGTTACCGTCTGGATGCCGGTCCTTGCGGCTGCGGTAACAGTCGAGGCAGACGCCGAATCCGCACTTGGGGCAGACCCAGTGAACGTTGAAGAGCGTAGTCTCACACGCATCACACATCTCCCGCACACCTCGCACTGCTCGCTTCCACGCCACCTTGGCTGTGGGTACCATGGTAAACACACAGGATCACACGCATTGTACTAACATGGTACACACCCACGGTACATACACACAGTCTGCACAAACGGCAAATACATTGGTATGCACATTGTATAAAACGCATCCGGGAACCAATCCGTTTTTACACGATGTACAATGTAAGGACAGTCCCCGATTAATGCCAAACGGCAATGGTGATTTCACACAACGTTCCACCACGTTCCCACGTACAGTACAGTAACCAAAGCGTGTGGCAACAGGAGCGTCGTGGGCGGCAGCAGCAGCGAGCCACCCCACTCAAGTCTTTGTTTTTGCTTCATGCTAGCCCAGGCCGTGCGCGCGTTTTACCTCGCAATTCTATAGCTTGCATTAATTTTAGATTCAAAATGAGCAATAATGATACTTTTGGCAATACGAGTTGATGGCTTGGAACACAACACCCCCCCCCTCCTCCATTTACATTGTTTAAGGGAAATGAGTATTCCATTAACATTATTTCACCTTACACTAATATTTTCAAGAACGCATCTGTAGTGTTAATCAGGGACTACCTGTACATGAAGTACGTATACACAATACACGGTAAAACATGCATATACATCAGGAAAAAAATCCCCCCCATGTAGCCGTACAGGTTTCTGCGGTAAGTGCAGCTAGCGACCACCAACGGAGGCCAGCACAGCGCATGAGGCAGTGGGGTGTGGTGAGAACTGCACGTTTGTCTCCCTCATTTTGGACCGACCCAATGTCATGGAAGGCCAGCAGCAGTTCAAGATATTTTCCACTGTTATTAGCCGTGGCGGCCACTTTAAATGCTCAAAAAGGTTGAGCAAGGCGGTAAGTTAATGGGTGTGCGAGCACCTGAGATAAAAACATTCTGACCAGGTGTCGAGTAAGAGTTGGTGGCTGAATTGGTGAGTGAGCAAGCGATTGGTGAGCGGACGGGCTGGGTACGCGAATGAGTGAGCAGCTGTCACCTCCTTGTGGCAGCCAGGTGAGCGCCTCCCTCTCGGACATTACGAGCTCACAGAACTGGTCTCCGATGTTGGCCAGAATGTATTTTGCCGTGTCCAGGTCGAGAGACCCCGATGATGACAATGAGGAGTTGGATTTGGAGTCCCCCCGGGGTGGGTCCATGGAGGTGGCTGCCAGCACAATGCCACCTGGCGTCCATAGGCTGAGTGCCTCGGGGTCGCACTGCCGTGCGGTGCAGAACCCATCGATTCGCAGCTGCCCTGTTTTGCTGAACGCCAACCTTGAAGGGATACACACGATGGCGATGGAAAATTACGCTTATTAGAGCAGCGTTTTTCAAAACACCAGTCGTCACGACCCAGCGCGGTACCACCTTTCCATGCTTAACTAATCCTCTCCCAACTTTCACGTTCAAGCATGAATTTAAATGCACCACACAAACCCAATGACTAAGAAATGGCGTTTCTCAAAGTAAGAGAGGAATCTTGTGTGTGAGACAGAGAGCACCAATTGGTATTGAGCTAGTGTAGGGAGTGTGTTCATGAATCATCAGGTGTATGCGACATGTGAAGTCGTAATTTGTATTTTCAACAAATATTAGTTACACATCCATGCACTCACCCTCCAGTTACACACAAGTAATAATCACCTACCTAAATGAGCTAACCTCACCCTCTCCACACATTACACACCCAATCTACAGTGCATAGATACAAACAAAGATCCCTATTCAAAGATCCCTATTATAGCCTTAACAGACTGTTTGGACAAGTAATCTTATGAAGGCCGGCACGGCACACTAGGGGGTGGGTGGCCAACACCACGCCCGGCCGCCTTTGTCTCCCCAATGACGATGTTTACACATCGCACCGGGTCCTCATTTGAGGCTGAGTCGACCAAGGGGAGACCCAAGACTGCTTCAAATATTCGTCACTTGTGTTGGTCATAAGCGGGAATCGAACTCGGATCGCTGGGTTCATAGTGCAGCGTGCTAACCGCTACACTAACACTCTATTACACACTCACAGACACACACGTCTCTGACATAAATACTCCCACGCACACACACTCATGTTACTCTCTCAAACACACCCGCCTCTATTTATCTCCCACACGCTCAAACGCTTCCCCCCCCTTCACTCGTCACCTCCGGAAGTGGATGAAGCGACAGAAGACTGTGGATGGTGACGATGCCGTCCCAGACTCCTTCGTGACAGAGGCATCTTCGTCGACGCCAGTCATGCCGTGCGCTGGTGTCAAGGGGGCTGGCGCTGCCGCCATGACGGCGGGGCTGCCAGTGCCACCCACCACCTGCTGCTGCTGCTCTGGCGCCGGCCCCTCCTCACCTCCCGTAGGCGCCGCATCCTTACTTGGCCGCACCTCATCCCCGCTATCGGCTGCTGGTTCCTGCTGCGCATTCTGCAAGGGCTTCTCGGCACCAAGCGCTACCTGCTGCTGCTTGTTCAGCAGTGGAGACTCGCACTGCGCCCTGTCCTGCTGCTTGTCCTGCTGCTTGTCCTGCTGCTTGTCCTGCTGCTTGTCCTGCTGCTTGTCCTGCTGCTTCTCCTGCTGCTTGTCCTGCTGCTTGTCCTGCTGCTTGTCCTGCTGCTTGTCCTGCTGGTTGTCCTCACTTTCCTTATCTGGCTGTGGCTCCGACTGCTGGGCACTGTTGTTGGCCTGCTGCTGCTGTTGCAGCTGCAGCTGTTGCTGCAGCTGTTGCTGCAGCTGCTGCTGCAGCTGCTGCTGTCGCTCCCGTTGCTGCTGCATGCGCAGCTGGTGCTGGCGACGGTAGCGCAGCAGGCGGCACTCGCGGCACTTCTGCAGGTGCGGAGCGATCTCCACGCAGGCCCCGTCCTGCATGAACGCCTCGCCACTCAGGCGCAGTTGGCGAACGACACGCCAGTCCCGCAGCACCGATACACCAACTGCAAGCAGCACACACACGTTATACACACACAGTACACACACACACACACGTTATACACACGCAGTACACACACACACACACACGTTATACACACGCAGTACACACACACACACACGTTATACACACGCAGTACACACACACACATGTTATACACACGCAGTACACACACACACGTTATACACACGCGGTACACACACACACACGTTATACACACGCAGTACACACACACACACACACGTTAGACACACGCAGTACACACACACACGTTATACACACGCAGTACACACACACACGTTAGACAAACGCAGTACACACACACGTTATACACACGCAGTACACACACACACGTTATACACACGCAGTACACACACACACGTTATACACACACAGTACACACACACCTTATACAAACGCAGTACACACACACGTTGTACACACGCAGTACACACACGTTGTAGACACGGAGTACACACACACGTTGTAGACACGCAGTACACACACACACGTTATACACATGCAGTACACACACACACGTTATACACACACGTTATACACACATGCAGTACACACACACACACACGTTATACACACACGCAGTACACACACGCGTTATACACACACGCGTTATACACACACGCAGTACACGCACAAACGCAGTACACACACGCAGTACACACACGTTATACACACGCACACGGTATACACACGCAGTACACACACGTTATACACACACGCAGTACACACACGCAGTACACACACACTATACACACACGTTATACACACACGCAGTACACACACGCAGTACACACACTATACACACACGTTATACACACACGCAGTACACACATGCAGTACACACGCAGTACACACACACGTTATACACACATGCAGTACACACGCAGTACACACACGTTATACACACACGCAGTACACACACACACGCTATACACACACGCAGTACACACACGTGTTATACACACACGCGTTATACACACACGCAGTACACACACGCATTCTCCACACACAGCACACACTCATTCTACACAAATTATAAACACACCGTACACACACGCAGTAAACACGTTATACACACGCAGCACACACACGTTATACACACGCAGCACACACACGTTATACACACGCAGCACACACACGTTATACACACGCAGCACACACACGTTATACACACGCAGCACACACACGTTATAAACACGCAGCACACACACATTATACACACAGTACACACACGTTATACACACGCAGTACACACACACGTTATACACACGCAGTACACACACACGTTATACACACACGCAGTACACACACATACGTTATACACACACGCAGTACACACACATTATACACACGCACACGGTATAAACACGCAGTACACACACATGTTATACACACACGCGGTACACACACACGCAGTACACACACGCGGTACACACACACGCAGTACACACACGCGGTACACACACGCGGTACACACACACGCAGTACACACACATTCTACACACACGTTATACACACGCCGTACACACACGCAGTAAACACGTTATACACATGCAGCACACACACGTTATACACACGCAGCACACAGGTTATACACACGCAGCACACACACGTTATACACACGCAACACACACACGTTATACACACGCAGTACACACACGTTATACACAAGCAATATATACACACACACACGTTCTTCACACGCAGTACACGCACACGTTATACACACGCAGTACACACACACACGTTCTTCACACGCAGTACACACACACACATGTTATACACACGCAGTACACACACATTATACACACGCAGTATACACACGTTATACACACGCAGTATACACACGTTATACACACGCAGTACACACGCACGTTATACACATGCAGTACACACTCATTCTTCACACAGTACACACACGCGTTATACACACGCAGTACACACACGTTATACACACGCAGTAAATACACACGTTATACACACACAGTACACACACGTTATACACACGCAGTACACACACACGTTATACACACGCAGTACACACACACACACACACGTTATACACACGCAGTACACACACACACACACACGTTATACACACGCAGTACACACACACACGTTATACACACGCAGTACATAACAACCGCCATTCGCCACTAAGTGGCGGTGATGTCACCACGACGCTTGTGCCAGGCCATGTGCACCTTGAGGCCACGTGAAATGTCGAACGCCGGCTGGCAGGTCACGGGGCAGACCCAGGTGCCACGGGTCGACTGACTGAGATGAATGGCTGATGCACCACCTGTGCCCCCTACTGTGCCAACCTGCTGTGCTTTAGCCACCCGGCGCTCCGCTCGTTGTTGTGAGCGTCACTCCTCCGCCCTCCGTTGTTGTTGGAGGGCGACTGCCTCCAACTGCCCAGTAGCGTCCTTCACGAGCCTCCTCCACAGAGGCCGATCTTGACACCGCTGGTACCAGTCATCGGCAAGTCCACTCAGCTCCACGTCCTCCTTGTCCACATCACTCCATCTCTTCTCTAGCCCATGCCGCGCCCGTTTAGCCCCCTCGATCCAGCCGACCAAAAGCTGTTTCGGCATGCGGTGGCTGGGCATGCGGGCTACATGACCCAGCCAACGCAGCCTTGCCTGCCGGAGGAGCTCACCGATGGGACCGTGCCCAGATCTTTCAAGGATTTGTGAGCTCCTCACACAATCCAGCCTGGTTAAACCCAAGATGGATCGTAGGCAGGCCAGCCTAAATGTTTCTAACCGGCGAAGATGTTCCATTAGGGGGGTCCACGTTTCGCAAGCGTAGAGAAGGGAGGGCATGACCGTGGCCGAGAAGACCTGAAGCTTAGTGCGGAGCGACAGACCAGGTAGCTTCCACACAGCTTTACGCTACCGATGAAAAGATATTGCCGCTCCACTGATTCAGAGTGAGACCTCTGCTGTTAAACTGGAGCCGGTCATAGCACACTGCCCAGGTATGGGAATTTCTCCACTCTCTCCACAACTGCCCCATCACCGATTGGGCGTTATGGGGGTGGAGTGTCCGATGGTACAAAATACCCAGGCAGGTGCTTAGTTTTGGTGGGGCTGATGGTAAGGCCCCATCTCTTAGTAGCACGCTCCAGTCTCAGCAGCAGCGTCCCCAACTCCTCCTCTGAATGAGTAGCTATTACCAAATCATCGGCATACATAACGTGGTGGAGCAATAGGGAGCACTCCCTTGACCGCACCCGGGCATCGATCAGCCTCCCATTATATCTGTACCATATGGAGATTCCCCTGGTACAGCTATTGAAGGCTTCACAAACTACGTGGTGAGAATAGATGTTAAATAATGTGGGAGCCAGAGGACATCCCTGTCGCACCCCAAGGTGTACAGGGAATGGCTCTGACTCCCGGCCACGTAGTTTTACCCGTGCCCGCTCACCATCATGAAGGTCCTTAATGATCGTGAGCAGAGGGTCAGGTACTCCAAAAGCACGAAGAACAACCCAGAGCCCAGGCCTACTGATGGTATCATAGGCGTTGACCAGGTCAATAAAGCAGAGATGAAGGTCTTGCTGGGATTCCCTACACTTCTGCTGTAGCAGACGGACAGAAAATATGGCATCTGTGCAGGACCGCCCTTTCCTGAAACCGCATTGGGGCTCCGCAAGCCTCTGCTCAGCGTGCCTCGCAAGGCGATGTTGAATAATCCTTGCCAGGACCTTTCCCGGCACGCAGAACATACACACACACACACGTTATACACACGCAGTACATACACACACACGTTATACACACGCAGTACACATACGTTATACACATGCAGTACAACACACACGTTATATACACGCAGTACAACACACACGTTATATACACGCAGTACAACACACACGTTATACAGACGCTATACACAAACGTTATACACACGCAGTACACACACACACGTTATACACACGCAGTACACACACACACGTTATACGCACGCAACACACACACACACACACGTTATCCACACGCAGTACACACACACACACGTTATCCACACGCAGTACACACACACGTTATACACACGCAGTACACACACGTTATACACACACGCAGTACACACACGCTGTACACACACGCAGTACACACGTTATACAGACGCACACAGTATATACACAGTACACACACAGCACACACGTTATACACACGCAGCACACACACGTTACACACACGCAGTACACGCACACGTTACACACACGCAGTACACGCACACGTTACACACACGCAGTACACGCACACGTTATACACATGCAGTACACACACATTATACAAACGCAGTACAAACACACGTTATACAAACGCAGTACAAACACACGTTACACACACGCAGTACACACACACACGTTATACACGCAGTACACACACACGTTATACACGCAGTACACGCATTTTATACACACGCAGTATATACACACACGTTATACACACGCAGTACACACACACGTTCTACACACGCAGTACACACACACGTTCTACACATGCAGTACACACACACACGTTATACACACGGAATACACACACATTATACACACGCAGTACACACACGCTATACACACGCAGTACACACACACGTTATACAAACGCAGTACAAACACACGTTATACACATGCTGTACACACACACGTTATACACATGCTGTACACACACACACACGCGTTATACACTCGCAGTACACACACGTTATACAAACGCAGTACAAACACGTTATACACACGCAGTACACATACATTATACACACACAGTACACACGTTCTACACACGCAGTACACACACACGTTATACACACAGTACACACGTTATACACACGCAGTACACACACACACGTTATACAGACGCAGTACACACACACACAAGTTATACACACATGAGAAACACACGTTATACACACACACATAATAAACACATACATTCACAAGGAAATAAAAACAGAGATCCCTCGATATAGCCTTCAACAAAACTGTTGGGCCAAGTGCTGTTAGCGAGCACCTATTAAGGCCGGCACATTACACAAAGGGGTGGTTGGCAATCCCCATGCCCGGCCGCCTTTGTCTCCCCAGTGCCGATGTTTACCCACCGCACCAAGTGCTCATTTATGGCCGAGTTAACCTAGCAGAGGCCTAGGACTGGTGAGATATTTGTCACCGATGTTGACTGCGAGCAGGAATCGAACTCGGGTGGCCAGATCAAGAATGCAGTACCCCTAACCACTGCGCTACCACTCCTTACAAAGACACACACACTAAAACAGTCCTTGCGGTAAATCTGGTTTTCATAGGTGGTCATAGGTACGCTGCGGCTCAGATACAATTGAACTTCATCCCTTAATTATTTCATACTTTAATTATTATGCATACAGCAGCCCAGGGGTCGGCAAATTGCAGCTTCGGAACTGCATGCGGCTCATTAAGGACTGTTTCGTGACATTAGTCATAAAGAAACCACTTTCTCATATTCAGTGCATTGTGGCTCTTGATGTGTTTTTTTTTACAGAATTCGAAAAAAATGGCTCTTCTTGTTCTTTTGGTTTGCCGACCCCCTGAATTAAACCCAGATGACCCCTCCGCAACAGTTTCCCTCAATGACATTTATCCAAGCCAATTAGGGGCATTAAAAGAAGAAAGTTATATACCGGTGGAATGAACGAGGATCCCATACAACCCAATTCAACAGGAAAGACTCGGATCAAACGACATGTAACCAACCTAACAACCCCTTAACTTCCACGGTGTCAACATTTCCCCACCTCTCTTACGGTGTTTGTAAACCACACATCAGTTGTCGGGGCAAAACACATTCCTGCAGAGGGGGCTGGTAGAAACGTTGGTTGCTTGGTCAGTGGCCAGGGTCAACGGCGGCGTGGCGTATTCCGCAAATATGCCCCACTGTGAGGGCGGGCACAAGCCGGCGTGAATAGGTTAAACATTGAGTTTTATAAGGGCACCACGGGGTGACCAGCCCCACCCCACCCAGCCCCACCCCACCCAGCCCCACCCCTCCCACCCCTCACCCAGCCCCACCCAGCCCCTCCTCACCAAGCCCCTCCCTACCCTCCCCTCTCCACCCAGCCCCACACGTCCCACGTGGACAGCCATCCACAGACGTACACAATTAATCCCCTGCCTCCTGTGAATTAATCCCGGTTGGGCTTCCAGTCCACTACGTTTCCTACCAGTAATATATTTATTTTATTGTGGAAGGGATGTGGAGCGTATCACTGGGTATCTAAGAAACCCAGATTCAATGTAAGTACTAGTTTGACACGTAGGCGTATATTTTGATTTAACGCTTTCGTGACTGCAGGGATTAATATTCTTGGTTCTTTCGGTAAAGTCACGTAGAAGGGAAACAATAAATTAATAAAAATATAAAACAATAAAATTCTCACAACGTTGTTTTCCTTCTACATGACTTTACCGAAAGAACCAAGAATACGTAGGCTTATATCTAATTTGTTCATATGGTGGTCACTGACATGCTGTGGCTTGGATACAATTGAACCTATACAAGAGTCTAACCGGAGGAGGGGTAAACGTACTCCCTCCCCCCTGCCAAAAACATGAGGCATGACTGGGCGGACTGCCACCAAAAGTACAGCCCTCCCAAAGCTGCCCTCCTGAGGCACGAGTGTCTCGGAGCAAGTGATTGATAGATAAAACACGGGGTGAGCACAACACAGCTGCGCTACAAATGTCCTTCAGTGGAAATCCTGCCCCTACTAGCCCAGGACACCGCCATAGCTCTAGTCGAATGACAATATCTCTTCTCACCGATCGCTAGTCGTACAAGACAAAGAGCTTTTGGTGACCTCCCAACTTGGACCTCTGCATATAAAGCCAATGCCATCATCAAATGCAGACTAGCCTCTGCCGGAGAGAAAAAGTATAGCAGACAGAAATGGAGCAAGATCATTATTAAAATTCACGGATTAAATAGGCAACACTTTAAAGAAGTGTCTTAATGTGAGACTGCTTCCAGCCCTATGAATGTAGAATTGCCACCGTTGGCTCAGGTCTGCCAATGGAGATGAGCACTGCACAATGCTTCTTTCTTGAGCAGGGAGATTATTTCACGTTTTCATTCAGATTAGTAAGTATGTATAACTTCTTTCGCACCGTGCTAATCGGAGGTGCGGGGGAAGGAAAAATAAATACAAAAATCAGTTCTAAAGAAATTGGTTTTCAATCAAGATTTAAAAGGGCATAGCTCCAGTTGCTTTCTAATACACTGGGGTCTACAATTTTTTAGACAGCACACACACACGCGTACACAGCACACGATGCATGTGGCACGTGAGTTGGTGTTATCAGTTGTGCGCTGCTCACAGCTCCCCTCCGCCATGTATTTGGGGTCCATCCACCGTCCGCGTGTCATGTCCACCATTTCATAGTCCATCTCCTCCATCTCCTCTTCGCCCATCATCTCCGCCTCCTCGTCTCCCCTCGGCCTCTCTTCCCCTGTCCCAGCCTCCACCTTGATCGCCTCCACCTTTTTTCACACAAATACACACAACACAGACATGGCCTCATTTTAAAAGCTGAAATGACAAGCGGCAAGACAGGTGTTCAAACACTGATGCTCAAGTGCTGTTAACAAGCATACACACTGCACACACACACACAAAGATTATCCGAATAGTCATTAACACACGATTGGGACAAGTGCTGTTAGCTATGAATGAAAATTATTTTCCATTTTACAAAGTAAGGCCCACGGAGCTATACAGCTCTTTTTCACAAGCGACCTGGCCACAGATGATTGCTCAATGAAGTGGCTTATCATGTGGAAATGTATAGCAGCCAAAAAAGATAGATGCATGTTTCTAAATGTGTAGGGAAAAACTGGAGGAACCAGAGAAAAATCCACACAACCACAGGAAGACACATGCAAACTCCAAATATACAGGCGTCAGGGTCGAGATCGAACTCATGAACTCCTGTATACCAGGCGAGGTAGTTTACATATCACCACCATGACGCCCATTTAAGTAGCTGACCCGTGGTGCCCCATGGTACCTATTAAGGCCAGTATGGTACATGAGGGTGTGGGTGGCTAACACCACTCCCAGCGATCTTTATCTCCCCTAAAGTGACGTTTATACACCACACCAAGTTTTTGGGTTAGATCGCGTAAACATAAATGTCATTAAACCAGCCACTACCCGAGACAGCCAATTAGTAAGATTTGTCATGTAAACAAAACATGCCAATTTGTTACTAGTACAGCACACCAGTGTGTTGGAGAGTAAACCCACAACATGTACAATTAGAGTACTCGAATTGTAAATGTTTGTGACAAAATTTACTAATTGGCTGTGTCGGGTGATGGCGGGTTTAACGACGCATTTATATTTACGCGATCTAACCCAAAAACCTCTATGGATATTGGTCGTGGAAGCCTACGTGTTAAACACACCACACCAGGTACTCATTTAAGATAGTCGACCTAGGGGTGGCCCAGCACCAGTTTAGCAACTTGTCACTGATTTTAGCTGCGGACGAGAATCGAGCTCGGGTGGCTGAGTTCATAATGACAAATATCCCCCGTATAGCTTTAACATACTGTTGGGGCAAGTGCAGTTAAGCGTGCAGCTATGAAGGCCAGTATGGCATACGAGGGGGTGGGTGGCCAGCACCATGCCCGGCTGCTTTTGTCTCCCTAGTGGCGATGTTTACGCACCGTTCCATGTCCTGATTTGCGACCTAGGAGAGGCCCAGGACCGGTTCAGATAATCGTCACTGGTGTTGGCCGTGAGCGGGAATCAAACTTTGAGTCGCTGGGTTCGTGGCACAGCGCACTAACCGCTACACTACCGCCACTCGTAAAAATCCTCCACCCACAAACATTTGCTCACTCACATACTCATTCCCCGTCTCTCACCCGAGCGCCCTGTTCCTCCACACCCCCCTGGCTTCCGCCAACACCAGGCCTGGCGGATTCTTCACTGAAGGCCTCCATCGCCATGGCGTCCGTACCGCTGCCTGTCTCCGTGTGCCGACAAAGCCACTCCTTCTTCAGCTTTGGTCGTGGCGCCCCCCCAAGATCGGGAGATCCGGCATCACCCTCCCGCTGCTCCTGTTGCTGTTGGTTCTGCTGCTGCTGCTGCTGCTGCCGCCATTTGGAATCACCTTCATCGGTCAGAGGGCTTCGAACAATTACCGACACCGGAGCCGAGAGAGATGGCATGGGTCTCGATGATGACTGTGGCGTTGTCGATTTCGCCGAAGACGGCAGCGGCGGTGACACCAGTACGGACGATTTTGCCTGCGACGGCGCTGCCTTGCCCGGGGAGAGCTTAAACTGGGACAATGCCGTGGGAGCCACCACCGCCACCGAACGTTGCTGCTGGTGAAGATTGTGGTGATGTTGGGTATGGGGTTTTACGTCAGGCTGTGCTATGCCGGGACTAGCACCGACACCGGCCACGCCCATGGTTCTGGCCGCAGATGTTTTGGTGGGCGATTTTCCGGCATCCAACGGCGCACCAGAGACAAGGGACGAGCCATTCTGCGAGCGCTGAGAAGGCGCCATCGCTGACTTGGTCTCACTTGTGTTGTTCTCAGTGGCATCGCCGCTGCCGTGAGAATTCCAAGGTTTTTCCGAAGCCGTCCGAATTTCCGGATTCACTGCGAGGGCTTCCAGCTTGGCGGAGTTGTTTCCGTCTTTGGTGGTTGTTACAGCAGTCGCAAGAACGCTAACGCGGCCGATGGCAGCAACGGTGGAATCATGGGGGGGGCAGCCGGCATGCAGAGGAGCCGAAACGGGGGTGGGCGACGATCCGAACCCCACCAAACTACCGCCCACTTCATGGCCCCCACGAGACCGCTTGGACAGTGCCGGGCTCCCCGGCACTGCACCATCGTCCAGGGCCAAACGCTTCCGGGAAGAGGGTGGCCCTTGTCCCTCTGGAGAGAAAGAAGGGGAGAGATGGAGGGACGCTCACACTCGCGGTCTCCGCTCACAAATATTGGGAACAATAGTGATTTCGGGCATGTGCAGCTGCAATGGACAACTGAAAAAAACATTATTAACCGATTCTTCGATTGGTAAATTGAATAAAAATGTTAAATACAAATCAGTGATTTTGAAGAGTAAATCCACAGGAGTTTCCATTTTTCAGATGGTAAGTACCAAGGCAGCTATTAAAATTAATTATTACTTTCACCATGCATTCATTGTGCGTGTGGGAATTGAGTATTAGAATTCATGCAGTGACTACATTTTAAGGAGTGTCTTCATGTGAGAATGCTTCCAGCCATATGAATGTTAAATTGCTACCACTGGTTCAGGTCTGCCAATGGAGATGAGTACTCCACAATGCTTTCTTCAGCAGACATTATTTCACGTTTTTTTGCAGATTACTATGTATTCATAATAAAGGTTTTTGGGTTAGATCGCGTTTATTTATAAATGTGTCGTAACCCTCCACCACCCGACACGGCCAATCAGCAAAAAAGTGTCAAGTTGACAAAAGACAATTCACTACTTTAGCCCACCGGTGTGTTGAAGAGTGAATCCACATTTACAGTTTGAGTACGACGTTTCGCTGGTAAATACATCCAGCATCATCGGGCAATTCGCCAGAATGGTAAAGCCCTCGCTTGCTCCCGGTTTTATATAGAGCAGCAGGGTGACGTCATCACTTAACTCATATCAGGTGCAGTGATTAGAGGCGGAGGGGGGGGTATTATAATTAAATAATCGATTAGTAATCAGTCATTGGTTATGATTAGTAATGAGTTGTAGATTAGTAATTCTTTAAATCAAAATGTAATGTGTATTATTTAATAATACGCTTCCAGGCCGCACTAAGCATGTAGCTGTCAGAGCGATTAAAGTTATTCTTGTTCCTCTCAATTTCAATGGATTCTCTAATTAGTCTTTGCCAGTAATAATTAGTTTTACACACCACTGCAACATTGTCAAAATCAATTGAGTGTCCTTGTTGACAAGCATGTTCTGCCACTGCCGACAGTTGTGTTTGAGATAATTTAATATTTCTCTGATGTTCTTTTAGTCTTACGCTGATGTTACATCCCGTCTGTCCAATGTAGCAGCTGCCACATAAACAATTAATCTGACCGTGCTAATCGGAGGTGTGGGGGAAGGACAACAAACTGAACACAAAGAGCAGTTAAAAAATAAATTAGTTTTCAATCTAGATTTTATAATGTATGCTCCAGTGGCTTCCTAATATCGGAAGTAGGAAGGTTCCAGATGGCCGCAGAAGCACATCTGAAAGCATGCGATGCAGTGACGGTCTTTGTTTGATGGTTAGCCAAAAGCCGCTGGAGGATGACCGCAGTTACCGTGATGGTTTATGCTCCTTGATGAGATCAGCAAAGTATTGTGGTTTACTTGTGGCAAGCACTTCGTGTGTAATGAGTACGACCTCAATATATTCGTTCAGCAACCGGAAACCAATGCAGCTCAGCGAGCACTGAAAGGACATGGTCGGATCTTGTAGTACTGATCACAACACGTGCCAAAATATGTTGTACACACTGCAGCTTGGTAATGTTTTTGCTAGACATCCCGTAGAGTAGCGAGTTGCAATAATCTAGCCTTGTCGATACTATGCTACACGCAACCGTGTTGGCTATGTCACGACTCAATTGTGGTTGATGTGTCCTAGAGCACTGACATGAAAATTGCAGGACCTGACTAAATTTTATATTTTACACGTGGTGATCAAACGACATTCTGCTTGATAATGGTGCCGAGGCTCTTTAAGAGAGTAGAAAACTGAATTCTGGAGTCCGCAACTGCCACACCTGATCCTCCCATACATTAGTTCGCCTGAGCCCAAGTGCCAAGCAGCAGAACCTCTGATTTTCCTGGATAAAGCAGCATTTCGTTTCGTGCAAACCACACGTGCACCGCTCAAGTGCAACCTCTGAGGTTACCGATTTGTGTATTACTGCAGAATGTTTTCATTCTTCCGATTTGTGGCAAAGGAGTGCCAACAACAAGAGTGCTAGTCATCAAGGCAGTGTGCTTCAGGAATTGTAGCCAGTTGTGAATGTGACCCCTTTACCTTTGTGTTTGCTAAGATATGGTTCAAAAACATGGTCATTAACAACTATTTAACAGCAAATAAAATGTGCACAAAGAACCAGGGAAAGATGCACGCTTGGAATTACCTTGAGAGTTGGAAAAAGAAACATGGATTTCAATGAAAGAACATACCAAGGTTAATGACACAATGACAAATGTTATGCAAAGTGTGCTTGGGAAGGACAGGTCGCAAGATAGGATAATGGCCTATGGGTCAAGAATAATTATGGACAGTCAAGGAATGGAACGTGTCTGATTGAACGCCCACATAGGAGATGAAATCAAGTTGTTTACAGGCGAACCGCTACTTTTGGTCAAAAGGGGGCGCTCGTTACAATAACTGCCAAACTGCTGACAGGCTTTGAAGTGACCTAGCAGCTCAAGGAGAGAATGATGCCAAGCCAGCCATACTTTCCGAGATTCACTAGAAGCACTGGGGCGTTGAACAGAATTCTCAAGATTGGTGAACACAAGACAAGACAACAAGAGTAAAACACTAAAACTGTGGCTTACCATTCATCTCCATGCTGCTGGCGTGAGTGATCTGCGACGAGGTGGAGTTACCACAAGCACACCACAGTCGGTGCCTCAATCACCCCCACCACCTGCACACACACAGCAAGGCAAAGCACAAGTTAATGCTGGTGTCTGGTGTTGAGAGATCTGATTGGGATATACTGCTTTATGCAGTAACTATGTAAGTGTCCTTCCACAATGTCAGAGGTTACTTCAAACATGCTTTATTTAAAATCCACAAAACCTTCTAAACCAGCGCTTGAGCATGGATAGTGCACAAGAAATGGTACGCATGCTTACAAATTACATTGAGATACAGAAATGGAAAGTGAAAATGGATTGTTGAAAAAAGAAAGCTTGTGCAGGTCACACCGATTGAAGGAATAATGGTCGGTGATCGAGACTGATGGAGTAGCAGCCAAGGAGATGCCCACCATGGAGGAGCAGAGATATCAGCTTGTGTGCAGGTGCTAGATGGATTGCTTCATTGCAGCACTGTGAGATGGTGGCTAATTTGACAGGCCTTCATCCAGCAGTGGATTGATCATGCCTTATGATTTGTCATAATGGAACTTGTACTAACATAGCAGGAACATGGAGCCATATTGAATGGGAAAGGTTTGCTATGAGATCATGTGGCAGACCCCAATGTTATGGGCAAACAAGGTCATGGTCCATATAACTATTGCAAGAGACGACAATTTCGTGTCGTTTTAAATTTAGAAAAATGTCGGTGGCGCATATTCGTCCACGAAATGCGTAAGATGGCTATCAGTCGCCTGCAGGTGAATAAAAGTTGGAAACCACTGCTCCAATAAATGTAATGCACTGATACTTCATGCATGGATTCTGCATCATGAAATGATGCCAAGTGCAAATTGGGACCATTGGGGGAAAGATAGCACGTTAAATAGGAATACTTAAAAATGCACTTGTGAAAACTTTAATTATTTGTACCAAGTATATTGTAAGTAAGGCCAGCATAAAGTCCTGAGTAGACAATTGACAATTTTTGGTAAAAATTGGAAAATGTACTCCTTTCCTATAGGGAATAAACACACAAACCTTGGTTACTCACCAAAGCCCTAACTCCAATTCAATGCTTACAACTACAAAGTAACCATAAAACACCCTTTGCAATATAAAACAAATTATCAACCAAACAGAAGCTTTTATCGACATTCCATAATACTTGACCACCTTACCAAAATGGAGTAAATCAAACTGCCATTCTTTTCAGTTCAATGGATACGAATTAGCTCAGTCTCGTATGCCAACCAGCCACACCATACCACCCACAACTATGTCACACACACTATTTCATCAACCTAAACACCACCACCATTTGATTAACTACACTCTGAACATATTAAGATCACTGGGTCCTTTAATGTAAACTTAATTGACAATTCCCTACATAAACTGGCAAGGATTCATTGAATCCTTGCCATGAATCCTTGCAGTCACGAAAGCTTTAAATCGAAATAAACTGGCAAGTGACCACACAATCCAAATGCACAACTGGTTCAGTTCAGTGACCAAATTCAGAATGCCTATAAGTGTATTACTCTCAGGGTGACCTAGTTGGACATCTATTTGGGCCACAAGGGAATTCCTAGGCTCTGCATGGCAAGACACCAGCTGTAGTCCTATGCAAGCACTGTGGTCGCAGGACTGTATTCCAAATTTAAACTAACATCAGCCTGTACACCATGCTCGGTGCAATACTTTATACTGATACTACACAGCTGTCCAGAGGTGATGTCTGCACAACTTTTCCAGAGGTGCTGTGATAATTTATTTTAGTTACTGCTGAACGTAGCGACATTAGGTCACAGGAGAACAAGCTATGAATGTGAAAGAGGAGCCATCTTCATGGTTCCGCAGCCACCTGAAGAGTCAAGTTTGGCCAATGAGATCAGTGCTGTTTACTGACAAAAACTCCATTCACCATTTAACTGCCCTTAAATTGGGACGCTGGGAATCCGAGGAACCGATTAAAACATTTGTTTCGTCTACAGTCTGGAGCGCCCCCATGTGCACAGACCAGCCTGGCTCCGCCCCTTTCCCCACCTCCTCCCCTCCCCACCACACAGAGCCACGTGCAGCCAAACACCACTTCGCTCGTTTTAAAAGTCCCTCCAAGCAGTTGCCAGGAAACCGGCTGGAACTACTTTCTTTTTTCACCACTCAGTACTTCGATTCGGTGGCGTTACCATGGCCGATCGACGGCCATGGTAACGCCACCGGCGCACGTGTAGCTGTACAGAGATGCACACATACGTGATCATCGACGTACAAACGTGGATGTACATGGTGTCACACACTGATGAGCGATGTTTCACATAAGACCTGAGTGTTGGCACCCTGAAGAGAAACGGACATACACAGATATGTGTCCACGTATCACACATATCCAGATGTTTCAGAAACTGGCAGAGATATCGAGGTGTTCATGAAGATTTCACCTCGTGTTTTGTGGTTCCTTCTACTTGAGCGATCACAAAACTCTTATGGAACGATGATTGTTCATACACTTACAATGAGTGTGTACTCAATGCAGTACCTGTTTATATGGGTCGCACCGTGTCCCTCCCACATCATGCTTGTGTGATTGGAGTGCTAACCTACAACAAAAATTATGCTGTTACTGTAGCTAAAATACTCTTGGAAGCAAGCCTATTGCAGTCTTTCACTTGGTGTAGTGTTTGTATCTTTAGTAAAGTTCTGAAATGTGACATTCAAACCTCTTAACTTAGCTCGGGAACATGAGCACAACGTATATTGGAACATGAAGATTAATATTGGACAAGATGAAAAATCAAGATTGGTGCCGTCTGGTCAAAAATTGGTTTTCAATTTTGCTTTGGTGAGGTCAAGTTAGTGGGTATTTTAAACCTAGTCACAAGATAAGTGAAATTCTGCTCCGTTTTGGTCTCGTACAGTATGGGACCAGATGATTTGGGGCATTGTATAAACGATTAACCTTAGTCGGTTAAGCGAGAAAGAGTTCCGTAACTTGTAGGCATAGTGTATATTTAAATTAAACTGACACATTATAGTCCCCTAAGTTGGACACAGCAAGTATTCAAATAATTTTCAATCATAAACTCCCTAAAAGACAAGTTGCACAACAAATTAACATCTGGCATATTCAGTGTTTTTGGGAGTTTGTAGGTATATCATTTCATCAGTCAGTTTGCATTTCAGATTTGACACTGGGCAAGACTTGTCCAGTGTCATGCTGACAAAACCTTTTATTGGGAAGGAAACACGTGGAAAGGCTTTAACACAGCAGACAACTGCCTCAAGAGTACACATGTACCCTAATTCATTGAAGGACTCCAACCCAGCACAGCAACACTTTCGGGCAGCAAATCACCAAACATGCACACTTGTATGCAGCATGCTATAATCTTCCCAACTTTTCTGGGTGAATTCCAAGGGATCTCCAGAGCAAGCACTAACAGTACAACTCTGAGACAATTGCAAAGTAAAACTGGCTGCCTATTATTGCCCATACACATTGGACACTATGTACCATGTAACCGTCCAAAACACACTGCAGGCTAAATCTGGGTCAAGGTCAAACTATATAAATATTGGTATAGAGGACTGACCGTGTTACAGCTGAGTTGTCAGAAAGGCCAACACCCTGTTATCAACCCTGGAGATGATTAAAAATGTTGAGAGATGAGTGGATCATGCTTGTAAAAGTACCATTACACAAGGTGGTAGGAGCAATGCACACTTGTGGGTTTATACGCCTTGCTTGGTTCAATTCCTCATCAAGTTACTTAAAAATTGCAACTCAACATGGGGGAAAAAAAAATCTGCATTTAACTGGGGCAAAGTAGAAAAAAAGTCGGTGGTTTCCTGCTCAAATGAGAATTGAGGTGATTCTTATATCCCTTTTACAGACCTGAGCCGGTGGTGAAAATTCCTAATTTCTCTGGTAAAAAGGACAACCAGTGCCCTTCACAAAGTGGTACCCATTGTATCGACCCTGGAATGATTGGCCAAGTCAACGCCAACCAGGATTTGAATTCGCAACCTTGCCATCACGAGCCGTTGGCTCTACCGCTAAACCACCTGCCCAGACAATCGGGTGGCTAGCATGTTACCTATATCAGACTAAGTAACAGTTCCACATCCCTTGGGTGATGATAGGCTCCACCTATAAGTGTCCCAGTTGTTTTTTACATTGGTAAAGCTGGAGCCAACGAATGGCTTAACTACCTCCTTGACGGACACTGCCCTGTATTATGACGCTCCAGTCACATCTCTAGAGACGCGCACACACATAAATACGTAGGTGTCCACACCAACACGCCCTCAGTGCTAGACACCCAAAACCCCCTCCCCTCCCCTGCCTGCAGCCTACCCGTATATGCATGTATACACACCCACACAAACCAGTCTGCCCAGAGCAGGGTCAGCTTGGGTTAGATCTGTGTGGGCGGGATGTGGGGAGGGCGAGTGTTATTTGTGGGTTGTAAAGAGGATTGATAGAGTTGAGTGGACGCGTATATCCTCACGCATATAGTCACAAATGTTTTACTATGTGTAATGCGCCTGCCTGAGTGCGCTTCATAGGTTAAGCGCTGCTGTGCATAACTGCACTGTGCTTTTCTTGCATGAGCACAAAGTTTTTGAAGAAGTGTGTGTACGTGTTAAGGCAAATGGGGAGCGGTGGCACAATAACAGTGGCGAATATCTGAAGCGGTCCTGGGTCTCCTCCTAGGTCAATTCAGTCTCAAATGATGGTGCGGTGTGTAAACATCGCCACTTAGGAGACAAAGGCGGCCAGGCATGATGTTAGCCACTCGTGTGTCGTGCCGACCATCATAGGTGCTAATAGAACTTGCCAAAACAGTCTGTTAAGGCTATACAGGGGATCTTTGTCTTTGTATTCAAGCATACCCAGAGGTGAATGGTAATGTAGCTGTTAGCACTGTGCTATGAACTCGGCGACCTGAGTTAGATTTCCGCTCACGGCCAACAACGCTGAATAATATCTGAACCAGTCCTGGGTCTCCCCTCGGTTGACTCAACCTCAAATAAGAATCCTGATGCGGTTTATAAACGT